AATTAAGTCATTTAATTTTAATTTTTATTATTATTATTATTATTATTATTATTATTATTATTATTATTATTGTGGTTTTGAAAAAGGTCTCTAATATTCTGTTCTATCCGTGACATCTAGTTACGCTCTCGACTGTCATTTCTTTCCTTCTGTTATTAAGTGTCTTTTAATACTTTGGCTCGACGACCACACATCTGCAAATCTCATTTTATGGTGATGTTGGTCTTTCTTACGTTATTTTGGTATTAGATCTTACATTTAGTTAAGAAAATGTCGAACAGTCTAAGTTCGGATGATTTTCTAAAGTGGGAAATATAGGAAACCACCATCCAAATTTACTTCTCGCCTCCTTATTTTTTTTTGTCTGTCTGTTTTTAAGGAGAAGTTAAGGCGATATCTAATTTAAACGTAATTATTTTCATATTTTATTCATATGGCCCTTCTTCAACTTCATTGGTTAAAAAGTAGTTGGTTTTTGTTTTTTAATTTCTTGTTATTTTTACCTCTATGGCTCAAGATTGATAACTTTGAGTAAAGTATTAAATTAGATTTTAGTTTTGTTGTTTTTATTTTAATATTCACACATAGGACATGATCATTACTACATTTAGAAGTCCATTGGTTTCAAAAGATAAAGGAAAAATTGTTGTTAAATAATTAATTGGAAACTAACTTTATATTTGGTTCCCTAAGAAATGAAAATGGTCGTAATAAAAATATATAAATGTAAAAACTGAATTTTATGATTCCTTAAATGTTTTTCAAATATTTAATTTTAGTAAGTAAAATAATGCTTTATTTGTTGAAATATATACTTGTATTCGTTCAACTTTAATTGATTGGTTAAATTTTATTAATTTTATTTATTATTAAACTCTAGATAGAAATTATATATGATACTAAATAAACTAAATTGGATATAAAGTCCTTCTTGATAAGTCTCTTAATCGAATTCATCGATATCCATGTTGTCATCAACATAATTTTCTCCGTCAGGAATAGTCTTGGCCTCATGATTAGGAAGAACATCTAAACGTTCTTCTGTTTCTTCTGTAGAGTTCTCATCATTACGATCTAGACCAGCATGGTACTCAACTTTAACATTTTCTTTATCTAAGATTTCACCCTTTAGGATCCTTAAAGCCAATCTATTCAAAATTTCATTTTGAATTAATCTATTTAATGGACGAGCACCCATATCATCAGAATAACCATATTTAGCTAAGAAATCTTTAGCATCTTTGCTAACTTCTAGTTTATAATGTTTATCATTAGCTTCAAATCTTTCTTCGATTTCTTTTAATCTAATATCTACAATTTTGATAATTGCCTTCTTAGATAATTTATTGAAAACAACAGTTGATGAGATTCTATTCAAAAATTCAGGTCTGAAATGTGCTTTTACAGCTGTCATTACCAATTGTTTTGTTTCATCCTTAATCTTAGATCCTTCTTGACCAATAATAAATTGAGCACCTAAGTTGGAGGTCATGATGATAATACAATTGGAACAATCAATGGTTTTACCTTGACCAGATGTAATTCTACCATCATCTAGCATTTGTAATAAGACTGTTAAGACATCAGGATGGGCTTTTTCAACTTCATCAAATAATATAACAGAATAAGGTTTGTATTGTAATTGATTTGTTAAGAAACCACCTTCTTCAAAACCAACATAACCAGCTGTGGTACCTAATAATTTGGAGGCAGAATGCTTTTCACTTAATTCAGAACAATCAATTCTAATCATCATATCTTTATCATTGAATAAAAAGTTAGCAATTGTTTTAGCTAACTCAGTTTTACCACTACCAGATAGACCCAAGAATAAGAATGATGCAGGTTGTCTTGGATTGGCTAAACCAGATCTTGATAGTCTAACAGCATTTGCAACTGCTTTAACGGCTTCGGATTGACCAACAACTTGTTCGGCAAGATCCTTTTCCATATGAATCAATTTTTCATTTTCAGATTCCGTTAATTTCTTAACAGGAATACCAGTTAATCTTGCAGCTGTTTCGGCAATTGTATCAGAGTCAACGACATTGGAAATCATTGAGTTATCACCAACACGTTTTTGTTCCTCTGCGACTTCATTTTCTAATCTATCGATTTGTTTCTTAACATCTGGAATAGCAAAATATCTCAAGTCGGCGGCTGTTGCAGTATCGTATCTTCTTTCTGCATCCAAAGCCTTGTTCTCTAATTCTTCCAACTTCTTCTTTGCGTTGGTTAATTCTTCGTGGCCATGTTTCTCTTGGTTGTAACGTTGTCTTAAAGGCTCTAATTCCTCCTTTAACGAGGCCTCCTTTTTTCTAGCGATTTGTAATCTTTCCTTGGTAGTACTATCAGTGTCTACATCTCTCTCTAGAGCCTTAATTTCAACTTCAATCAATTGTAATTGACGTTCTTTTGAGTCAAGTTCTTCTGGTTTGGAGTCTCTTGCCACAGCAACACCAGCACATGAAATATCAACTAAATCCAGCGCAGAATCAGGTAGTCTTCTGTAAGGTAAATAACGTTTAGCTAATTGTGCAGCTGTAACTAAAGCACTGTCTAAAATCCGAACACCGTGATGGATTTCATACTTCTGTTGCAAACCTCTTAGAATTGCAACTGCTTGTCTAGTAGTTGGTTCTAAGACTTCGATTTTTTGGAATCTTCTTTCGAATGCACCATCCTTTTCAATAATGGCTCTGTATTCGTTGTTAGTAGTTGCCCCAATAACTTTTAAATGACCTCTCGACAGAGCGGGCTTTAAGATATTAGCAGCATCGTCCTTACCATTACCCATCAACATATGAATTTCATCGATGAAAAGAATGATTAAAGTTTTGGATTCTTCAACTTCCTTTAAAACACCCTTCAATCTTTCTTCAAAATCACCTTTGTATTTAGCACCTGCAGTCAAAGCAGCAAGATCTAAACTGTAAAGTTTACAGCCTTGTAAAATAGTTGGAACATCGTTATCGATAATTCTTGCAGCAATACCTTCAATAATAGCAGTCTTACCAATACCTGGTTCACCAATCAAACATGGATTAGACTTAATTCTTCTTGCAAGGACTCTGATTGTACTTCTAATTTCCTCTTCTCTACCAATAACAGGATCTAATTTACCTAATCTAGCTTGTTCAGTCATATCAATGGCATATTTCGATAAATTTTCCAATGGAGTGTTGGTGTCTGCGCCACGAGAATCTATCTTTTGGTTACCTCTTAAAACTAAGGCTTGTTGTTTGATGGCTTCAATATCAACTTGAGCCTCTTTAAACAATTGTTTTATTGAGGAATCAGTGAATAAGGCAAATAACAAATGATCCTGTGCAATAAATGAATCCTTTTGTTGTTTCTGTATTTTAGCAGCTTCTTGAAGAACCTGACCGAAAGCGTAACTTGGAGTTACTTGTGATGGAGCAGGATGTTGTTGTGGAACACGTACCAGAGTTCTATTAATAATTTTCTTAAACCCATCATAGTCATAACGGGCTTGATCAATCAAATTTTGTAAGTACGAAATAGAGCCATCTTCTGGTGTTTCAATGAAAGCAGCTAATAAATGGATTGGTTGGATTTGAGGATGTTGATGATCCTGAGCCAACTTTTGAGCAATTGTAACTAGGTTTAAAGCTTTGTCTGTAAAGTTTGTTTCGTCACTCATTGTAATATATCTCTATTTGTTTTATTATTCGATTTGTAAAACTTTCTATAAGAGTTTGATTTTCGATGTTATATATAGCGATATTAGAAGGAAAGAAAGACTGAATTGATCTCAAATAAATTTTTGGAAATCACAGTTCCTTATATACGTTGAAGATAGATTAAGAGAAAAGGTTTAACATTCTTGATGTTTCAATGATTCTATTGTCCGAAATGTCACTGGATATCCTAATACAATAATATATCAAATTTCAACGAAATTCCCTCTCACATCCCTTAAGACATACTATTTGGAGCTTATGTGATAAAAGTCATACTAAGTTTTCACCGATGAGAGTTCCGGAGACTACGCGATTTTTCTAGAACCTCCTGGAAAAAAAAATAGCTCGAAAAATAAAATAAGGGATATTTCCATTACACAATGTAGAGGTCAATTGGTGTGACTAGAAGAGAGAAGACAGATAATTCTGAGGTTCTCGTAAGCTCCGGATCAATCTATATTCGATGTTGCTGTGATCTTTGAGGTTGGTGGGTAGTTAAGTGGACTCTTAATGAGATGATTTCCGAAACTTTTATTTAAGGATTTGGTTTGAAGTTTGAATGTTATATATGGAACGAATATACCCGTCAGTAAATGAAGGATGTTCCGATAAATTGGTTAAAGTGGATTTAAATAAAATGTGTCACTTTTTCTTTCTTACAAAGTGGTGCAATTACTTGTATTTTTATAGAAAGTACCTTATAAATATCTAACGTAGAAATAATAAATGCTATAGACACTGCTCATGTTTTTTTATTATTGAGTAGTGCCCAGAACGACTAGTTTAAAAGAATTCTTGAATTGTATTAACCAAATATTGCATTAAATAAATATGTATGTATGTATGTACCAGTTAAATCTGGTCAATTAAATGGTGGATCCTTCCCGTGAAGGAAATATCTTAATAAATGTGTTCGTAAGAATGTATACAAGAGGGGAAATGATATTGTTCGAGTAATTTTGATTTTGATTTCCCATTATACCATAAAACTTTCACCACAACCACAAGTACCTTTAGAGTTTGGATTCTTAAAGACAAATTTAGATTGTAGTTTTTCATCTACCCAGTCCATTTCAGATCCAACAACACTAAATAAAGCTTTAGAATCAATGACAACTTTAACACCATCTTGTTCGATGATTTCATCAAATTTACCAGGTTCACTAATATATTGAAGATCATAGGTAGTACCTGAACAACCACGGTTCCTTGTACCAACACGAATCATCTGTGGATTTGGTTGATCTAATAATGCCTTTAAATGAAGAATGGCCTTTGGAGACAATGTAATAATAGCCTTACGAGGTCTCAAAGTTCTCTTTCTCTTTTTGGTTTTTAATGTAGTAGGATTCGCCGAGGATGTAGATGTCGTTTTTGTTTCATTTGAAATGGAAGCAGGATTACATTTAGCTTCTTCAATAATTTTCTTCGCAGCTTCTAATTTTTCTTTCTTTAATTTTTCTTCCATTAAAGAATTTTCATGCTGTTCCTTTAAAAATGTCTGAGATGGTAAGGAATGACTTGACCATTTAGACGTTTTAATTGAATTATCTTTATTTTTGAATGTCTTCGATTGGTTTATAAATTTAAATTTGAAATCGTTTTGTGGGAATTTATTAGTACTTGATATAGTAGAAGTCGCTGTAGTTGTTGTGGTGGTAGCTGTAGTAACATTTGGAATGAATTTTAATTTGGAAAGATTATTTGATCCACTTGAAGTCGAACTATTAAATGCAAGGTTTGTAGCATTTCTTCGTATTATTTGTGTGTTCGAATAATATTTTTTATTTGTTATTGCAATGATATTAGAAAGTTTATTTGTTGTCGAAATACAACAATTTTGACTTGTAATCCTTGATTGTAAAAGCATGTTTGGGTTTTTAGGAGGAATATGATATGATGTATAAATAAATAAGTAAATAAATAATGGTAACCTTCTTTAAATTGTTAAAGTTCTATTGTTTAAATTATATTTTTGTATGAGAACAATAAAGGTGTGAGGGGAAGTTTGTAATAAATAGTAAAGAAGAATATTTTAAATTGAAGAACGTTATATAAAAATAAAGTTCGAAGTGTTTTTGTTGTTCTGTTAATTTGTTGTTAATTATATATATGTATGTTTGACTTGAATGTTTCACAAAAGAAGAAGTAATAGATAAGAACTATGTCAATAAAATAATTTCTGCATTTGTCATCACCTATAGATATTGTTCTTTCAGGTATAAATAAAATGAATATAATATTATAATATTGCTATATGAAATTAAAAAGATTTAGAGTCATTGATATTTGGCATCTTTTTTCTCTTTATTTCTTATCCTATAGCCGTTATTAGAAACAATTGTGGCCTGCTATTTCCCAATATATTGGAATCACTCATATGTGGGTAACAGCAGGAATAAAAAAAATCAAACATAAGATGAGAGGAGGAGTTAACAATTTCCCCTACATAGTATAAGTAAAATTTAATGGGAATTTACTGGTCAAGTACTATCTGTCCGTAACTTTTTTCTTCCCATGGGAATTTTCGTATGAGAAAGGCGGTTCCTTGTCACGCTCGTATATAGTGATTGTAGATGATTAGTTGTTATTATTTTTCCATTTCTCCGCATGTTTTATTGCAGAATTTGGGCAAGGCGAGGAAGAAATATTAGGACAGACAACCGGTGAAGCGGGAAACTGAATGTTTTTCTTTCATAGAGGAATAATTTAATGAATTTGTTGTGTTATTCTATGGTGAGCCAATCATATTAGACTTCATTACTATGTAGACGATGGCCAACACCCACACACTTAGCCGAAATGTCGGTAAACATGTGACCGAAGAGATCAAAAAATGTAGCTCCTAATGTTCAATGCTATATACTGTTCTGGGATTGAGTTTTACATTTTTTATATGTCGTACAGTGATATATAATGAACAAGTACAAAATACATCACATGTGCATCGTATATATTAATAGGTAAGGCTATACCAATAGGAAATGCTTTTGTAGTTGAATTTTGGATCATAATTTTGTGTTTTTTTACTACTCGTCAAAAACGTATGTATCTAAGGGGCAAATAAAAAAAAATAAAAAAAAATATTGTCAAAAATATACGGTAAGTCTTAAAACTATTTATTATTGTCATTATTATTATTACCGTCTGTAAAGTTTATAACTTTATTCTATGTGCATCTTTTATCATTTTTCACGAAGTGAGGGTGGAAGGGTAACCCAAGCAACCGTAAAATAATTTGAAGAAAAGAAGAAAAAAAGGACGATAAAATTATATATGCGCTTTGTTGGATGATTTCCCTATCTTTCTTTAGTGGTACGAACGAAGCTTTACCCACCTAATAATTAAACAATACCTAAACACTTTTTAAAATTGAGTTCTTGAGTTAAAATAGATTAGTTAGTCCATTTCTTTCATTTTAAAATATAATTATATCTTAAATTAAAAGAAGATACTTTATTTATTCTCTTTACTTCTATTTGATATTATCTAATCTTTAAACTCTAGAGATACAAGCGTATAGTTGTTAACAACAAATACACATTTTATCACATTAATATAAATTTATTCATTTAGAAGTATCGCTATCGAGTTCATTTTTTTTTGCAGGATCAACATAATATTGTATTTTACCATCTACTATTTGATACCTCTTTTTTAAAATTACAATCTTTCTTTCTTTATTTTTTTTGTTTGATTTCCCCTTATTAACGTTGTGGTTTAAATTTGTTTTTTTGTTTTTGGCAGGATTTGTAAGCAATAATTTAAACAATTTTATCAACTAATAACAACCGTTTAATTAGAAAATTTTTGTTTTCTAATAACAGAAATCTTTTTATAAAGAAAAATATAACAAACTTTTCAAATAACAATAAATTTCCATTAGTCAAATTACCAAAAAATTTATATAATATGACTCAAAGAACTACTACTACAGCTACCGTTACAAGTTTAGCTCGTGGTTCTATCTCAGGAAGATTTAGACCATGTGATGACTGTACCTGTTCTCCAGGTTTATTATCAAGACAAGGTAGAAGAGCATCCTTATTTTTAAGACAAATAGAAAGTAGTCGTAGAAAGACCCATTCCCATAATAGAAACTCTATTGCTGGTATTGATAATGCTTCCATCTATTCTTCTGACTCCCTATGTCAATCTAACAAAGAAGTTAATACTAGTCAAAGGTTACATGCTTTACGTTCAGAAATGGAAAAACATGATATAGCATGTTATATTGTTCCAAGTGAAGATGAGCATCAATCTGAGTATGTCGCAGCTATTGATCAAAGAAGAAGTTTCATTTCTGGATTTTCAGGTTCTGCTGGTATCGCCTGTATTACTAGAGATTTATTAAATTTCAATACAGGACATCATGAAGGTAAATCTGTTTTGAGTACTGATGGTAGATATTTTAATCAGGCATTACAAGAATTAGATTTTAATTGGTCATTATTAAGACAAGGTGTTGATCAAACAACTTGGCAAGAATGGTGTATTAAAGAATGTCAAGAAATGTCGGAAGGTCTAGGTAATAAAGAAGTTAAAATTGGTGTAGACCCAAAATTATTTAGTTATCATCAAATCGTTCAAATACAAAAATTAATTAACGATAAATTAGCTGGTTTTAATGCTAATGTCTCTTTGGTTCCAATAAAAGATAATCTGATTGATGCCATATGGAATGAATTCGAAGTAGTTCCTGAAAGAGAAAAGAACGAGTTATTGATGTTACATTATGAATATCATGGTGAAGAATTCCAATCAAAACGAGATCGTTTAATGAAGAGTCTAAAAGAGAAATATGCTACATCAGACAATGCTAAACATACATTTGTAGTTGTTGCATTGGATGAAATTTGCTGGTTATTAAATCTTCGTGGTTCGGATATTGAATATAATCCAGTCTTTAATGCATATTTGTTGATGAATGACGATGGTGAAACAATTTTGTTTTGTGATAATCCAACCAATGAAGAAATAAAGTTTTTCTTTTCTGATAATGCAATTATTGTCAAACCTTATAATGAAATTTGGGAATTCCTTAATGTTTACACAAACGAATTAGAATCTCAATCAAATGACTCTGAGCAAAGTCATTCCATTTTCCTACCTGATACCTCATCCTGGCAAATTGTCCGCTCTGTTGAAAATATTCCATACAAGATCATCCACTCACCAATTGATTTCTTTAAATCTGTCAAGAATGATATTGAGTTAGGTAACGCACATAGAGCTCAGGTCAAAGATGCTCTATCTATTATACAGTATTTCTCCTGGTTAGAACAACAACTGGTTGAAAAAGAGGCCTTAATTGATGAATACAAAGCTGGTGAAAAATTAGTTGAAATTAGAAAAACGCAAAAGCATTATATGGGTAATTCTTTTGAAACTATATCGTCAACAGGTGCTAATGCAGCCATTATTCATTATGCACCACCTAAAGATAATTGTTCTATGATTGATCCATCAAAGATCTATCTATGTGATACTGGTTCTCAATTTTTAGAAGGTACTACCGATATTACAAGAACATTACATTTCACCAAACCCACACAGGAACAAATTGACAACTATACGTCAGTCTTAAAAGGCAATTTAGCAATTGAAAGACTAGTAATTCCTGAAGGAACAACTGGTTATAGTATTGATGCTATTGCTAGACAGTTCCTGTGGGAAAGGGGTTTAGATTATAGACATGGTACTGGTCATGGTATTGGTTCATTTTTAAATGTTCATGAGGGACCAATTGGTATTGGATTTAAACCACATTTAGCTAATTTCCCATTACAAGTTGGAAATATAATTAGTAATGAACCTGGTTACTATAAGGATGGTGAATATGGTATTAGAATTGAAAATGATATGGCTGTTAAAAGGGCAGAAGGTTTACAATTTGGTGATCGTAAATTTTTACGATTTGAAAATATTACATTAGTACCATATTGTAAGAGATTAATAAATGTTAAGATGTTAACCACTCAAGAAATAACACAAATTAACTCATACCACTCAAGAATCTGGAATACTTTAGTTCAATCTATTCAACCTCAAAGTATTACTTTCAAATGGTTAAAGGAAGAAGTGAAACCATTGCGAGAATAGATATATCTATATACAGTTCATTAAGTATACGTAAATACTAATAGTCGATTACAAACTTTTGTATATGTTTTTTGTAATATTCGAGTGAACCCATTAAGTCTCTTGTGTACAAGGAGTAATGAAAAGAACTGATCAAAATTTACGCCCCCCCCCCAACTGCATTACCATATTTTATGGTTTTTTAAATATAGTTTGCAAGATAATTTCTAAAAAAAGGAAAAAATTGGTGAATCTACTGTACTGTGAAAGTGTCAAATTCATGCATTTTCTGAAAGGTCAGGGTGCAAAACTAAAACTTTAAATTATTACCATGACATGAGTGATTGTCTAAAGAATCTAGTTAAATTACAGTGTTAGAAAACCTACAAAAAAACACCTCAAACATGGTGTTACTATGTTAATAATATTGATATAATAATATTGAATTTAATTGGAGTACTATTGATATGTATGTACCTATGTGTTTTGGTTCAGTTTTTAAGAATGTGTCAGTCCAATATCCTTTAAAAAATTTGGGGGTGCATTTAAAAAAAAGGTTATCTTAGAAATGCAATGGATCACTTTAAAACTATTTGTACCAAAATATAAGGAGGAGGCACAAGATTTAAAAAAAGAACAATAAGGAGCCTAGTTCACGAAGACTATTCTTATGATTTCTCGATACCGCTCACTACCAATGAAAATACATTAGTCTTATGAAAATTCAAGTATGCTATTTTTGAGCTATCATTTTTACCCGTAATCAATCCGACAAGTCCCCATCCGCGGAATCGAATCCACGGAATAATAGTGCGAGTTTATTTTTTGTGACAAAAATTGGGGCTTTTTCACGTCTATTTACTCTTCACTGAATAAATATTTATGTGATAGTAGATAGGGTTTATCTAGTGTAAGTTTGATGATTATCCCAGAAATATCTTAGAATAATCGTCATCAATTTCGATATTGAGCTATAAGAGGAAATCAATTTTGCTATCATTTTGATATTCTTTGATTTAAATATACGTTTGTTTTATAGAGCTAATTATTATTATTAGCGCCAAACACTGTATTAATTTGAGTGTTTTCAACTGTTTTTTTGATCTCCCGCTTTCTTACAAATTTTCTCTCTTTCAATTTCGTTTATAGGCCGGCAATATTTTATTAGTAAGGTAAGTAAATCTTCGTCCACATCTTGAAAAAAAAAAAAAATATTTCGCACGGCATATTCTCTGTGAAAAGAAAATTTTATAGTTTTTCCATTATTTTTTTCTCTTGTTTCTTATTTTATTTTATTTTTATACCGCCGTTCTACGTGAGAATATTTAATTTTTTCAGTTTTGTTAGAGAAATTGAAAGAGCAAAGAACAGAATTAAAAGCTTAAAGCGGTAAAAGATAATAACAAACAGACAGTTAAATTACAGCAGCCGCTTCTTCCGTTTAAAAAGACAGTCATCGTCTTCTAACTAAAAGGAAAACAAAAAAATAACGAAATAGAAGAAGAAAAAAACTTCAATTTCACATGATGATTATACATATATAAAGCAAAGACCCTTTTATTCGATATATGTTTCTTCTTTTTATTTAGTTTGAACCTTTCCCTCTTCTTGATTCTACGTTTGTTTAAAGTTATTACTTACCTTTCTATATATATATTATTATTATTATTATTATAGCCAATCAACTAGGCAAGTGAACAAAAAATAGAGTAATCTTAAAAAACAAACGCTGTTTCAAAAGCTAAAATTATATTTACATATATTAGTTTGTTATTTAACTCTGTATTTTTGTGTTTTCTTAATCTCATTTCAAGAAACGAGATAAGTTAAATATAAAGGATTTACCTTAAGAAAGTTATTACTTTTTTAGATTTTTCTAAAACATAATACAATAGTGGTTTTGGGAATAAATTTCATATTACTTGATTTTTTTTGATTTACATCAATCTTTGTCTTTTTTCATATTTAAAGATATATTAAAGGAAATAATAGTATTAAAGTATAACGTATTACATTAGTTGCTTAAGGATAAAATCACAATGACTACATTTACCGACGCTAATAGTAGAATATCTGGATCTGATTCACCAAGATCTTCTACATCTTCTCAAAAGGAAGTTGTTAATTCATCTTCTTCGTTATCTGATCCAGAAGAATTTAGAGGAGAACTTGGTTTTGATTCCGGGGATGCAGATGCTGATTTAGATAAATTATCAAAGATTAATTCAAGATCAGAATCTGCCTTAGGTGCAAATAGAACTCTATCTCGTATCTTAACAGGTACTCAAGATGTTCCAGAAAAGACTACAGTTGACTATTCAAACACATTACCAATGGGTGGTGATAGACCATACCCACCTGAATTACCAGATAGAGATGCATTCGAAGTTACCTTCGATGGTCCAAATGATCCTATGCATCCGTTCAATTGGCCTTTAAGAAAAAAAATTATTATTTGTGTTGTCTTATGTCTAGATTGTATCTGTATCTCTATGACAAGTAGTATTTTTGCCTCTGGTGTTCAACAAATTTGTGAAATTTATAATGTTATTCAAGTTGTTGCCATTTTAGGTGTTACTCTATTCGTTTTAGGTTTTGCTGCATCTCCTATCATTTACGCTCCTTTATCAGAAATTTATGGTAGAAAAGGTGTTTTGATTATTTCCGCATTTGGTTTCACCTTATTTCAATTTGCTGTTGCAACAGCAGAAAATTTGCAAACAATTATGATTTGTAGATTTTTTGGTGGGTTAATTGGTGCTGCTCCTATGGCCGTCGTTCCAGCTGCTTTTGCCGATATGTTTGATACTAACATGAGAGGTAAAGCTATTTGTTTATTCTCCTTGGGTGTCTTTGTTGGTCCTATCTTAGCTCCAGTTATGGGTTCTTATATTGCTCAACATACTACTTGGAGATGGTTAGAATATGTCGTTGGTTGTTTTGCAGCTGCAGTTTTTGTCGCTACTGTACTTTTCTTTGAAGAAACTCATCACCCAACCATTTTGGTTGCCAAGGCAAAACAAATGAGAAAGGATACTGGTAATTGGGGTATTCATGCTGCTCATGAAAATGTTGAATTATCTATTCGTGATATTGTTCAAAATACTATTAGTAGACCTATTGTTATGCTTGCTACTGAACCAGTCTTATTAGTTGTCACAATTTATAATTCTTTCGTTTATGGTATTTTATATCTGATGCTTGAAGCTTACCCAATTGTCTTTGTCGAAGGCTACGGCTTCTACACTAATGGGGAATTACCTTATATTGCTTTAATTATTGGTATGTTGGTTTGTGCTATCTTTATTTGGTATATGGATAGTGATTATCTGAGAAGAGTTCGTGCCAAAGGTGGTCTGGTACCAGAAGCAAGATTATATCCAATGATTGTTTCAGGTGTTGTCTTCCCAATTGGTATTCTATGGTTCTGTTGGACTGGTAACTATCCAGATAAGATTCATTGGATTTGCCCAACTATTGCTGGTGCTTTCATTGGTTTTGGTTTAATGGGTATTTTCTTACCATGTCTAAATTATATCATTGAATCATACTTATTAGTTGCAGCATCTGCTGTTGCGGGTAACACTTTCCTAAGATCAGGTTTTGGTGCTGCCTTCCCATTATTTGCAGGATATATGTTCCATGGTATGGGTACTGGTTGGGCTGGTCTACTTTTAGGTCTGTTCTCCGCTGCATTGATTCCAGTTCCATTATTATTACTGAAATACGGACCTGGTATCAGAAAGAGATCCAGATTTGCTTATTCTGGATGATCCCTATTTCTTTTTTTTAAAAATAAAAACAATCTCTTTTCGCATTGAAGCTTTACCAATTATATTCTTCATCATCTTTAAATTCATTCATTACAAAAAGTACATATATTAAAACATAAAATTAAAATAATTGTTGTTTTACGCTGTTCTACTTTTTTTTTTCAGATAGAACATTCCAAGAAAAGATTCTCAATTAATTTTCACTTAAGCAAAGATACATTAAATCGTTAAGCATAGACTTTTAATACCCCATAAAGATTTAGTTATGTCACTGTGATAGTTCGAAATTCTTAGATATTAAAAAGAAAAAATAAAAATACGGGAATAATTGAGCTACCTTAAATAATTTCTAATAAAAACTTTTTAATAATAAGAGTATATAACAAATAAAATATAAACATTATAAAATAAATATGTTGCAATAATTAATATAATACATTATCGATCAATCCTTCGGTTACGTCGTGGATGAATAATATACCTATTCTAAATTTGATGGGTGATTGACCTTATTGAGAAAGAGTAATTAAGTATTCTGATTATTTTTTTTTGTCGTACGTTTCAGTCGTTTCTTTTTTTTGTCCATACACCGGTTAAGCAATTTTTCAAAATTTGAATCATTCGGCGATCCCCGAAACAAAAGACATCGATAAACTGAAAAATTTTATTGTAGTATTTAAGGATGGTCTCTTGAACAAAGTAGAGATTAAACAAACTGGTTTTACTTTTTCATTATTTTCCTCGTTTTAAAAGGTTTATTCTCTCTCAAAAAGATTACATTATCATTCAAATCATAATTTTTGGCTTCCTTTAAAAGAAATAAAAGAATACACAAAAATCAGAAATGTCTGCTTCCCTGAAAACTAACTTCCTAGGTTTTAACTATGAAAACCCATTAATGAATGCCTCAGGTGTCCATTGTATGAGTACTACTGAATTAGATGAATTAGCTAACAGTAAAGCAGGTGCCTTCATTACTAAGAGTAGTACTCCTAATGACAGAGCTGGTAACCCATCTCCACGTTATTATTCAGTTCCTTTAGGTAGTATTAATTCTATGGGTCTACCTAACAAGGGGATCGATTACTATTTAGAATATGTTCTTGATCGTCAAGCTAAATATCCAGATGCTGGTCCAATCTTCTTCTCTGTTGCTGGTATGAGTGTCGATGATAACTTAAACATGTTACATAAAATTCAAGATAGTAATTTTAATGGTGTCACCGAATTGAATTTATCATGTCCAAATGTTCCAGGTAAGCCACAAGTTGCTTATGATTTTGAACTAACTATCGAAATTCTAACGAAAGTATTTGCTTTCTTTAAGAAGCCATTAGGTGTAAAACTACCACCATATTTTGACTTTGCTCATTTCGAAATTATGTCAGATATTCTAAACAAGTTCCCATTAACTTATGTTAACTCGATTAACAGTGTAGGTAATGGTCTATACATTGATGTAGAAAAGGAAAGTGTTGTCATTAAGCCAAAGGATGGTTTTGGTGGTATTGGTGGTGAATATGTTAAGCCAACTGCCCTTGCTAATGTCCGTGCTTTCTATACTCGTCTAAACCCAAGTATCAAGATTATTGGTACTGGTGGTATTAAAACTGGTCAAGATGCATTCGAACATTTACTGTGTGGTGCCACTATGTTACAAATTGGTACTGAATTACAAAAGGAAGGTGTATCTATATTTGACCGTGTGGCGAAGGAATTACTAGATATTATGAACAAGAAAGGCTATAAGACAATTGACGAATTCCGCGGTAAGTTAAACAGTTTATAATTGATTAATTCAAATATATACAAAATGTAAATATACAAAATGAATATCCGGTTACTTTATGAATTAGTAAATAATGAATCATTTATCAAGTACAGTAGGAGAAAATATGCACAAAAGACGTTTTTTGGGATAAATTATTTAGTTCCAAAGTTCTCAGGATTTGGTAGCCATGGTTTCAAGATCCTTGTATGTGCATGTAGAACCACCGCATGCAATAATAATAATTATATCATCCTTGTCAAGCCTATGCCCTAGTGCCTTTTCGGTGATTTCAGGATAGAACCCCAAATGAATAGCCGCAGCACAAGCTGGCTCAGTTATATAGTTGGAAAAATCAGTATATTTTAAACTTGTCTTAAGCACTTCATCATCAGTTAATGTTATTGACTTAGTTGCATATTTTCTTGCAAATTCGAATGTCTCTTGAGTAACATATACGGAGCCCAACGAGCTAGCAATGCTTGTGATTTTATCCAAGGTAACCATTTTATCTTGTTTCAAAGATCTAGATAGAGCATCTGTTCCTATAGTTTCTACAGCAATTACTGGAATCTTATCAGCCAAGTTATGTCTACACAGGCCTGTCATAATACCATTGTAAAGACCACCTCCACCAATACTACAGACAATACCTTTTACTCTGGAAATATCCACTTGGTCGTTATTTAGAGACTCTACGATTTCATCGACAATGGTAGAATGTCCTTCCCAAATAGTCGGATCATTAAATGGGTGAACATAAATCGCTTCAGTCTTTTCTTTGTCAATTTTTCCAATAACTTCATTAGTTAGGTGAGAATCTGCCTCTTTCCAGTGCTCTCCAATGACAATAACTTCGGCACCGACATCCCTGATCTTTTTGACCATATGGGTCTTTGTAGTCAGGGGAACAACAACTGTGCATGGGAGAGATAATCGACTACATGTTACAGCGGCAGCATAACCCGCATTACCTCCTGAGCTTGAAAATACATGGATAGACTTATTACCAGATCTTCTAGTCTCAATTACTCTAGAACGGATCAAAGTACCAATACCTCTACTCTTAAAACTTCTACCTGGTTGTAGTGTCTCGTACTTTACATATGTCTGAGGGGAATCTGGATCGGTTGATAGGAATTCACGTATTAGCGGTGTCTTATTATATACTGGAATCTCATTCGTTTGATTTGTCATTGGATGGAAATATATTTAGTAGTGAGGAGACTTTAGTATGTTTTATATTATGAAGAGTTGAAGGTAATAAAGATCACGAATCTCTCGCAATATCTTTTAACATTTTTTCATCAAAACAGGGCCTTATATAGATGATATATGACATAATTTGCAGGCTGACTGATTATATGGAAAGGAAAATTATTGAAATTTTCTCGAAAACGGCCCGGATGTCTCTCTTGGACAAAGAAATCTAAATTCCTTTGAAAGATAAGAGTTTTTTTCGCACTCTGGACTATCTTATTGCGGCAGAAACCATGTAAGATATTTTTTTGTTGTTATCAGTTGTTGAAAAATTGAGTCACAATGAGGACAGATTGGAACAATAAGTTGCTATTCTCAACGCATATGAACTTAACAGGAGACCTAAAAGTATCTTATTTTGGTGCCTGATGTTGGTTAAAACAACGTACTCTCTTTGGGTCGATTCAACTAACAAGATTCTATCAGCATAGTTATTCTATAATAGTAATTAAGTGATTTATTAGTACAATATAAATGCATACAAATGGGTTAGCTAGATAATGGTTGTTGTTTTTTAAAAGCTTCATTATCTTAAAACACATCCATGAAGGCTTATCATTGATATGGTATATATAAGTAGAGCGTATTATAAGAACAAGGAATACGTATGCTCTATGTAAATCATAGAAAATGCTCTAGGTAATGAGGAGGATTGGAATAACGCCCAACTTGTCAACCATATTTTGAAGTAACTGAAAGTATGAGTATTAATCTCATTCTAAGGGGTTTCATATTTAGAAATATTCTAAATTATGAGAATATTATTTATTTTCTCAATAAACATATATATTACTTTGCATTAACGTGACATTTTTGTTTCTCCAAATCAACAAATATGTATTCTTCTTCTGTAGTTTGATCGTCATTATTAACTAACTCACTATTTTCTTTCTGGGTAGTTAGCGCAATATCTGCCTTTCCGAACCATCTAAAACGACATAACCAAATAAATTGTGACATAAATATTCCTAACTCTAAGAAAGCAACAATTGCATATAAAATTAGACTTAGGACATTTTTGTCACCTACTGCGACACTTGCAATTGAGAAGTATGCACCCAAACTATCCATTGTGAGAAATATAAAATTGATCCCCACAACTCTACCTTTTCTCTTAGCTAATTCAAAATAGGGTGGTAAGAGACCTACAGCCAATAAAATAGACGCTATTATACCAAATATTAAGGCAGGCCAATGTGTACCATTTTTGTATACAGGTTTCAACCAAAGAATGAAACCCAATTCCATAGCTAGGTCAACCGCCAAAAGTGAGATCCCTATGGCAAGGATTTTCCATTTTGGTAATTTCATTGGTGGGTAATATATCGTTTGAAAGAAACTTATACTACAAAAAAACATAAACAAATGAGGTTGTATCTGAAAAATAATTTCCGCATTCAAAATACAAAAATAAATCCCAAACGGTATACCTGATACTACCCATAAGAACATCATCAAAGGTGGAAGTCCGGTGCAATCTTTTTTTCTATAATTTGTAATTATCTGTGGAATTAATTGTACACACCACAGTATCGTACCAACTGTTGCTAACCCAGTTACAATCCCACTGTTTGAACCCATTTATTAATTTGTGTCTTATTGTTTCTATGCTATTAATTTATTTGAAGTAGTATATCCCTTCAATTGCGGTTTTTTTAATTCATATACATAAGCTGTCTAAGAAAAATAAATAAACTAAATTGGGGGTAATAGGTTATTGTAAAATATTCATTCTGATGTATCCATCTACTAATTATATATTATTTTGAATAATTTTTTTTGTTTTGGTAACTCCCAGTTGTTAGTCATACTAATTAACCTATTGTTTTATTCGAAAATTGAACAATAAGATAAGATCATACTTCACTACTTCTTCTTCCTTGTTTCCTTGTTCTACCACAACATACAATAATTTTATTTGTATTGTTATCTAGTGCTCATCGATGGTTTAAATTTTTTCGTGCTTTGTAATTTCGTTACGGGAATTGTCGATAAATTTCAATTTAATCTAACGTCAAGTCCTCCCACGTTATTTTTTCTCCTCGGCTTCTGTTATCAAATGGATCTTCAAAAGTATTCTATCTGTACGGTCAATGTTGTTTTTTCTGATAATTATCAAAATTGATTTCCAGAGAGCACCGTCTACATATACCTTATTAGGTAGTTATTCCCGAGATAAAAGTTATATTCTCAGTGTCTGTTATAATTACCGTTATTGGTATATCCTGCCGAGATGACTTTTAAGTCAAATAAATAATAATAAAAAAGAAACGGGGATCTGGGATCTATTGGTAAGAGTCTTTGTCTATTCTAATTAAAAATAAATGTAAAAAAATTTTACATAATATAACAAAATGAGATACAAACTATATATGTATACATTTTAAAAGGTGCCTCCAGCCGTACCATACATCTGTGTGTCGAACATTAATCTATTCCTATGTCTATTTCTTCTATTTTTCCTTTCTTTTTGTCTCTCTATTACGTGCAGCACTAAAGCTTGGCAAGCAAACGTTTGGGTCAATTCCGGTACATTAGATAAACCCAAATTTGCTTCAGAACCTTGTTCACCTACAACAAAATCAGCATCCTTTTCGATAACACCTGGGAGAATGTCTTTATCTTCCGATGTATAATGACCTATAACGGCATCATATGGGTCTATCTTTGTTAAATTTTCTTTCTTCTTTTGCAGTTTAACAGAAGGTGAATCCGTCAAAGAAATCTCTCTAGGATTCAAAAGTGCCAGTTTGTAATGATCGTTTTCTAAAGGACTGTAACGTACATGCCATCTAAAGTTTTGATTCATCACGCATGTATCCATGTCTCTGAATTCTCTTTTGTGTAGCATATATGAGGCATTTTCTTTATCTTCATTGACCACAAACTGTAGAGCTGTTTGACTTAATTTGGAAGATTTGTATATTTTAGAATAGACATATTTGTAGACTTTAAAATTAGCATTTTGAGCGATAATTTCAAAATCACCGTAAGGCGGTACTTCATCTAATTTCTTGATCTCATATTTATATATCTTATAAGTTAATTCTGTGTCTAACATAGTCATACCATGCGTAAGTAATTGACGTTCAATTAGGAACAACGGAATCCCCATACCATTTTCATCGATATTATTGATATCACTACCTCTATTTGTCTTAAATCTATCAAATGATTGTATAGATGGGAATATCAGATAACCTCGACGTGTCGGAACATCCACAATTGGCATATGTCTTTCAATATTAAAATGTAGAAACTCCGGTATATGCTTATCGTTTTTCTTTTCTACTCTTAATCTTCTATCATCGTCCATAAGTTTGACCGCAAGTTTCCTAAATAAACCCATTATTAATATTTCTTGCAAGTATTTTGAATGCAAAATTTTAAGCTATTCTTATCTTGAAGAGTGTTATATCAATTAATATTAATTGTTTCAACTAATATTAGCAACTTTTAATGAGATAAAAAATAACAATGACTTGGTATCCGCAACGACTAGTAAATAGCTTTATTTTTTTCCCTTAAAGCTCTTTATTTAAATAGTTTCCTTAAATAAGTCGTCCCTTACTGCAACAGATATTCAATCTCATTATTTTATCGACAAAAATTAATTTTTTCTAAAGAGGCGAAGCGCAAGCAGCGAAGAGAAAGGCGCAGTGTATAGAATTGCTTCCATAAAAAGCATGGAGTTAGTTGTACTCATCGTCTCTTCTACCGATAGACTCAATGAAATTTAAAAAGTAAGCAAATGTTATAATAATCAGCCTCCGAGAATGTATACTTAATTAATTGATGTTTTAATTCGTTCCGAAATTTTAATATGACAAAAAATTTCATGAAGCTATAACCTTTAAATAATTCAAAAAGAGAAATCTACACCTACAATATTTAACTAAAACATAAAATTGAAAAGCTACTGGTTAGCTGTTTTGTAAAAATGTTTTTCTGATAAATATCTTTGGTTGCTGATATTGATACCATAGTATTGTCGTCATCCAATTTTAAGATCTTCATATATAGCTTATTGGGACAAAACAACAAAATCATATATTCTTATAATCTACTTCCATCAGAGTGCTCTTAAAACAGTACGATAAAAAAATTTTAACGCTTCTACATTTTTCAATGAAATAACATATATATAAAAGTATATAAAATATTAAATGTCAATAACAGATATTTCAAAAGTAAGGAGATATCTTACTTTCCACAAATTCCCATAATTTGATGGCAACCCCATTAGTTAAACCAAGCTTAATATCCTCTCTTGGGTCATGAATTTCACCAAAGGGAACAATGTATGCACCAGAATCTTGGGGTTTTAATGTTGGGCTCAATGCACCATATAATTCTGAGTAAGCACCGTAGACACCATCCCACATTAGATATTTTGCAAGAGTCATTGAAAACCCCCAACCTCTTTGTAAGTCTGTCTTTAAGTTACCTGGATAACATGATACAGAAACACAACCAATTTCTTCACAGATATTTTTATTCTCTTCGTACCATGCCTTAGCTTGATATATATTAGCAGCCTTAGATTGGCCATACAAAACATTGTTATTTGGTCTTTCTTTAGTTGGTGAATTTTCAAACAATGGATCCTCCCAGTTAATACCATATGTATTAAATGCTAATAAATGGGCACCAGAACTAACCCAAACGATTCTCTTCAACGAAGTATCGTCATTCTTTAAAAATAAGGGATCAATGAAATGTTGTAACAGTTGTGGGCCTAAGACGTTAGTTTGAAACATAGCTTCATAACCTTGGAAAGATGTTCCTTCATTATTTGGAGCCATTAATCCTGCATTATGAATAATAATATTTAGTGCTTTAGTACCTAAAACTTCTTTAATCTTAAGACCAACAGCTGGAATCTTTGATAAGTCCATATAATCACAACCACTAACAATAGTTATCGTACCTTTAGACTCTGGATTGTTATTAACAATATCATCGCGAGCTTCATCACCCTTAGATTGACTTCTAACAATACCGATAACGTTACAATTTTTTTGATATAATAGTTCAAGGGAATGTTTACCAATACCAGTGTTACAACCAGTAACAATTGCAGTCTTGCCGGTCAAATCTGGATAATCATCTGGGGTAAAATTTGGTTTGTTTGGTCTAAAACCATAGTATATCTCACGCAATAATGTAATCTTACTGTAACCTGGGGCTGGTGCAATTAAAGTATTCATTTTTTATTTCTTTCCTATAAAAATTCTAGTTTTTTGGCAGTTAAATATAAAGTATTTAAATTAGCGTTGTACTAACAATAATAATCCTAAACTTATGTATTTATATCTTTATATTTATTAAAGAAAAATAATAGAAACCAAAAAATCAATTGGTGAAGTTAGTTTATTCTGTAATATCCTGGCTCCTTTTATATAAACAATATTAGGAATGGCCAACCCATCCCTTGAAAAAAGTTCATCAAAATAATAATAGCATTAGCGAAAAGACCTTAGAAGGTAGCCCTTTTTCACAAAACGTAGATTTTCTTCCCATCCCGGTCTTTTGACCTTTCCCCCGAATTAAATGGATAACACTCAAAAAAACAAATTGTGTTTCCTCCGTTCCTGGACAGTTAACTACGTAAGCAAAAGGTCGGCCGAAACGAATAGTTAAGATTTGACTTTGGTATGCTGCGCATACCAAGTCCTATTAGTTTTTGATCGGCCGAAAAAAAAATATATATATGGAGTATAAAATTTATAGATTCGGATTAAAGAAATGGTTATTGGAGATCTCGGATATATATATATTTCGGAAATAACTATTAGACTCGGCCGAAAATGACATTAACTACTGTCTATCAGCAACCCCAAGGTTCTATGTAAACCAAATGCTTGAATTCAGTGTATAGCTTTTGTTTGCATTAAATTACAAAGGTAGATATAGAAACCAAATTATTTTCAGACATATTTTTTTTGGAAATAAAACATTTAGGCAATACAAAAATATATATTTTTATGGTATTTCAGAAGATTTTGCAAACCATTTATTTTATTTCTCACTTCATTTACTATTATCAATACTAATTTTGACATTATATGATTTATACGTCATTCCAAATTGAAGGATATGACATGTGTATGGCCCAGTAAGTATTTGTCTTGTATGATGGGATATTGCTGTGAATACAATTTGTATATAAAGCGTAGATTATAAGAATTTTATATCTTTACATTAAGAAATATCTCTCTTGAGGAAGGGGGAGGAGCTCTGCCGTGAGCCACGCAAACCTAGTCTTGGCGCTCAGTACACATATACCAATTTACAATATTATTCTCATTATTTCAGTTGTCCAGTACAAATATTTACACTTTTGATTGGAAATATCCTACGAAGTAGTTAAAAATGAGTATGAAATAGTCTTTATAATTAAATTAAAAACCTGATTATATACAGTGTTACATGATTTACATGTCTGTGATAAAAAATAGGTATTTACATTATCAAAAAAGAATATCACTTTTAAGTTTTTGTTTACGCGAGGTAACATTCAACCGGACACTACCCTAAATGGTAAAAGTAAAATATTATAATATCTTCGCAAAAAATAAAAAAAAGTGACAAATATAAACTGAAAGAAATCCTCATATATATCTTGTTGAGCATTAATTTTGTTAATATTTTCATTTATTTTTATCATACAGACATTATACCGATAATTCTTCTTAATCTATTTCGGAAAGGATTATTTATGATAAGCGTTTGCATTACTGCTTATGTTGTCTTGTAGAGCGTAATCCATTTTGTCGATCTTATATTTTAATAAAAGTTATATAGTAATATCTTACAGTTCGTTCCTCGTAGTTTTCTTTCAAACCCGAAATATAATATACATAAGAATTAGGACATAGATGTTTTTTACTTCCATCATTCATGCTCTTTATATATGTTTGTAATTACGTTGTTTTCTTATTCATACAAGAATCCCTTCATCTCAGACCAAGTCGGATAAGCCTATTTTATTATCTTTGATTACTGACTTTCGTCGTATCATTTATTATTTCTTTGTTCTTTATAAGCTTATGCTACTGCTCTATGGAGAATTAGGATTCATCAATTTAATATATAAATTATGTATTTCAACCCTCTGTTTTTGTAATATTATGAATCTGATGGCGAAATTGTTAATCTTCACATTAATGAACTTCTTATTCAAGTTTCTTCTTATAAACCTATTCAATTATAATTATTGTGTCTATATGAATATTTTTACTGCTGAACAGAGTGTAATACTTAAATTCAGCATATCGTAGAGTACTCTACGATCAACACCATACGACCGCAAGATGTACCACATTGTATATGTTACATTGTGAAGCACAATGTGTAATATTATGAAACACAATGTAGGGAGGTGCTGCTATGACAAGTAAATAGCCATATACATATAAAGTAATGCAATATTCGATAGCACACATCGTAGATGTCAATATATGATGTTATGCTCAATATCTAAGAGTTTAGGGAAAAATAGAGGACATTTTATAATTATATCTATTGCAAATTGACTAATAGAGAATGATGGATGTTACCGCCCCAACTATACTTAATGATGCGTTTGAGATATTGGCAACAATAAAATTTAATCCTGTTTGGCTTGGGCTCACTATTATTTTAACCTCCAAATAAAAATTCAAAAGAATTCGAGAACAGTCGTGAAAAAAATGAAATACACCCTATTTCTATACTGCTTGAAAAACCTTTCAACACAGTTGTTAAAATATTCGAATTTAGAATAATTTGATGGAAACTCTGGAATATATGCTCTGTAAAAATAGACTAAATTTATTATATTCAAAATAGAGTCGTCTGACTTGTTATATACAAAATACAAGTAACCTTTAAAACCTATACGAAGCTGTATTATGTTGTAGGATAAAAATATGACAAACTTAATGAAAATTACTTGTACCATTGCCTATCTTATCTATTTAGAGAAATAGGCTTCTTAATAGAAGGTAACACCCCTCAATTGGACTAATTGCTACTATATTTCTACTGGAAGTATCTAATAATCTCTAGGTGCATAAAACTTAATGGAAATTTACGTTATTATAAATAAAAATTCCATTTATCATGTAGATTATCCATCCAGGATCAATTATATAAAGGAAATTACCCGAATAGGGTTATCAATATTTAACAAAATTATTTTGAGTAACAAATATACAATCATTGGAGGGTTGGCCGAGTGGTCTAAGGCGGCAGACTTAAGATCTGTTGGACGGTGTCCGCGCGAGTTCGAACCTCGCATCCTTCATTATTTTTTGGGAATTTTCCAAGCATCACGTGACTGTTAATACTTTTTCATTTGTATTAGTGAAGATGATGTTAGTTCTGAATATACTAGACTTCATTTTATTTACAGATGTAAATTGTAACTTGGGCCAAGAAATATAGTGATTTTTTCAGTAAAAGTATTTAGACCGATTCATAAATGGGATGTTTAGTTTATATTAAAATTAAGTTATAGGATTTAAAAAAAAATTAGTATATATTATATTGAATGGACATATTCAAAAGAAAAAGTAAAAAGTAAAACGTTACTAGTAAACTCACCGATACTGTAACATTACCTCGTAAAAATTTTTTAATAAAAAGTGAATCATTTACATTTATAACATTCTTTTATACCATGGTTTTTCGTCATGTGTCAAGGCAGCCGCATTATAATCGGCATCTCTTCTGGAAGGTGGAACCCACTGGGCCGATTTCCAAGGTAGTGCACCTTCAATCCACATGGTATTGACTTCCTCAAGGGAAAGACCTTTAGTTTCTGGAACGAAAAAGAAAACATAAAACCATGCAAATACTAGACAACCCATAAAGACATAACCGTAATAAAAGTTAATAGAATTCGTAATAAAAGGGGTGAAGAAACCCAATAAAAAGTTCCACATCCAGTTTGCAGCGACAGATAATGACATACCCTTGGCTTTAACTCTTAGAGGGAAAGATTCCGCAACAATAACGTAAGCAATTGGAGCCCAAGTAGTAGAGAAACAGAAAATAAAGAAGCATGTAAAACAAATCATACAGTTACCAGCACCCTTAGAAGATATTTCTTTATGGTTTGCACCTTCTGGCCATAACTTCGTTACACCAACAGAAGCAAAAACAACGAAACAACAAATCATACCGACAGCACCCCATAGAAGACATTTACGCCTACCGAATCTTTCAACAAAGTAGATACCGACAAAGGTGGAAGCAAAGTTAACAATACCAATAATAATAGAAGTTTGGAAGGAATCTTCTAGACCAATTGACTTAAAAATAGTTGTTCCGTAGTAAAAGAAATAGTTAGCACCAGTTAATTGTTGTAAGGATTGTAACATGACACCCATAATAAGACGTTGTAAGATCTTTCCATCAGTTGAGAAAAGTTCACTCCAGGAAGCTTCACCCGCAGCTTTTTCGCTTTCAATACCTGCTGCCAATAAATCAACTTCGACTTGAACTGCTGGGTCTTCAACGCTAACTCTGTTTGATTTAGCAACAGATCTCTTTGCTTCTTCAATGCGATTCTGTGTAATTAAGAAACGTGGAGATTCTGGAACCATAAACATAGCGGTAACCATAAATAGGGCCCATGCAAAACCTAAACCAAGAGGAACTCTCCATTGGACAGAGTTATCATAATTTTTTGTACCATAGTTAGTACAATAACCCAAGAAAATACCTAATGTAATCATTAATTGAAAACAGGATATTAGAGTTCCTCTAATATGCTTTGGAGATACTTCAGAAATCAATAAAGGACTATAAATGGCGATCCCACCAACACCCATACCGGAAATAATTCTACCAATAAAATATTGATACCACTTATCGATTGAGGCAATTGAAATAATTAACCCAACGACATAAACCACAGTAACGATAACTAAAGCAATTCTTCTACCGTAGATATCTCCAAGTTTAGAAAAGACAATACCACCAATAGCACAACCAATACAAAAGATGGAAACCATCAAACCAGTTCTTACTTTAGACAAGTAAGGTTCACCATCAGAATTTAATTGACCGAATCTTCTCTTAAAATCGGTTTGGGCAACAAAACCAGAGATAGTACCAGTATCCCAACCGAAAATGAATCCCCCAAATGCGACCATTAAACAAATAACAGCAACAGACACATAAGCAGAAGCTGGCTTTTTTGGTAATTCTTGAACTTCTTCTTGATCAAACTTTCCCAAGTCTGAATTTGTGTCTTCTTTAATAGAAGGAGCATTGATAACTGATACAGAATCCGGCTCGGATTCTCTTGTTTCTAAATTTGAACTCATTTTTGTTTATTGATGTGAATGTCAGTAAACCAATGAATGGTATTTTTGATAATTTTAAATGTTACCAATAATGATTGAAAATAAAAAAGAGTAAATTATAAAAGAAAAAAATATTACTTTACATATAACCTGTGATCTATTTATACTTAATATACTTGCTTATTAAATGAAAATGTTTGATTTTTTTTTTTAAAAAAACCGTACTATTTACAGGTTCTCATAAAGCCTCGATTAACGATAAATAAAAGTAGTCTGATTCTGGCAAATTTAAAGAATATTATTGAATTGCGGGGTAGTTAACCACATATATATATATATATATACATACGTGAATGACGTAGTATTTACCTTTTAATTATTACCGGAATTTGTTCTAATACTATCCTTCAGCATATCTAACAATACGGCATATGCAAGGGGAAAACTGAGTACACTATGGTCGAGTTAAAATAAAATTGTGGTATCATTAAGGGGACTATAGTTATAACAACAACCTTATATTAATCTGCACGAGAACTAGCTTTTGAAAAATCTTGACAGTCAAAACTATTGCTTCTTTGATCAAAAATCAGAAAATTTCTGTCTACCCCTGACCCCCTTGCCCCTCATTTTACATGTAGAATATGATTACATGTGATGAACTTCATATGATATTAATGTCGTTGTTGTTGTTGTTGATATAAAATTACCTATTTGACATAATGTGGCGCCATTTTAAATTTTTTTTTTCGTTCTTTCTCCTATAATTTTTTCTTCATTAAGAAAATATTGCAAGCGCGGGATACTTAGGTTTTCGTAATATAATAAACCTGTATCTCATTTATGTGTTAATTATCAGTCAACTTAGTATATGAGATTATTGAATTAATTAAGGACATTTCTATATTTGATTTGTTTTATTCTGTAGTATTAATAGTTTCGGTTTCAATGTAAACAAATTTTCTTTCAAAGAAATATAAAAAAACAGTTCACTAAATGTTTTTTGCATTGGTAATTAAAAACTTACAAGGTCCGTCACCATTAATGTTATACGTCGAATAGTAGACCGATAACATCTGATATTTCTGGAAAAACGACAACAACTTATGAACGAATAGGTTATTTTCTTAATAATAATATTCATTATATTGATATTCAATTTTAATCATACTACAAAAGAGTAGCTTTTACGACACACATATTTATTTATTTAATGATATATTTATTTATAATTATAAATATGTGGATACATTTTCTCCATCATACATTGTAAATGGCATATCTTTCCCAACAACAGCGATTGATAAATTATCAACAGTTAAAGTTTCATCTTTTAAAGATTGTCTTAATGATTCAACACCAATTTTAATTAATTCATCCGCTGTTTCGACTTGAATAAATTCGTCGAGTACTCTCTCTAAATATGTCTTTGAACCTTGTGACCTAGCACCAATTGCAGCACCATACAATTCTAATGTATTACCAGATGGTTGAAATTCTAACAAATGTGCTCCACTATTATCATAACCTATAATTAATAAACCAACACCATATGGTCTACCACCATAAGATTGTGTATTTCTTTGAGCTTTATCGGATAATAAATGTCCAGCTTTTTCAACAGAAAGTTTTCTATTATAAACCAATTGAGAATAATTGCATTGTTGTCTCAAATAGTTACTTAGCACACGAGCATCTGGAGCCAGACCTGCAAGGGAAAGACCCATATGAGAATCACATTTAATAATTTTCTTTTGATATGATGACAATTCATCGGCATTTCTTTTTAAAGCAACTAACACTGCATGATTTTTTGACCTTAAACCAACAGTTACACTACCTTGTTTAATAGCTTCTAATGCATATTCTACTTGAAATAATCTACCAGTTGGAGAAAATGTAACTGTATCACCATCGTAATTGTTTCTAAACATATTTTCTTAATGTATATATATATATATGTGTGTGTATGATAATTTAATAACCTCGAGAATATCTTATTATTTTCTGTTTTCCCTTTCGTTTTAAATGTTTCTTGAAATGGTTCAACTTTTTAAAAGTATTTCAAATGAATATATATGTCTATATTTTCTTCAGGTAAAGACACACTTCTGATCTGTAAAAATGCTTTCAAATAACTCAATTGTAGTAATCTATATAAGACCTTTTTTTCCTTCTCTTTTATATATCTTCCTAATAAAAATACACTTGTCTTTCATTTAAAGTGAGAGACAGCGATTCCAATATCCTGGGCTCTTTCCATAATATATTTATATTTTTGCCACCCTTATATTGATTGAAGGAGTAGATTTGGCCGTGGGGAAGAAGTTTACAGCTATACAGAGAGCCGGCAAACAAAAAAGTTGAAAATTATTTAGAAATTTTTTTTCTTCTTCTTCTGTTAATGAGGGTAACATCGCTTCTCCTTTCAAAACAACACGCCCAAATTGAACGCGCGCGCACGAATCGCACAAAGCGAAATTGAGGCCAACGAAAAATAGTTTCTCTCAATATATTACTATGACAATTACTATTGTGCGCAATAATATATGGTAATAATATATAGGTGATGAGTTTGGGCGGCTATTTCTTAGAAGAAAGTATTAAGAGTAGAAAGGGTTTATTTTTGAACTTTTTTCAGGATAATTTTGTTACTGTTTGATTAAAGTTGACAGGGTAAGGTAGGTATCTTGACGTACATTACAGGGCCCTACTTAACTACATATAATATATTTTGTAGTTTCAAATGATGACATTTTTATTATATTTATCTATGTCGAATTTACGTTTCCATTGAAGTGTCAGCCATTAACAACTACGTTTATCTTTATTACAAATTCCGATTGGGAAATAACAATAAAATTCAAGTTTCTTATTATTTATCACCAGAAAGGCAAAGAGAGAGAAAGAGAGAGTGATGGGGAATTCATTATGCATAAAATTGTCCCGCCGTGCTTTGCTGGCAATAAATTAATATGGGAAAAAAATACCGTAAAGGAAATTGAAAAGGGAACAAAACAAGGAAAAAAAGGATTCAGTTATTCCTTGGGAGCAAATTGTTAACTTTTTGCATAGATAAGAGTTTGAAGGAGGAAACAAAATCTTATATGCCAAAAAGAAGAAGAAGAAGAACAACAACAAAAAAAAGTATTCTATCATTTACTACTATTATTATAGGTATTATCTAAATATAATGCTAATAAAATAATCTACTGTATCCTATTACGCATATATTTATATATTAAGATTAAGATGTACATTGTAAAGAATACATTTCTTAATATTACATATGCAACTTTAGATCATGTTCCACCATTCTTTTGGAATTTATTACATGTAATAGCTGATATTATTTATTTTTGGTACTATAAATTATTAAATTATTTAAGACCAAAATCTCGTACAGTTTATTACGAAGCTATACAAAAATTAGATGTCTGTGAATCTTATGAACAATGGCAAGAAACTGCAGCAAAAGTTGATGATATTACAGGTGCAAATTTATGGAGAAGAAATTTTTTTTCAAGACGTTATGATTTTAATTCAGTTTTAGAACAATATTCAATTTTAGTCAAAGCTGTTGAAAGTAATGATTATGATACAGTTAAAGAAAAATGTTCTACAACAGGTCCATGCATGCTAAGAAATTTTGCAGGTATTGCAGATAAAAGATTATTTACAAAATCTTTGTTAGGTACAAAACTTTTAATTGAACAATATCTTGAAAGAACTGTTCAAGGCTTAACTATGTTAAATACACAAACTTTAACTCCAACTTCTTTTTATCAAAGATGTAAATTTTCATTAGGAACTACTGCTTTAGTATTACAAGGTGGCTCGTTATTTGGATTATTTCATTTAGGTGTAATTAAAGGTTTATTATCACAAGGTTTATTACCAAATATTATTAGTGCAAGTTCAATGGGTGCATGTGTAGCTGCTGTCTTTGGATGTTTATCAAATGAAGAGATGTCAGAGTTGCTGGACGACGATGGGATTCTTAATATAATTAAAGATGATCCAGAATTATTAAAATTATGTGGTTATGGAAATGTTGAACAACATTTAAATTTAGGTACATTAATTCAAAATCTAATTCATCATGGTTATTCACAAGATGTTTATTTATTCATGCAATTTGTTCTTAAATATGTTGTTAAAGACATAACTTTTGAAGAAGCTTATCAAAAGACTCATAAAATATTTAATGTGGTAATACATCCAACTGATACTTCATGTCCAAATTTATTAAATTACGTTACAACACCAAATGTTTTAATACGATCTGCTGTAATGTGTAGTCTTGGTTCAGATATTGTCTCTAATGATACTACTTTATTATGCAAAAATTTAGATAATGACATTGTACCATTTTTAACAATTGAAAAATTTAAACATATTAAATTTTTAGCACCAGAAAATTCAATAAACCCAACACCAAATGATAATGATAATCCATATACAAGATTAACAGAATTATTTAATGTTAATAATTTTGTTGTTTCATTAGCAAGGCCCTATTTGGCACCATTTGTTGTTAATGATTTAAAACATGAAATCAAAACTTCAAAATATTATTATTATAAAAATTATCCAGATACAAAAAATAATATCTTAGAGACATTACCTGATATTGGTATCTCTCAAATAAATTTTATAGAGATGGAACCTCTTGCTTTTAAGTTCAAGTACCATTTAGAGAGAAAATTGAAAAATATATTAACAATGGAATTTTATCATCGAATGCAAGTCTTGGATAACTTAGGATTATTAAGTTCATGGGTGAAAAGATTAATTATTGATGAACGAACTCCGCGAAGTGCTGTTGAGATTGCTATTGTACCTAATATAAAATCATTATCTCTAACAAGAATTGTTGAAGGTCAGTTAGATAATATTAAATTTTGGATTAATAGTGGTGAAAGAAGTACATGGCCTATCCTATCGTTAATCAAGACAAGATGTTCTGTAGAGTTTAAGTTAGATGAGATAATAAAGGACAGAAAATCTAAACAATAGTTTTCATATATATATATATATATAAATAAATATATACTTTTAATTACATAATCAAATACTTTTTTCTATTTCAAAAGAACTATATCAATACTTAATAAATAAATAGAATTCCAAAAACATAGACAAAAAAAGAGAAATGATTACAAATGAATCACACTATTATCGATAAAATAATTTGGTGGAATCCTTTTGTGTTAGATATAGATATTCGTTCTCTACGACATGGACAGATAATGGTGAGTTTGTGGATTGACCACCTCTGGAAATCATTAATGAGCCAGTAACGTCCTTGGAACGTCCAGTATCCAACGATCTTAAATTCATCACGACAATACTATTATAAATGAGACTGGTCACAAATCTTGTGAATTCTTGAACATCGCTGTTATTAGTATCCAATGGCTCATTTTCATTATTTTGGAAAAGATCAATACTTGAAGCAACTATTAGCAATTTACATTTCTTCATAAGTGGTAATATAAATTTCTTATTTAACTCATCTGCAGTTAAACCACGAATTAAAGATAATAATAGTTCTGGTTGTTCTAGTATAATAGTGGATTGGACATCTGCAGGGAAAAGTTCTAACAATTCATCCAATACTTTATCACTAGGTTTGTCATTATTCTTCAATATAAAATTAGTTAAAATATCAAGTACTTGATACCCATTAGCATTTACTTTCAATTTTCTTAACGCATTATGATAAAAGTTCTCCTCATGTACCAATGATGCAATTGTCGTTATAGAGTTAGGATTAGACTTTAATGAAGCAGAAGGTCCATTTAAGGAAAAAGGTCCTCCAGAGACACAGGTCTCTACTAATGCATTAATTAGCCATAAAGGTTGAGTAGCCATTGTGGAGGTAACCAAAAATAAATGGTGTTGTGGCTCTGCCGACACAGCTCGTAGTTCTGTAGGTATGACAGATTGGTCACTGAACAGTATAAAATCTTGTCTTTGAGGAGTAGTCATTTTTTACTATACTTTACTGTTCGATTTGTATCGGTTGAGTATGGCAAACGTAGATAGTAGGGTTTTACTTTTATCTTATCTCCCTCTGTCTCCCTCTTTATTTATATTTACTTAAATTACAGATGTAATTTTTCAGCTCATCGCTTACAGTTCAAAAAGGGTGTCCCTCTTCATATAAAAGCGTGTCTAACGTACGACAAAGTTACTAAGGATGTTGCAAATAGTAATACAAGCTATTTCAGTGAATTTCTTCAAAGAGAAACACATCGCATTGATATACTTACAAGTCGTTTTACTAACATGCTTAAATGAAGGAAATATTTCTACTTGATCCAACCTTTAACTATGTAATCCCATTTCCTATTTAAATTCCTCTTCTACGGGTAATCCTCTGTAAAAGTTTCTTTCTCTTCTTTCAATTTCAACTTCATCGGAAATTTATTCGCTGCGTGAAAATTTTTTCCAGTTTCACTTCTTGAAAGTTCGATGAATTGAAATGTTTGATATATTTATATGAATAAATAAATATCATACGTCTTCTGTATTAGGTTATATATGTTTTTAATTATAAATTTTTACTTGTAATAGTATAAAACACTTCAGGAACACTATACTATAATGCTATCTCTACCTGCTCTAACCTCTGACATCACTGTCTCCACTGTTGCTGGCGCTAAATTGACTCCATCTGTTCGTCGTCCAATTGAACCAGTTGGCAAAGATTTTATGCACCATGCCACTAGAACTCTAAGAAACCACACTTGGTCTGAGTTCGAGAAGATTCAAGCCGAACAAAATGTCAAGACTGTCGATGAATCCAATGTTGACCCAGATGAATTATTGTTCGACACTGAATTGGCCGATGAAACTTTACTTGGTCACGATGCCCGTGATTGGAAGACTGCTGATTTATATGCTGCTATGGGTCTATCCAAGCTACGTTACACAGCTACTGAAAATCAAATTATCAAAGCCCACAGAAAACAAGTTGTCAAATACCATCCAGATAAACAATCTGCTTCCGGTGCTAGTTTAGACCAAGATGGTTTCTTTAAGATTATTCAAAAGGCCTTTGAAACCTTGACTGACAAGAACAAGAGAAAGCAATACGACTCTTGTGATTTTGTCGCTGATGTCGAACCACCAAAGAAGGGCTCTGAATATGATTTCTTCGAAGCTTGGGCTCCTGTTTTTGCCTCTGAAGCACGTTTCTCTAAGAAGACTCCAGTCCCAGAATTAGGTAACCTAGAAACTTCTCAAAAGGAAGTTGAACAATTCTTCTCCTTCTGGCACAGATTTGACTCCTGGAGAACCTTTGAATTCTTAGATGAAGATGTTCCAGATGATTCTTCTAACAGAGATCACAAACGTTACATTGAAAGAAAGAACAAGGCTGCTAGAGATAAGAAGAAGACTGCTGACAACGCTAGATTGGTCAAGTTAGTTGAAAGAGCTATGAACGAAGATCCACGTATCAAGATGTTCAAAGAGGCTGAAAAGAAGGAAAAGGAAAGAAAGAAATGGGAAGCTGGTGCTGGTGCTAGAGCTGAAGCCGAAGCTAAGGCTAAAGCTGAAGCTGATGCCAAGAGCAAGGCCGAGGAAGAAGCTAAGGCTGCTGCCAATGCCAAGGCTGACAAGAAAAAGAGTAAGGAAGCCGCCAAGGCTGCTAAGAAGAAGAACAAGAGAGCTATCCGTAATGCTGGTAAGGACAACGATTACTTCGGTGATGCTGCCCAAGCTGCTGCCATTGATGAACAAATCACTTTGATTGTTGACTCTCTAGATGATGAACAATTAGTCGAAGTTTCCGACAAGATTAAGGCTGACGCTTCTGCTTCCAAGACCATCTTATCCGAAACTGCTAAGACTTTCGTTGAATCTGGAAAACTACCAGCCAGTCTTGTTGCTTACTTTGCTTAAGTAGTAATATTTATAGATCATATGTAGTCTGCTTTTCTCACATGCATGAGTAATATGTAAATTATATTTTAAATGGTTCCCATCTATTTCATTTTTTTACTCTTTACTGTATAATTAAGTAAATTTATTTATCTTTTCTTTCACATAGAAATTTTATGAAAATGAAACGGTGAAAATCATTTTAATATTAGGGACAGAATAAAAGAAGGGCGAAAGAACGAACAAGCCAAATAAGACAATAGTGATAATATATTTTCAGGACACCTAGACTGTTAAGATAAAGAATTTATTTACCGCACATTATATAATATAACACCTGGTTTGTGCGATTAGTTACCAGAACAGCAAGATCTCGTTTCAAATGTCCTATAGAGGTCCTGGAGAAGAGCCGATTCCAAGGCAACAGCAACAGCAACAAGAGTTCCGTCCAACACCATTCCATGTTGGCAATAATAACAATAATTATGGTAAGAGCCAACCGAATCAACAACCATCTAGTTGGCAACACAAATTGAAGAACGTTGCTGTAACTTTTGATAAGTATACAGCTCCTATCGAGGATCTGACCACTCACCCAGCTGTGATTGCTGTGAGACCATTTATTCCAGGAATTGCCAGATTTTTAATTGTTGCTACTTTCTTAGAGGATTCGTTAAGAATTGTAACCCAATGGTCGGACCAAGTCTTTTATTTGAATCAATGGAAACATTATAATTGGTTCTTTGTCGTTTTATTCCTTGCAACAGTATCGCTATCCATGTTGGTAGGTACCATTATGATATTGGCCAGAAAACACTTAAATTATGCTACTGGACTTTTAGTAGGTTGTATTGTAATCCAATCATTAGTTTATGGTCTCTTTAGTGGTTCCTCATTTTTGTTGCGTAACATTAGTGTGATTGGTGGTCTATTGATCCAATTTAGTGATTCAATTGTTCAAAACAAGACTACATTCGGGATGTTACCTGAATTAACGGATCGTAATGCCGTTCACAAGGGTTATCTGTTACTAGCAGGTAGAATTCTTATAGTTTTAATGTTTATGGCCTTTACTCTTAAGAAGTCGTGGTTCACTGTATTCATTACCATCATAAACACTATGGCATTTGCAGTTGGTTATAAGACCAAACTGGCATCAATTATGTTGGTAGCTATCCTTACATTCTACAACGTATACCTAAACAACTACTGGTTTTACAGTGACGCTCAACGTGATTTCCTAAGATATGAGTTCTTTCAGAATTTAAGTATTATTGGGGGTCTATTATTGGTTACGAATACAGGTGCAGGTACCTTATCAGTCGATGAGAAGAAGAAAGTGTATTAATAACGCATACAAGAGTATATACACATGTATGCGCACATATATATATATATAGTTTATATAATGGTGCAATGTGAGTCCAACTTACAAATGCAGGCACTATAAAGAAATGTTTTATATTATATAAGGTGCCTTGTCATCTATCCGTGATTAGCCTGCTATTGTGTGTGTGGGGATTTTTGGTCCCTTTGTTTCACTTTTCGGTTTTTCAAATGAGTGTTTTTTCATTTTTCTTAATAACTAAAGCTGAAAATGAATACAAATAAATAAGGAAACAGCTGGAAAAAAGATTTAATAATAGTTAATGTTAAAGAGGAAAAGGAAACATATACTACACCAATTAGTAAATAAGGAATAGGTAAAAATAATTTATTATATATCTGTGTGGAAAGTGATTATTTTTTTATAACATATCAAAGATATATACCAACTCGAATTCATCAGGGTGTTAAAAGTTCAATTTTTTTATCTTTAAATAAGAAAATAAGGGATTAAAAAAAAAACAGTATAAACAATGGGTGGTATTTTAAAAAATCCATTAAGTAAAGATGAAGTGAATCATAAGGATGACAGTGAGACCGTTAGTGAGTTTAGAAAACAGGTATATAAGAATACCCAATTAAATGCAAAACTCACCTCAGGTCAAGGTATTACAACTCTGAATCAACCATTTGATGGTGATAATATAAAAGATTATCCAAGTGATATGGATGAGAAAGATATAGCAATAAATTCCAAAGGTAATGCATTTAGACGTACGCCACCAAGTGGACCTCCGAAAGATGTATTGCAATTAAAGAAAGAAGAAGAAGAGAGACTTCAATGGAATAAGAGAAATTTAGCAGAGAACGAAGTCACGAAACAACAATACTCTGATATTCATATTGACGAACCTAAGACTCCATATCAAGGTGCCGTTGATCCTCAAGGTGAATATTACAGAGATGATGATGATGAAGATAACAATGAAGATAATAATAATGATGATGGCACTCACAGGGTGGGCGGTTTACCTAATGTGTCAGATCTTGACGATTTTACACTTGGTGAACCAGAATATGACTTAAAGGATACAGCAGATAATAATGATGTAGAAGTACATATGGCTGATGATAATGATGGTAACGAAGATGTTGAAAGTGAAGATGAATTAGACGAAGCCAAAGCAAAGGAATTAAGACATAAGAAGTTTGAAGAAATGAGAAAGAAACACTACGATCTAAGAGAGATGTTCAAGAGCAAAAAAATGAATGACGAAGAAGATGAAGAAGAAGAGGATGACAATGAACAGTGAATAATTATCTCAATGATTAATATCGGAACTATATGAATGCAAACATTCAATGACTCCTTATTACACTTTTTGAATTGCACAATTTACATAGCAACTTTTTTAAATAGCAATTCCAGAAAATATAAAGGAAATATATGTAAAAGAACACGCTTCAGGTAAGTAGAAATGCCAATAAATATCTTTAGATTTGAATATAGATTGACCCTTTTCCAATATATATGAGAACATACACATATAAATATATTTGATATAATATTTACTCTTCTGGCTATAACAACTGCCGGATGTTACAGTGAAAGATAAGCAGGCCGCCGCAAAATTCTGAAAAATTTTTTCAGTTCAAATTATAAGAAAATCGATGAGCTTTAAAAAACTAAAAGCCATACATATAAGTACGAGTCTATCATAAAAATTGTTGTAAATAATAGGAAAAAGACCACTCACAGAAGTATATCATTATTTACTGAATATTGGAAAGAAGATTAATAAAATGGCTCCAAAGAGAAAGGAAAACGAAGTACCAAAGAACAAGTCAAACAAAAAATTGAAATCTGAAACTAAGACTTTGGCTACTAAGAAAAAGGACTCGCAGAAAACTCATATTCTAGTTAAACCAAAAAAAACCCTTCGAGTAGATACCAAGACTTTGAACCATTCTATATGTATCCCAACAACTATTTTGAATAATTGCACCAATTTAGATCAAATAACTCATGTGGTTTATCAAATCGCCAAAGCTGCTACTATCTTCAATGTCGGAGAACTTGTCATTCTAGATCTTGGGGACAGAAAATCAAAGCAGAATACAGAAGATAAGCAAAGATTATCGGATTCTATGTTAATTGCATCATTATTACAATATTTCGTTACACCGCCATACCTAGTGAAGTCTGTTTTTAAGAAACAATACATGAAATATTTTGTTGCTGCAGAAAAGTTACCAAGATTAACAGCACTACCATTTATGAGACATTATAATGAGGATAATGGCAGATATAGAGAAGGTCTAGCTGTGAGGATGGAAAACCCAAGTAGTAAAAGCACAAAGGAATACAAGCAGACTAAGTATATCAACATCGGTAAAAGTGAATTATTATCTTTGAAGACACAATTGGTTCCTACAAATGTTAGAGTAACGGTTGATGTTTTAGAACATAAAGTCGTATCACCAGTTGAAGCCTACGGAAACTTTGTCGGTGCCCAATCTTCTTTTGGCTATCACGTCAGAGTCACTAAAAATTTTGGCTCAATATTTACAGATTGTTCTTTCCCAAATGGTTATTCTCAATGTATTTGGGCCAATTCTGGTGATTATTTCTACGATGAACAAGAAAAGAAATATTCCAAGGCTGAAACTAAAGTACCACGTATAACAAAAATTGTTAAACCGGAACCTAATGGGGAAGAAAACTCAACACAGACACAACCCGCTAATTTATTGATTGTATTTGGTAAATGGAATGACATCAAAAAGAGTTTCAATGAATCTAAGGACCAATTCGAAGGCTGTGAGGGTGCACATCAATTCTTTGATGGTCAGATCGAGATGCCTGGTGCTTCCCCACAGGGTAATATTTGCATCGAAGACAGTTGTATGATAGCCCTTTCAGTACTTGATACTATGGAATGAAGTGTCTTATTTTTTTTATAATAACAACTTGTCATTTATCATTCTCAGAAATATATATATATATATATATACATAAATATAAACCCCTCACAAATCTGGTCAATCCAGCTAATGTAATATCATTAATACATACATACGGTAATTAACGTATTCGTTTATCGATTGATACTACGTTACTAACACTCAATTTGTGCTTCCTATCAATTTGTAATTATAATCTTAAAAACTACGAACTAGTCGTATAACACGATAATGTACCACGGCAGAACAAAAATTTTCTTCTTTTTGCCCGAAAGAAAAATTGAAACAAATATTGTTAACAAAAATTTCGAATTCGACAAGAAGCACGCTGCAAAGGGCCAAGTGAAACTCGGAAAAATGATACAGAGAACAGAGAGAAATGTGAGAAACAGCAGTGAGTCTTTAACCATTGGATAGTGATACACTACTCTTAGATTTTAATATTCACTATTTTGAATTGTTATATTCTATAACATATTTATTTCTTTGTAGTTAACGAAGTTTTCCTCCTCAGTCTCGTTGACATTTAAGAAATACGCATAAGATACGTAAAGTGAAATTTCAGATCGACAAAGGTTGAAATTTTATTTTGGGTTCAAGAGAAGGCAAAGAATAAAGAAAAAAAGTGAACAAAGAAGGCCAAATTACCAGTTCCATATTATCTTTATAATTGAATTTGAATATTAATACTTTTTATTCATTCGAATTGCGTAATTCCCATATATCCATTTTTGTTTTGAAAAGTGCAACTAAATATACAAACATTTTTCACTCAAAAAAGGTTAACACCTCTAAGGTTATAATTATTAAAACCTAGCCAATTTCACAATAAAACAAAATGTCTGCTTTATCATCAGAAATTAATAATACATTGATAGAGATCATTCAAGGTTTTGCTTCACCAAATAACGAAATTCGTTCTGCAGCCGAAACTAGATTGAATCAGGATTGGATTACAGCAACAAACATTGAAGTATTACTGATCTTTTTGGCTGAACAGGCTGCATTTTCTCAAGATCTTACAACTGCTGCCATATCTGCAGTCCTATTTAGAAAATTAGCCTTAAGAGCACCACCTTCTTCTAAGACTGTTATCATCGCAAAGAATATCACCCATATTAGTGAGAATGCATTAACCCAAATAAGGGCTACTTTATTGAAGGGGTTTATGTCTGAGAGACCAAAGGATATAAGGCATAAGTTGTCAGATGCTATTGCAGAATGTGCTCAAGATGAATTGCCAGAATGGAGCGAATTATTACAAGCCTTAGTTGAATTTCTAAAAAATACAGAGCCATTCTTCAGAGAATCTAGTTTTAGAATCTTAGCATCAGTTCCACATTTGATCAATTCTGTCCCTGTTGAAAACATTATTCCAATTTTTGAGTCCGGTTTCACTGATGCTAATGATGAGGTGAAAATCTCTGCCGTCACTGCTTTTGTTGGTTATTTTAAGATATTACCAAAGAAACACTGGTCTAAGATTGGTGTTCTATTACCAAGTTTATTAAACAGTCTACCAAAATTCTTAGATGATAACAAAGATGATGCCTTAGCTTCAGTATTCGAATCATTAATCGAATTAGCAGAGTTGGCTCCAAAATTATTTAAAGATATGTTTGATCAAATAATCCAATTCTCAGATATCGTGATTAAGAACACCGATCTCGAGACACATGCAAGAACTACAGCTTTAGAACTTCTTACAGTATTTAGTGAAAATGCTCCACATATGTGTAAGTCAAACGTTAATTACGCACAATCCATTGTCACCAATACGCTCCTGATGATGACTGAAGTCTCTATCGATGATGACGAGGCCGCTGAATGGCGTGAAGCAGATGACACCGAAGATGATGAAGAAGTTACCTATGATCATGCTCGTCAAGCTCTAGATCGTGTCTCTCTGAAGTTGGGCGGAGAATTTTTAGCACCAACTCTTTTCCAATATTTACAACAAATGGTCGGTTCTTCCCAATGGAGAGAACGTTTTGGTGCCATGATGGCATTATCATCTGCAGCAGAAGGTTGTCAAGATGTTTTAATTGCTGAAATTCCAAAGGTACTAGATATGATTATTCCTTTGATTTCTGACCCACATCCAAGAGTTCAATACGGTTGTTGTAATGCATTAGGTCAAATTTCAACAGATTTCAGCCCGTTAATCCAAAGAACTGCCCATGACAGAATCTTACCAGCGTTAATATCTAGGTTGACCTCTTCTTCAATAGATAGAGTTCAAACCCACGCAGCTGCTGCCTTAGTTAACTTCTCAGAGCAAGCTGATCAAAGTATTTTAGAACCTTATTTGGATAGTCTGTTGAACAATTTATTGATTCTGTTGCAAAGTAACAAACTCTATGTTCAAGAACAGGCCCTAACTACCATTGCATTTATTGCGGAGGCTGCTAAGACTAAATTCATCAAATACTACGATACATTGATGCCGTTACTATTAAATGTCCTAAAGACAGATAACAGCGATGATAATGGTGTCTTGAAGGGAAAATGTATTGAATGTGCAACATTAATTGCTGCTGCCGTCGGTAAACAGAAGTTTTCTGAACATTCTCAAGAATTGATCGGTCTATTGTTAACTCACCAAAATAGTTTATTAGATGAGGATGATTCCATTAGATCATACCTGGAACATGGTTGGGGTAGAATTTGTCGTATATTAGGCGATGATTTTGTTCCATTACTACCAATTGTTCTCCCACCACTATTAGAAACCGCCAAAGCTACTCAAGATGTCAGTTTGATCGAAGAAGAGGAAGCAGCCGATTTCCAAAAATACGCTGACTGGGATGTGGTTCAAATTCAAGGTAAACATATTGCTATTCATACTTCGATTTTGGATGACAAAGTTTCAGCAATGGAATTATTGCAATTATATGCAAGTATTCTAAAAACTAAATTTGCTAATTATGTTAAGGATGTTTTAACCGAAATTGCGATTCCATCCATTGACTTCTACTTGCATGATGGTGTTCGTGCCACAGGTGCAACATTGATCCCTGTACTCCTTTCATCTATTGTTGGTGCCGTTGGATTACAAAATGAGGAAGTTATGCAACTGTGGAATGTTGCATCTGCTAAACTAATTGGTGGTATTTCAACAGAACCTATGTTAGAAATTACTCAAGCATACCATAGTGCATTAGTAGATAGTATTGCCATTATGCAATATACTAAATTGGCACCAGAACTTCCTGGCCTATATGCAAAAGGTGTTCAAAACAATCTTTCCGACATATACGAGAGAGTCAAACAACGTCACAGTGAAGCTGACGAATATAATGAAGATGTTGACGATGAGTTTGATGTATTCTCTGATGAAGATTTGTTAGACGAAATCAACAAGTCATTGGCAGCTGTAATGAAGTCTTCGAGTGAAGAATTCTTACCTCAACTACAATCTCTATGGCCATTGGTCCATACTTACCTAAACGAAACGGAAGTTATACTTGTACTATTTGCCTTAGTTGCACTTGGTGATATAATTCAATATTATGGTGAATTGACTGCTTCATTTAAGGATTCGTTTATCTCGAAGGTTCTAACGTATTTAGTTTCTCCGGATCCCCAAATTCGCCAAGGTGCAGCATACGTCATAGGAACCTGTAGTCAATATGCTCCAAATACATATGGTGATATATGCATATCTGCCTTAAACACATTGATTCAAGTAATCCAAATTCCTGATGCTAAAGACGAAGATAACCAAACTGCAACCGAGAACAGCAGCTCTTCTATCGCAAAACTATTATATGCATTTAACACGAATATTCCTAACGTGGATACCTATATTTCCAGTTGGTTTAAGTCACTACCTACAATATCGGATGAGGAAGCCGCTGCCTTTAACTATATATACTTGGGTCATCTAATAGATTCCAAGAATGCTGTAATCTGTGAACATTCTAATATCCCAAATATTGTTGAAGTCGTAGTCCAAGCGCTACATCATAAATCAATCACTGGTAAGAACGCAGAAACCATTACAAACTCAGTGAAACAATTATTAGGTACACTGCCACCAAATGAGGCCATGGGAATGCTACAAAGGTATCCAGCTGAATACATGCCTACGATTCAAACTTGGTTTTCGTAAACCAATAGTAATTAATTTTCTGTACATTAACCCATTCTGAATCATTATAAAAATATTCAAGTTTGGGTGCCATCTGCATCTGTTATATAGATTTCAATATTGCTCTTTCATTTAACACTTTAATTTTGTTAGTTTTCTTTATTAATTACACATATATAGAGGTAATATTTAATCTTAATGTTCAGGGAATTATATAGCAAATGTCCGAGAAGTGCGACACTATTAGTGTATAGCGGTGGTAGTTTTGAACCAATACAAAAATACAAAATTCTACATCACGGTTTTAAAAGGTATTAACTTAGGTGTCGTTCTCAGAATATAGGAAGGAGCATTTGTTCCAGTATCATTATTATTTTGTTTGTTAGGTTGCAATAACATTTCTAATGGAGTATCAAAAAAATGTTGTTCAATATCCGGTATATATTTATAAGCAAGTATAGGGGCCAGAATTAAACCTAACATTATTATCAAATTAAAAATGTAAAAAACAAAATATTTTTGAACAATCTTATTTCTTCTTTTTAATTGTTTTTTAGTATGTAACCGTTTGTTCCATATAACCTGTCTTGGTTTAAGCCAAAACAAGACGATAGAATGCCAGTAATCAATAAAAGGAACGAAGAGTAATGGAGTCTGGAAATAAAGTAGAAAATGACCCAAGAAAAAGTCTGCACTAAAATATGAAGATTCCATTACTTTAACCACATATTCTCTCATCGGTTGTAAAATAATATTCCAACCTAACCCAGTACGATACCATCTTCCATTCCACCACGCCAAATGAGACTTATCACTTTTAAACTCTCTAGTTAAGAAAATTAATGTAACTATTCTGAACAATAGCAGTTGAAGATTTATAGATGTAATGAATAATATCAAGGTCCTCGTAAATACCCAGCCTTCCAAAAGCCACATTAATTCAAAGGATATAATATAGAAAAGGACAGAAAAAGTATGGGCTACGAAGGCAACTGTGGCGCCAGTATTAGCATTACAACATAATATAATAGGTCCACCGATAAATGATACAAAAAATAAAATTAATAGAATTACCATATTTAAAAAAATTGGTAATAATGATACTAAAAGCAACCTTACAAGAGAATTCGTCAGAACGATATTTTTTACACCAGTTTGTGCATTAATAAATGTGTAAGCAAGGAAATTGCAGAAAACCACAAACAATGGAATCAATAATTCAGGAAACAGTATATTCCAAAAGTTAGCCCTTTTGGCATCATCTCTATCTTTCTCTGATGAATCCGTTATTAAAAGTTTTTTGTAACCAGTGAAACGAGCTCTTGCTGTTTTCACAAAAGTTGCCCATGAATCCTTTTTATACCTAGAATTTCCTGATGATAACCAAAACAGAAAATTTCTATAATCAATAAAAAATTCTGAAAAAGAAAACTGGTGAGGGTTAAATATGAATGGAGCAAAACAAAGTGATATTACAGTTAACCAAAACCACAGTAACGCTGGATGCCAAATTGATGCCGTAGCGAATAATAACATTAAAAATATTTGCAATCCTGAGTAGATAGAAGTTGTAACAAACCTTGAATATAACACTGAAAAATTAACCCTTGTTATAGCAAAACCTCTTCCTGTCGAAATATATTTTGCTCCCCCAAAAGTAATATCAGTTAATAATGAATTAGAATATATTTGGCATACGAATACTTCAAATAATGGCGCCATCGAAAACAGATGATGTAAAAATCTAACGAATGCTTTTATTACACCTTTCTCCAGCAATTCTTGAATTAGTAATGGAGCAAAGGCAATAAAGAAAACAATGAAAATTGATAGGACAAAAATTGACACCCAATGAAGAGCTGGATCAATATTGTAACACCCAATAGGCCTTTGTAAATCTGTAAGAAGCGAATGTTTCACTTTGTAACAATGGATAGTCTCATGACTTAATGAACCAAGGTTTATTAACAAAAGAAAAAACAAATGAAGAGACATTGAAATAAATAAATTATTCAAGTGAAACCCTGGATGGGCATAAAAGAATGTAAGAAACCTATCCATTGGTAATTGAGTTCCTAAGTAATAATATTCCCGTGATAATAGTTGCTCACCCATGCCGGCACCAATTTTTGTTGTAAAATTTAGGATAGAGCTAAAGCCTAAATCCCGCCCTTTCCCACATTGGTAATAATCACTATGTTTTATTCTTCCTCCACGACACAATGCATTCATACCAGCATAAATATCTTCATTTAAATGCAATCCCTTCTGAGCTTTCGACAAACCGCCCCTTGTTGTCATGAATATAGCGTTAATGAAATCTGGATGACCGTAATGTAACTTTCCATCAATTTCTGCTAATGTTCTAGCAAATAATGTTCCAAATGTTTGTTCTTTTCCAGCAGCTATATCTCCCAGAACACCTATATTTTCTGAGAAAATATATTCCCTTGCTCCAAGAATTGCAATTGGTGCAGATTCCTCTTCATATTGAATACCAGGAATATATGGGACAGGGTTTTCAAGGTCTAATTCGTCAAATTCGCTAAGCAATGATCTTATTTTGAGGCATTCCTCTAAATAATTATCTTGATTGGCATCTACTACCTGTATGTATTCACCACGGTAAAATATGATGGAATTGTTTTGATTGTCAGATTTTCCATCCCCGAGGATAGGATTCCCAGACAGACGAATTTTAAAAATTGGTTTCCTGAGCCCAGTTTCATTATTGATTTCAGCAAAGCCGTTTGTCAGACAAGAATAATATATTGGCTCATTTAAAGTGGAATCCTTTTCAATGGACAGATAGGATATGTGGATGTTTGGATAGGATTTTAATAGTACTTCGGTATCTAATATTTCATCCTTTGAAAATTGGGTATAACGTTGCATTGCAACCAGCATACGAAATTTACGGTTTGCAACATTATCCAAACAGTTTTCTAAAGCATCAGGATCGTTATTGAAATATTCCAATAAGGAAGGGTTTTCAATTCTTTGAAGTAGTTTAATTGCTTTCCCATAATTCATAAACCCTGAAATTGTTCGATATAAAGTTTGGGTTCTTAAAGATGCCCATAATCTTGTTCTAAGTGTATATGATGTATCCGATGACTTAAACCCAAAAAGGTCGAGGGGAAGCTCATTAATTTTGTCCTGAACTAATTTTTCTGCGTCGCGACATTCTTCCTTATTTAGGAAAGCGTTACTGTTGTCCGAATGTGCTGTATTAGTGGATTCGAAAATCATTCTAGATTGGGCATCAGTGCCTAATTTCATTTTAACTTCGTTTTCAATATCTAACAACTTTGTATCCCGAACAAAGTAACTCCAATCGAATGGATGAAGATGTTTCAAATATTCCAGGACAGTCATCCTGCTTCCTGAGGATTCTTCTTTGATAATTTCTTTCAAACCTAGTATAATTTTTTCTGAATAATGTGGGACTATGACAGTAAATGATGGCATGCATTCGACTGGTATAGGCTCTGAAATTGGAGTAGATAATGACTGTGCAAAGAAAGAAATTCTCCTTTTAGCTTCGGAGTTTTTTGGGAAAAATTCCATTGATTTATATGTTGAATCATCTTGGGCAACGAAAAATGTAGGGGAACGTAACGTCTTGCTATCAAGTAAGGTCGAGTCCATTTGTTGATATAATAATCGTTGAATATGTTCTATTGAGAGCAAATGTTCGCGATACATGGATATAATAATGGCATTCCAGATCTGAGATACTAATAGTTTTGATTTGAATTTTGCGTTCATGTCAACAGTAGATATGATCTTTGAATAAATTCTTTTGGGCAACCTTGAGTAAATGTTCTTCCAAGGTGTAAAAATAGATGTCCCCAAAGACAAAGATAGTAACAGGGAAAAGATACAGTTGCAAATAATATACCAAAGGTATGTATCTAAGAAGAATAAACAAAGGTCACATAATAACATTAATATCAATGTAACTTGAGCTTGCCAAACACATAAAGATTTACCAAAAATAGAATCACCACCGCATCTTGAAAGATCCATTGTAGATAACACTCTAATAGGATCTCTAAGTGACAATGTAAGAAAAAAATAAGATTCAAGATACTTTGCCAAAAAGACAAATACCCACAATCCAATGGAGAACCATTTACTCCTACCTGTTAGTTTTGGAAATGAGGCAGTAAAAGTTTGTGATGATATGTAACGTCGTTTTTGTACATCCTTTTTGAGGTAAGATCCAAAGAAACCACCTAGTGGACGAATTGAGAACAAAAGTGTGGTTATTAGTGATATAATGAACTGAATTATTGAGACAACAAAAGCCGATTTTGAATGAGTATTCAAATCAAAGAACCCAAAAATGTAAATTGATGGACAAAAATTAATAAGTAAACAAAATATTAACCCAGCCATTCTAGTTGATAAATGTTGAGCTCCTGGCCAACGTCTTGGAACAAAACTCCATTCGAAAATTGTAGCTAATATTTGGACAAGACATGTTATAGTACCTCCAAATGCCATTACTGATAATCTTGCTTGATATGTTGGTTGGTTATTTAATAGCTGAACATAATCTTTAGTATACAATGTAGGTGAATTAAAGGAAGTAAATATCCAAAATGGCGTAAAATGAATCAACCAAAATCTATTAAAATTTGTAAAACAATGCATCCAACTTCTCCTCTCTTTATAAGTTTTGTAAAATACTTTTGACCAGGTAACAGTTTTCAAAGATAGGTATCGTTCACCTCTTGGCACATCTACCAACCTTTCTGAATTTTTTAATATGATTCTCTCAATTCCTTCTGGATACCAGAATAATTGGTTGACATCATCATACCCTATTATATCATGATGATCATTCTCCTTTTTAACCCATTCCCCATTCGAATTTTTTTTATAAATCTGTTGTTTTAAAAAAGTATACAACGGAGTAATAATATCATTAAGGTAACCATATTCTGGTATGGTTTGATTAGATTTAGATAAAGTTAGATGATTATCATAATCTAATGCACATTTAAATATGAAACAAATACACTCAGGAGCAAATCGTATTTGATTTGCTTCACCCCAACAAAGCAAATAAAGAGCAATTTGTCTTGCCATTTGCTTTGGTGTTAGTTGTTTCATGATTGATTTCCATTTATAATCAGCTATCTTCAAGCTATTTTCATTTTCTAATTGATCTCTTGTTAAACCAATCTTTGGATGATTATCTTCGAATTCCTTTTCTTTTTCCTTCCATTCTTCTAATTGTTGATTAATCGATGTTCCTCTTTTCTTAGCTAATTTAAAGTTTCTCTTTCTTGATTCACCTGTTAATTTCATATTTTGAAAACCAATTTCATCATCGAGATCTAGTTGAGCGGCAAAATACCATTTTCTATAATTTGAATGTTCACCTCCAATATATGATACATGTAAGGATAATAAAGCCGTATATGTAGTAGTTCTACTTGCTCTTGAATCTAATTGTGCTAACAAATGATGATACATATTTTCCTTAGAGGAATGTTGGAAACCAAACCTTTCTGTCAATTCATCAAATATCTCTCTCAATTCAGAAGTTGTAACAGGTACTTCATCATCCTGACACCATGCTGGATAGTCAATTTCACCCAATGATGGTGTTGCACTATTAATATTCATATTCAATTTAGATGAGTCTGTATTTTACAGAAAGAAAAAGAAAAAATATTCAAATAGTCTTTTATATCAAGATTAGTTCTTTTATCTAAACTTCAACACCCAAATTGGAGTATTTTAACGTTTATCACTTGAATAAAGAATAAAATATGAATATTTTGTAAGTTACAACAAAGAGTTTTAAAAAAATAGAGCAATATTTGGCTATTAAACGTGTATATGTGTCGTGATTGTTCTCAGCGGCTAACTCGCTTTGTTTCTCATTAATCCCCTTATTTTCTCACCTGTTAAATGGTTCGATTACTCTTTTTTCCTAACTAAGCGGTAAACCCATTTGAAAATACATTTGTACACAAACTTATTTTATTGATGATTATTACAGCATATTGTAAAGGGTAACTTATTTCATATGAATATAACAATAAATTTTTTACAAATATTTACATATACGTTTAAGTGCTCTTTTTTATGGAACAAGACTGTTCTATGAACATAATATAATATCTCATCGTATGAATCAAAATGTCTTTAAAACTAGCCTTTGTTATATATTGAAATCCAGATTAGATGTAAAGTAACTACGAAAATGGCATGTATATATTTTAGTGGTTAACAAGGTGTATAATTCATTACTATCCTTTTATATGAAACCCATCCTTTTACACAAACAATTAAAAAATCCTTTAAACTCACATAGAATTACTTTTTTATGATTAAATTTCCCAAAAACAAACAATACTAAATTCATTAATCCTTTTTTTCTTTCTTATAATTTATTTCATCAGCCACTTTCCATTCCAAGAAATGCCAAGCCTTTTTTGGGCTTTTTACCTGATTCGGTTGTTGTATGCATGATTCTTTTCTACGCGATTTTTGTCTGGCTCTTTTTCGGAGAAATTGTCTTTCGCAGAAAACATCGTGCAATAAGATCAGGAAAACAAATAAAATCAAGTGAACGTTTTCTTAACCATTAAAATAATTGATGATGCCAAAGGTTATGAAGGAAAGTATAAAAAACAGATTAATAGAGAGAACTGTCAAATGAAACATGACCGTTGCTACGAAGATTTAATGAAAACAAGAACAGTTAAAATGTATATACACACATTTGAAATAATGTTATTAATTCAATTCTAATGTTTTCTATACGAAATATATCTAATTAACAAAATGTAGTTGTGTAGTCTTTGGGAGGTAATCTGAATTTAGGATTACATTGCATCCTTTTATGGAGATATTATTTCCCAAAGATTACCTAATGGAGTAAGTACTTTGTAGCCATGTGAGATTTATAGATACGTTAAAGGACATATTCTACCTTTTTTTTAATTTATCCGTATGTACTTTTAAATGACATTTCGAGTAACACTTTATCAGTTTAAATAGTATACCAAGCCTCATTTACAAATTGCTTAATTATTGCATTGACATATATCCTGTATTACTTCGATTCATTTAAAAAAAAACATTGTACCATAAATTACCATCATTGTTAGGTAGACGAAATAAGTGACAATACAACTTTATAGTTGCAATTTGTTCTCATGCTAGGAAGACAACTTGTAAGTACATCGTAAAAACATGTTAAACACTATGTACAATATATATTTTAACTTTGTAAGTAAGAAAACAAGCAAAGTGAATGAATTTATATTCATTTTTTTAAATTGTTATCCGGTTTAGGATAATAAATGGAAAGAAACTTATATATTCAAAAACTACGTCAATTTACAAAAACAAACCAAACAAGTGTTTAATGGCAGTACCTACAACTACATATGATTTAATCATTAATAAAGATTTTCCACTCTAAGTAATTTCAGTATAATCTTTAATTCAAGATAAAAATTACATTAAAAAACTACTTCTCAAATACTACTGTTCGTGTAACAAACTTCAACCCAAGCACGTTCCCTTCCAATTGCATCTCCAGCTCTTTATGTTTTATCATATTCACTATATCCGATGACGACAAAGTTGAACCGAAATATAATTCATTCAAAAGAGAGAAATACGCGTCCTCCCAATTAGAACACAAGTTTCGCGACATCTATAATATTGACAATGTATTAACTGCAAAAAAATTAGAACTAAACAAATTCATCAAGAATTCAATTTTTAAAAACGCTACGCCTCTCTTTTCCCCCCTCCCCACCATTAGAATCAATAAGGAAGCAGAGAGAGAGCAAAAGCGGAAAAGGCAGACGCGCCAACTTGAGAAATTACATATAAAACCACGCAGACCTAAAAAAAAAAATAGTACGAAATTTTTTTGTACCGTATTTCTTGAATATTCTAACTATTAAAATGTCGTACAAAGAATAAGTAGATTTTCGCGTGTTTGGTACTTTTACTCTTTTAAATCTATTCCCAGAAAAGAGAAAGAGAAAGAGAAATAGAGAGGGAGCAAGGTACTAAAAAAACGCGAAAATATTTTGTTTATATAATTCGCTCTATCCCCATTACATTATTTTCTTCATCAAGTTAGTTAAATGTTATAGGATTGTTTCAAAAGAGGTAATGATTTCAACTTCAACGAAATATTCGTTGATTTACTATACACAATTCAACTAATAAGAAGATATTTGCAACTAACACAATAGAAGTGCAAGTAGAATTAAATGAATTTCTCCGTTTTTGTAGAACAAAAAACTTATACTGTGCGTATTTTACGGTAGGATGGGGTCCTGTTAATTAAATTTCTAGATCGTAAAAAGATAATGAAAATATGTCACTAGTACCTATGCTTATTTTCGCCAAAAAATTACACCATATCACATTTCTTGAATACCATATATATATATATATAACCTGCACTCCATTAAAAATATTGGTTTAATTAATGTAATTTATTACTCTTTCCAATAAAGCTAAACTTATTTTAACTGTTGTAAATCTTTTTTTTTAATAAATTTTTAACAAATAATATATACTATTATATTTGTTTCCTTATTACAATAGCATTTCCATCCTAACGTAGAATTCAGCAATAATAATATATTGTTGTAACTCCACAAGTCACTCATTTGGAAAATATAATAAAAAACGAAAAAAATGCGTTTATCCAACTTAGTTACCCTTTCCTTGATGGGTGTTGCCTCAGCTGCTCCAGCTCGTCACCATGAACACGTCGACAAGCGTGACGCCGTCACCACTACTGTTAAGACTCAAGTCACTGTCACTCAAGGTGCTACCGGTCAAACTAATGCTCTATTGCAAGAAGATGCTGTCCTTGATACTACCACTACTGCTGCCGCTGCTGCCACTGCTGCCGCTGCCGCTGGTACTACTTCTACCCTAGAACCTTCTTCCACTAGCTCTAATTCTTACCCATCTTCTTCTGTTGCCGCTGGTAGCGCCAAGGGTATCACATATTCTCCATACGCTTCTGACGGTACTTGTAAATCCGCTAGTGACGTTGCCTCTGATTTGGCTCAATTGACCGATTACGGTATCATTAGACTTTACGGTGTTGACTGTAGTCAAGTTGAAAACGTTCTACAAGCTAAGACCTCTTCTCAAAAGCTGTTCCTAGGTATCTACTACGTTGACCAAATCGCTGCTGGTGTCTCTACCATTAAGAGTGCCATTGAATCCTACGGTTCTTGGGATGATGTTTACACCGTCTCTGTCGGTAACGAATTAGTTAACGGTGGTGAAGCTTCCACCAGTCAAGTGGGTGAATATATCTCCACTGCTAGAACTGCTTTAACTGCTGCTGGTTACACTGGTTCTGTTGTCTCCGTTGACACCTTCATTGCTGTCATCAACAACCCAGATCTATGTAATTACTCTGACTACATGGCTGTTAACGCCCATGCTTACTTCGATGAAAACACAACCGCTGAAAATGCCGGTCCATGGGTTCTAGAACAAATCCAAAGAGTTTGGACTGCTTGTGGTGGTAAGAAGGATGTTTTGATCACCGAATCAGGCTGGCCATCTCAAGGTCAAACTTACGGTGTTGCCGTTCCATCTAAGGCCAACCAAAAAGCTGCTATTTCTTCCATTGAAGACACTTGTGGTTCTGCTACTATCCTATTCACAGCTTTCAACGATTACTGGAAGTCTGATGGTACTTACGGTGTTGAAAAATACTTCGGTATTTTATCTGATTAATTTTAGTTGGATTTTTATTTTTCTTTCTCTCTTTCTATCTGCAATGCAGCACAAAAATATTATATTATTACTAATATTTCGGGATACTATTTTTACAAATTAATAATGTAACGGTTATTGGTAATTGTCTAAGTTTTAACTTTAAAAAATGAAATATTCTACTCTCATTTATGTACTAAAATAAATAAATAACTTGTTTTAAAAAGCAAAGAATAAAATTAAACAATCATACCAAATAAAAAAATCATATATATCTATTCAGCAACTGCACATCAGTTAAACTTTCGATATTGATCTACTAGTTAGACTAATTTTTTAATAGTTTGCTATATTTTATAAGGATATATATATATATTATTATTTAGGTAGGTATTTAGCTAATTCTTGATTACCATAGGTCTATCATATGAATTATGAGATCTTAACCTATCTGGATGATCCATGAATATAGTATCTAAATTAGACATTACATCAAAAAGTACTATACCTCCCAATTCTTCCTCTGAATAATTTTGGAGCGACTTAAAGGATTTACCTTGAGCTGTTGTAAACAGTACCCCTAATTTAATCCTAGAGAATTCTTTTTGACCCAAACCGAATTTTTTATGCAACCTATCTCTAGTATCTGGGAATTTCTCATTTGGTATTAAGTTAAATAGGAAGGAGATACCATGCTTATTATCCATATCCTTAAAATATTGAGACACAACCACCAAATGACCATCATTCTCTGGGTTATTCATATATCTTAGAGAATCAGGAGTAGGAGACACTGAAGGTTGATCACTAATACTACTAGAACTTTCTTCTACGTCCCTCAAGTGTTGATTACTTTCAACTCCGCCATTTTCATAATTATCAAATTTATTGAAGAGATCTAATTCATCTGGGAGGATTCGTCCAAAAATTAAGAACTGCTTAGATATTTGTTTGAACAATGTGTCTCTAGATAGAACCCCTTGAAATTCAAAATCGTAATTTGTCCACAGTAAGATCTTACTCTTTTCCTCATCGGTAAAACCTATCTTTTGTTGAATTTTATCTAAGAATTCTTCTACTGAACAATTACCAGCAACTTCGAATTCGTGGCTCTGATAATGTATGTAACTATCCTTTAGCCAATAAAATTTGATGGGCCTCAAATGTTCGAAATCCTTTAGCGGAATAGATAATTCTTCATATTGAAATGGAGGAATACTGTTACAATTGTATTCTTTCATCAAATAGTCACTCAAAGTGGATCTTGAGTTCAGAGGGAAACGACCATTACTATAAACAGCAAATATTTTTAAATATTCTGGCTCAATTCCGGTCTTTTTAGAAACAATTTTGGCTAACTCAGAATACTTTATATTGGAGTGGATCCATATATCAAATTTTGTTGATGTAGTAGATGGCACTAATTTATCATAACCTAGTATTTCTTCTTGTCCTTCCTCTTCATTAACTGTGTAATCGTCATCTGAATTACTTACTTTGGAGAATCTTAAATTTACCCTATGTTCTAGAAAGTTATAATATTCCAATAAAGTTCCATAAAATGGGGCTTCTGTTGGATATTTGTGAATATCTTTATTATTTTTCATTTCAAATGTTATTATATCACCCAACCCAAGTTCAACATTATAAAACTGGGACTGAAGAGAAAGCTGATTAATATTACTTATGTTTATCTCTTCAAATAAGCTTAATCGATCTATATCGGTTGGATCACGGTTAATAAGCTGTAATATAATATGAGCAAGTTTTGAAATCGCGTCCGTTTCATCTACAGCTACATAACCAAACCCTTTTAACAATTGCTTTTCTGCTTCAAAACGCTTAACAAATACCAGGTGTTGAGACCTTTTTTCGATATGGTGCACAAATGATGGCTCTTCATCTAATTTGGATATGTAAGAACTAATATTGGTCCTTACATCATCGACAAGGTCGTCTGTTATATCTTCAAATGTGACTATGTTTTTTGTTTTAAGTAAATTGAGAAATTGAAGATCCAAGTAAGGCTCTTCAATATACATATCAATAGTAGAATAGGATTCATCACCTTCATTTTCTAATACTTTTTCTAAACTCATATCCCCCTCCTCCATTTTCAATAGATCACAAAGTCTGATAGTATTATTTTGTCTGGTTCCCATTTTCCAGTACCTGATATTTTGATTCTCAGGAATATTTAAAGCATCTTTGATTTGCTTGCATAGAGTATTAATTTTAGTTGTTCTTTCTATTTTCAATGATATGGGTTGCTCTTTATTCGTTGTTAAATCTTGGTATGAAAATTTTAACAGCTCGTTGGGTATTGGATCAAGACCATGATAGTTAATAAAATTCTTTAGGTTATAAATAATCAGAGTAACGTAAAGGTGTGCTTCCTGAATCTCCTTTTCTTTTTTTTCTCTTTCAGCAAGTTCTGCTTCTACTTGATCAATAACATGTTGAGGGACATCTTCTTTTGTGACAGGTTGTAATAATTTCTCTTCCATATCACTTCTGATGTACACTAACATATATGCGCTCGTATGACGGTCTAAAAGATAGGCCTGATACCTCTCGCGAGTCATGGTCCTTATTTGTTCTTCTGGTAACCTATTCAAACCAAAATTCTCTTCGAATACTTGTGATTTTGTTACTCTCCATACTCTTTCGTCATCAAATCTAAACCACTTGTCATCTGTTCCCGGTTTAATCATTGTATAATAATGACCTGTGGATATATCACCAGCATGAACAAGTACACCATGTAAGTTATATGTTACGGGTTCCTTTTGTTTACTATCTTTGTCTAGGAATTTTGATAAATCGATTGATTCTGGAAATTCGTATCTATCATTAATTTTTATCAATTGATCATAATTAAAATCGTATTCAAATCTTTTCAGTTGTAAGTGTAAAACTGGAGGAAGATATTCAAATATTACACCCTTTTCAGCATCTTGTAATCCATAATCTTGTGCAGCGTATTGGTTTTCACCATTCATTAGTTCTAATTCTGTATAAGAATCGAATGATTCTGCCAAATTTTTCATATTTTTTACATTCAATTGTAAATCCCAAAAATCTTCTACCCTAGATGATTCATAGTCTACATCAATACATTTAATAAAGGATTTCATTTTACCAACAAATATTTCATTTAATTCCCCTTCGACAGGTGTATTCTTCATTTTATTTTCTAATCTATCCATTAAAATACGATTTAATTCTTGTACATCATGTTGTGTAAATGCATCACCACTATCCCAGCCAAATGACCTAGTTAATTCTAAAGTATCCAACGGATCATTTGATACTTGTAATTGATAAAACGCTTTTTGTAATGCTAAAGGTACGCTATTATTTGGTGATTCATTATCTGTTGGAATTTCATAAACAAGTTTTCTAAAATATTTAGTGAAAAAATATGACTGTAAAAGAGAATTTAAGTAACAAGTTGCACCTTGATTCTTAAAACCAACATAACCTGTAATTTTTTTAGAATCATAATTAACAAAATTATGCCATAATACACCGGTAGGGTCCTTTAGAATCCGTACATATACTGTGATATTCAATTGGCCATCTTTTAAAAGTGGACTGTTTCTTGTCTTTGTAGGATACTTCAAATGATTTTGATCAGTAAAATTAGCGAATCCCCAATCAGTTTCGGTGGCGTTGAACCTATGGTGAGAACGGTTAATAATATTAACATCACTATCTTCTTCTGGTCTGGATAGAACTATTGCGAATTGAGCACAACAATGCCAGTCATTATTATCTGGCTGATTTCCTTGTTCTGTGTCTAGAAAGTGTGGTTCTAAATAAATGGCGATGCCTTTGTTTCTATTTCCATTCGGGAAAAGTAAAACATCCCATTCAAATTTACCAATCTTAAATCGTGGCGAACTATATTTTCCATCTTTTAAAGAAAACCAATCATCTATCTGCCATGTAAAAGTTCCTTCCAATTCTGTTTCTTCTTCAGGTAAAAGGGGTAATACTTCATCAAACGTTTTATCCAACTCCACGGGCTCTACTAAAAGGTTACCAAGTACTGTTGATTCTGGTTGTTCATCGGACATCCTTATATTTTGCTGATATCTTCTCTATGCCCCTTTTATCTTATGTAAGAGGTCAAAATTAATATCGATCTGTAAATATACCCGTTTTCTATATCAATGCTGTTAATTTCCTTAAATTAATAATGCCCCGCCATAGAACAACCAACATACAACATTTGGAATGCCGTAAATGGCTCTGTGTATTATTTTTTTTTAAATATATAGCTCTTCCCGGGGGAAAACCCTAACTCCTTCCATGAGGTAAAACTCACATCTAGCGCGTTGTTGGAGCATAGGGTTACTTATGATTGTATACATAATAATAACTTTGTATTATAATATATATATGATATTATTTAAAGAGGTACGTTCAATCAAATTACAAATCGGTCATCAAAGTATTTCTAATTCATATCTAGTTCACTCTATGATACTTTGATTTAAAAACTTTGGCAAGAGGGTTTAAAATATGCCAAATATATATCATGCTCTATGAAAACCTACTGTAACTTCAAGAGAATGGAATCCGAAAACAAGTGTAGATTTGTCTTCTTCTTCTTTTTGCTTCCAATGCTCGATATAAGCATTCCACTCTCCTGAAAATAAGAAATCCCTTAAGATTATCTACTTATATCTGCAGAATCAAATACCCCAAATCTATACCAGAAGTTTACCTATTTGTCAGTATTAAAACAGTGTATTCACCATTGTGTAAACAATTCGCCACATATCATATATATGTAAAATTAATACGTATAAAATATATATCGTACCTATTACGACTCTATTCCAATCATGTCACCATAATCGTCATACCCACCATACTGTAAGTCGTCACAAATAAATAAATCTCTCAACCCTTTTTTTTTGGTCTTCCCAGTATCTTCCTCTTTCTTTTTTTTCTGTCTTTCTACTGGTAAAGCTTAATGTTTTATTAACCTCCGGGTGGACCGAAAATAAAGACATGAAACCCTCAGATCAGAAGATTTAGGTCGAAGTATTCTGCACTTAAAAACTAATTATTTATCTACTTGTGTCTCGATTTAGAATAAGTTCCACAAATTAATGTCATAAACTCAGAAGTAATTCAAGAAACATTCTAGTAATAAATAAAATTCAAAAATGTTGAAGGTGATTGGAATGAGGAACTCTCCAAGAGTGCTCTCCACTCGATACCTTCAACCGTTATTATGGAGACGTTTTGTTTCAAGTGACATCCAACAAAAAGATCAACAAGCTGGTGAGTCCAATACCGCAACAGATACTGGTGTTATTCATAAGACGGAACAAGAAACTCTTTTGTTTTTTGACAATGTGTATCCACGTCAACTATCTATGTGGAGCCCTTTGGGTTGGATGAATAATATTTTTTTCAATCAATCAAGGGAATCAGTTAGAGCCAAGATTCAAAATCTGGCTTCTCCAAAGGAAAATCCTATCCACGGACTTGTAATGCGTTCAACTATCCCCGTTAAGAGGGATGGCGGTGTTTTTGCTACTTTTGTAGTACCATATCGTTACTCTAAAGCAGAAGTGAATATGATGATATCGAAAAACACTGCTTTAGAATCCTCAAAGGGTTTATTATCGTTCTTCACAACGGTATCTGCTTTCCCCGTTAAAGGTATTCCTTGGATTGAAGATTTAAGAAGATTACCAAGTACCACCATTAAAGTAAAATTTCAAGGTCCAGTATTAACCGAAGAAGAAATATATTCGTTGTTCAGAAGATATGGTACTATTGTAGATATTTTCCCTTGTAAAGATGGAAATGATTATGCAATTGTTAAATATAGATCATATCGAGGAGCTATATGTGCAAAGAATTGTGTTTCAGGGATTGAGATTAATAATACTGTCCTACATATTCAATATCAGGATGAAGTGAAAAATACTCTAGTAAGCAATTTTGTTGTAAATCATACAAGAATCGCAGTGCCAGTATTCATTGCTCTATTGTCTATTATTGCTGTTTTAATTTTCGACCCTATTAGAGAATTCTTCATTGAACAAAAGATTACCCATAGATATTCATTATCAATGGATAATTACTGGTTTAAACAATTAAAAGATATTACAAATTCTACGGTCTCTCAGTTTAAGAATTATTGGGGTGGTCACGATGAAAACCATATTAGGAGACACCTGTGGGATGAAAGGATGGATAGAGTCAATGATCTTCAAATGTGGTTAGAAGAAAATAATAACACTTTTGTGATAGTTAGAGGTCCAAGAGGTTCAGGTAAACGTGACTTGGTTATGGAACACACACTTCATGAAAGGGAAAATGTCTTATATTTGGATTGTGATAAGATTATAAAATCAAGAACCGATGCTAAATTTTTAAAAAATGTTGCCCAAGAGATTGGATATTTCCCTATCTTCCCATGGATTGGCTCTGTCACTAGTATTATTGACTTAATGGTCCAGGGTCTTACTGGACAAAAGACAGGTCTATCTGAATCTAAAGAGACACAATTTAGAAACATATTGACCACATCCTTAATGGCTATTAGAAGGATTGCTTTAAAAAATTATAAACCTGCTATTAGGGAAGGTGAAACTACTGTCAACGTCAAGGAAGAAGATTATTTACAACAACATCCAGAGGCTAAACCTGTTGTTGTCATTGATCGCTTTGCCGGTAAATCAGATATAAACGGATTTGTGTATAAGGAGATGGCTGACTGGACTGCAATGTTAGTTCAAATGAACGTCGCACATGTAATTTTCCTTACTGAAACTATAACATCCAATCAAATTTTGAGCGAATCCTTGCCAAATCAAGTGTTTAAGACTATGATTTTATCCGATGCTTCAAGAGACAATGCAAGAAGTTATGTTTTATCTCAACTTCACGATAATTCAGGTAATCATTTCATAAAACCTTTAAATTCGCAAAACAATACTGAAAAAGAAGGGAAAGAGAACAATGGAGAAATAATGAACATTATAAATGAAGATGATATTGACCCTCATCTTATCGAAGAACTTGATGAAACTCTAGACCCATTAGGTGGTAGAATGCTGGATTTGCAAGCTTTCGTAAGAAGAGTTAAATCAGGAGAAGAACCCAAAAAGGCACTTGAAAAAATGGTGGAACAAGCCAGTGAACAAATTACACAAATTTTCTTAAGTGATAAGATTGAACCGATCAAGAGTGCACAAGCTTGGGAGTTGATCGAATTATTGAATGAAAACCTAGTGGTAAAGTATGAAGATATCGTATTCAGACCTTTATTTAAGGCAGCTCCTGAACTAGGGATATTAGAATTAGAAAATAATGGATTGGTAAATGTATCTAGAGATAGAGGCGTTTTGAAGGACATCAGGCCCGCAAAACCTCTATTTAAAGCAGCCTTCCAATATTTAATAGAGAATCAAGAACTTTCTACTGTTTTGAAAACTCGTTACTACTTAAAGGTTATCGGTTTTGAAAACGGAAGAATCAAAAAATGGGAAGAAGAATTACCACAATTGGGGAAGATAAAAGATCCGAAATTGTTCAAAGCCAGAGTAGATTACTTATCCGGAAAAATTACGTTAAGTAGTGATGTGATTAATAATTGTGAGAAAGAAATTAAGGAATTATCCCAAAAATCCAAGAAATGAAAAAACTATCTTTCAAAGTTTTCCTACTTGTCTATACTGTATGATGACTAAATATTTAAATATTCGCAAATATATATGTATATATATATATAAATACCTATTACGTTCACATATTACTGCACTATGTATGAAAGCAACTAATATGTTTATATATTCATATGAATGCTTTTAAAAATTGCATGCTGCGTCTGAATTTACCTATTTTTTCTGAAGCTACTTAAGTAAGTCATCGACACCCTTTTTATCTTCCGGACAAGACTGAAAAATATAAAACTATAAATTATTGGCACATCGAAATTACATATCTATAGCACAAAGAATTAACCGATCTATAAACAGAACGATAATTGTCTACTCAATCAGCAACCTTTTTTTTAGATACTAAAAAGAGCACAAGAAAGCTATGTTGATCTTTCGTTGTAATCGACAATTTAGTCATTCACTGTATAACTCTTATGGTAGGGTGCTACTCAAGAACAATCCGTTAAAGGCCACACATTACATTTCAACAAAATATGCTAACCAAACAATATCAAACAGTGTGGGATTGACTGGTCTGACTCTAAAGAGATTTGCCAGTAACGTACCGGTGAAAAAGCATGCCAACACAATTCCGAAAGTTGCTGCTACACCACCTAAAACGAATCCACAATCAAAGGCCCCAACAATCTCAGAGTTAAAGATTCTAAAGGATCTTTTTAAATATATATGGCCGAAAGGAGACAATAAAGTTAAGTCAAGGGTATTGATAGCTCTTTCTCTGTTAATTGGTGCTAAACTTCTAAATGTACAAGTTCCTTTCTTCTTCAAACAAACCATCGATTCAATGAATGTTGAATGGAGTGATCCAACAATTGCATTACCTGCAGCAATTGGTTTAACGATATTTTCTTATGGTGTTGCAAGATTTGGTGCTGTGTTATTAGGTGAATTAAGAAATGCAATATTTGCTAAAGTTGCTCAAAATGCCATCAGAACAGTTTCACTTGAGACATTTCAACATTTAATGAAATTAGATTTAGGGTGGCATTTAAGTAGACAAACTGGTGGTTTAACAAGAGCAATGGATAGGGGTACTAAAGGTATATCGTACGTGCTAAATGCAATGGTGTTCCATATCATTCCAATTACATTTGAAATATCTGTTGTTTGTGGTATACTTACTTACCAATTTGGCGCATCATTCGCAGGAATTACTTTTACTACAATGTTATTATATACAATTTTTACAATCCGGACTACAGCATGGAGAACTCAATTCAGACGAAATGCTAACAAGGCCGATAATAAAGGTGCCAGTATTGCTCTAGATTCATTGATTAATTTTGAAGCTGTAAAATATTTTAATAATGAAAATTATTTGGCTTCTAAATACAACAAATCATTGGTAAGTTATAGGGATTCTCAAATAAAAGTATCGCAATCGTTAGCGTTTTTAAATTCAGGTCAAAATTTTATTTTTACATCAGCATTAACCGCTATGATGTATATGGGTTGCACAGGTGTCCTTGGCGGAAGTCTTACTGTTGGTGATCTAGTTTTAATCAATCAATTAGTCTTCCAACTTTCTGTTCCATTGAATTTCTTAGGTAGTGTTTATCGTGAATTAAAACAGTCTTTAATTGATATGGAATCATTGTTTAAATTAAGAAAAAATGAAATTATTATTCAAAACTCCGAAAATCCATTAGAAATAAATCCCCAAACAACAAGTCAAAATGGAGGTCATATCCCATTTGAGATCAAATTCGAAAACGTTACGTTTGGTTACCATCCAGATAGAAAGATATTAAAGAATGCATCATTTATTATTCCTGCTGGTTCTAAGACTGCTGTCGTAGGACCATCAGGTAGTGGTAAATCTACAATTCTTAAATTAGTATTTAGATTTTATGATCCCCAAGAAGGTCGAATTCTTATCAACGGGGTAGATGTTAGAGATATGGAAATCAATTCATTACGTAAATTAATTGGTGTCGTTCCACAAGACACACCGTTATTCAATGATACTATATGGGAGAATGTTAAATTTGGTAGAATTGATGCTACAGAATCCGAAATCAACGATGTTATTGAAAAAGCACAATTAAGAGGCTTAATAGATAAATTACCACAGGGTCTAGAGACTATTGTTGGTGAAAGAGGTCTAATGATTAGTGGTGGTGAAAAACAAAGATTAGCCATTGCTAGGGTACTTTTAAAGAATGCAGATATTATGTTTTTCGATGAAGCAACTAGTGCTTTGGATACACATACAGAACAAGCGTTATTGAAAACAATTCGTTCTAACTTCAAAGATCGTTCAAGAACAAGTATTTATATCGCACATAGATTAAGAACTATTGCAGACGCAGACAAAATCATTGTTCTAGATGATGGATCTGTCAAGGAAGAAGGTACACATTCTGGGCTATTGTCAAAAGAACATTCATTGTATAAGGATCTCTGGAATATACAAGAGAATTTGGATATGATAGAAGAAGTACTAGAGGAAGAAAAGACACATGAAGCAGGAAACAAAGATAATAATTTATTAAAAACAAAATAGAAAATATAGGTATAGGTATATGTATAGATAAATATATAAGTAAAACATAACTGGATAGTATTACAATGACTCGAAAATACACTTCTATTAATCATAATAATAATGGTTATTATTTAAGAATGGCATTGCTACAAACTACGCTAGTTTTGAATATTATGACATTAAATCATACAGAAGTCAGTTAAATTACTAACCGTTTTTTTTTTTTGATTCTAACTGAGTGGTGTTCTGTTTGATAGTTAACTGCAGCAGCTTAAAGACTTCTGATAGTATGGCGCTGCCATTTTTGAATGGTACGACTCTTTTCCTTTATATTTCCCAAGCTGTTGCTCTTGTTTTTTTTGACTCGGCCTGCTGCTAAACGGGTAAAATATTTATGAAACCGAAAAAAAAGTTGATTCTTTTTTTTTCTTTCGTTTTCTCTTCACTTTTCACTCTGTTAATGGCCTCTCTCGAATCGATGCAGACGTACACAATTCTACTTTTTTTTTTTCACAGTCCGCGAATGGTGGTTACGCTATAGAGTGACCCATACTAATTAGAGTAATAATAGTAATAATAACAAGTGATGTTTGATGGGGCAACCAGCACAAGATGAGGCCAAGAGTCATTTAATTTCAATTTGAATATATTTATTGTTGAATTATACTAATGATGGATAATATAAGTATGTTATATTAAATAGCTTATTAACTTAACTGATTTATTTTATTTCTCTTTCTATTTTATTTTTTTCAATTATTGTTTGTATTGTTATTATTTTCTGATTTATTATTCTATTTACCAACGATTTTTTAGTAACATTCTTGATCATTACAGTAGAAAATCATCAGTAGATCGGATTTGAATTAAGAAGTAAAACTTATCAGTATTTTACCCTTCACATATATACATTTAGATATATAAAGCTGAAGAATTAAAAAAGAATATTACTAGCTTCGAGTTGAAATATTGAAAATAGGTGATCGTCTAACATTTTTTTTTACATACAGGTATATTGAAGTAGTGAAAAGAAAGAAATAATTAGAAAAATGTGTGGTATATTAGGTATTGTATTAGCCAATCAAAAAGATACTGTTGCACCAGAATTATGTGATGCATGCATATATTTACAACATAGAGGTCAGGATGCAGCTGGTATTGCAACATGCGGTGAACGTGGTAGAATCTTTCAATGTAAAGGTAACGGTTTAGCTCGTGATGTTTTTACTGAAAACAGAGTCGCTGGTTTAGCTGGTTCTATGGGTATTGGTCATTTACGTTATCCTACTGCAGGTTCATCTGCTAATTCTGAAGCACAACCATTCTATGTTAATAGTCCATATGGTGTAAACATGGCACATAATGGTAATTTGGTTAATACAGTATCCTTAAAGAGATATATGGATGAAGATGTACATAGACATATTAATACTGATAGTGATTCTGAACTTTTGTTAAATATTTTTGCAGCAGAGTTAGAAAAACATAATAAGTACAGAGTTAACAATGAGGATGTGTTTCATGCTTTGGAAGGTGTATACCGTTTATGTCGTGGTGGTTACGCTTGTGTTGGTATGTTAGCAGGTTTTGCTCTGTTTGGCTTTAGGGATCCAAATGGTATCAGACCTTTATTATATGGTGAGAGATTAAACGAAGATGGATCTTTAGATTATATGTTGGCATCCGAAAGTGTTGTTCTTGATGCTCATGGATTTAACAATATTCGTGATTTAAACCCAGGTGAAGCTGTAATTATTCCAAAGAATTGTAATGCTGAAAATAAACCAGAATTTAGACAAGTTGTCGCAATGAATTCTTATAGACCAGATGTCTTTGAATACGTTTATTTTGCTAGACCAGATAGTATTCTTGATGGTATTTCTGTATACGAAACAAGATTAAATATGGGAGTTAAATTAGCTGAAAGTGTCAAGAAAATCGTGGATCCTGCTGATATCGATGTTGTTATTGCTGTCCCCGATACAGCTAGAACATGTGCATTACAATGTGCTCATGCTTTAGGAAAACCTTACCGTGAGGCATTTGTTAAGAATAGATACGTTGGTAGAACGTTTATTATGCCAAATCAAAAAGAACGTGTTTCTTCAGTGAGACGTAAATTGAACCCCATGAAGACTGAATTTCAAGGTAGAAATGTCCTTATTGTTGATGATTCCATTGTGAGAGGTACAACTTCGATGGAAATTGTTAATATGGCTAAGGATGCTGGCGCTAAAAAAGTATATTTTGCCTCTGCTGCTCCTCCAATTCGTTATAATCACATATACGGTATTGATCTAACGGATAATAAGAATTTAATTGCATATAATAAGAGTGAAGATGAAGTTGCTTCTGCGTTAGGTTGTGAAAAAGTTATATTCCAAACTTTGGATGATTTGATTGATTGTTGTAAGAGTCAAAAAATTGATAAATTTGAAGTAGGTGTATTTACTGGGAACTATGTCACTGGTGTTGAAGATGGTTATCTTCAAGAACTAGAAAGAGTCCGTGCATTAAACAAAGCACAACAGACTGCTCGTAAGTCAGAGGTAGATGTTGGTCTATATAACCTTTGTGATGACTAGAATTATTTATATTATTTTTCTTAGCAAAAGTTTATAAATACATTGTATCGAAAAACGAACAAATAATAGATATACTGCTTATAGATAGACGTTGATAAAACAAACAATTATAAAAATATCAACTGAATTTAATACGTTTAATATAGCATATATGTTTGATATAAATGAGAGTATGAGTCGGGCTAAAGTTTATAGTAGAATGTTATTTATCACCTTATACGAATTTTAACACTTTTTTTGGTACGTCGTTAGTGCTTTGTATATAGTTCAAGGTTTAAGGAACTATACTTATGATGACATAGTCTAAAGTTTATTAACTCATAAATGGAAATCAGTAAGAATCGAAAATTGGCTTAATTTCAAACCGTCATCATAACAATAATCTATTTCTGTTCTTTTGTGAACGAATAGGGTTGGCTGTATTTAATTACTTATTTTTATTATTATTAAAAATTAATTAACAATACACTCAGATATGTCTGGATCAAAAGGCCTAACACCATCAAATGGTAGTGCTTCAGATAAAAAGAAAAAAGACGATTTGACAAACGAAGATGATGCTTATAATGCCATATTCGGTGGAGATTTAGGTTCACTAGAGATCGGAAATTATATCGGTGCAGGTGGAGATGAGGGAGACACACATCATTTACCAGATGCAATTGATTTTGAAGATGAAGATGAACTGGCGGAAGATGAACTTCCTGAGGAGGAATATGCTCAGGATTCTGTTGAAACAAAGAACCACATTGTTCTACCTAAACGAACGACTTCCTCAGGCGAACTCGATGCAGATTTAATGAATACTACTTTCGGTGGAATTATCCCAACTAATAATGATTTTTCAGATACATTACAGCAGAATACAGAGCAGATAATGGATGATGGTCTACCGAACGAAGAATTTCACGCAGGTAACAATGCTTTGTTTATGGAAATGGATCACAGCAATCTTCTCTTTTCAGATCAACAAACAAGTTTTAGTGAATTCTCTAAGGATATTACGGAAGAGCATAGAGAACAAAGAGTTGAAGACTTTGGAAATCAATCTGCATTGGTGGGAGTAAGTAATAACGAACTTGAAGAAAAGCAGCGTGAAGAAGAACAGCGACAGTTAACTTTGATGAAAAATCGAGAAAAGATAAAGAGAGACAAGTTACTATTGAAGCATTATTTCCCTGACTTTAAACCAAACAAAATTGTGAAATGGAACCGTGCCATATATAGGAAAAAACACGAATACCTATGGCATTACAATAAAATTGACGCTGGAGATCTTGGGGAACTTTTCCCGACTGACATTAAATTACACGTTCAAACTGACCAAAAAAGATTATTTAAATTAGATACATCCACAAACGAAAACTATCTGGTGAATCCACATCTGAGGAATAAGGTTGATAGAGGCATAGTTAAAGTATCAATAAATGAATTATATCCAGCTGAAATCAAGAAGCAAAATAAGGATGAAAACCAGCACCAAGAAATTTCCGAAGATATATTGATTGCGACTGATGATTGGGATGAGGAGGGGATGATTAACGGGTATTCTTCTGATGGAAATTCATTATATTCTAATGATCACCGTTCTTCTAAGAAAGAGGCATTAATAAATAAATTACAAAATAAAAGCAACGAATGGGAATGGAATGAGGAAGACCTAATAGATGCTAAACTAAAATCGTCAAAGGCTGCAGAATTAGATATGAATGATGAGCAGTTGTTGTTATTGTTGGAAAATAAACAAAATGTTGAACTAAAGAAGATACAAGATGTGGTACACTCTAGTTCCACTATCAATGAAAAAATAATTCTTCAAAAGTTCAAGATATCCAATGATGATGAATATAATGTATTGAGAAGAGCACATCAACCTAGAATACGTGCCACAATTTCTAATTTAAATATCGAACACTCTCAACCTGCAATTAATCTACAATCGCCATTTTACAAAGTTAACCCTCCTAGAACATCTTTGAGATATTATCACAGACCTCGCTTCGGTCAACATTTGCGTCCCGGAATGGTCATTACATTTAGTAAACTGAAGACTAGAAAGAGAAAGCGTGATAAAGGTAAAGATATTAAAGAATCATTTGCGACCACTCAAGATTTAACCATTGGTGATACAGCACCTGTATATCTAATGGAATATTCTGAGCAAACACCATTAGCATTATCTCAATTCGGTATGTCCAACAAATTAATTAACTATTACAGGAAAATTAATGATGGCGATATGATGAGGCCAAAGTTACCAGTTGGTGAAACACATGTCTTAGGTGTACAGGACAAATCACCATTTTGGAATTTTGGTTTTGTAGAACCTGGCCAAATTGTTCCAACCTTGTACAATAATATGATTCGAGCCCCTATTTTTAAGCACGAGGTTTCAGGAACTGACTTTCTTTTGGTTAGAAGCACTGGTAACGGTATCAGCAATCGATTCTTTTTAAGAAATATTAATCATTTGTTTGCTGTAGGTCAGACATTCCCAATAGAAGAGATCCCAGGTCCAAATTCAAGAAAAGTTACGTCAATGAAGGCCACTAGATTAAAAATGATAGTTTATAGGATATTGAATAATACGCCAAGTAAAGCTATCTCCATCGAACCTATTAATAAACATTTCCCAGATCAAGATTATGGCCAAAACAGACAGAAGGTTAAAGAATTTATGAAATACCAAAGAGATGGGCCTGATAAAGGTTTGTGGAAATTAAAAGAGGGGGAACCTTTATTAGATAATGAAAGTATTAAAAAGTTGATTTCACCTGAACAAGTTTGTGAACTAGAATCTATGAGTCAGGGTTTACAATTCTGGGCCGATAATGAAAATTTTAATTTTGATGATGAATCATTGCAATTAGAAGAAAATTTACTACCCTGGAACTCAACAAAGAATTTTATTAATGCCACCCAGATGAGAGCGATGGTCCAAGTAAGTGGGTCAGGTGACCCAACTGGTTGTGGTGAAGGGTTTTCTTTTCTAAAGGCATCTATGAAAGGTGGTCATTCAAAGAATACAAACGGTAAAGGACCTGGAAGGAAAGGAAGTAGTTCTGTTAATGGACATGGTCCTGGTGGAATGACTCAACAACGTATGTATGATCATGAAATTTCAAGGACGTGGTATAAACATGCAAAGAGTTTGAGCGTTAATAATCCATTTGAAGAAATCAATGCCCCAGATTCTTCTAACACATCGAATCGTGAGATGAATGTGAAAAGAAAAGATAATAAAGTACTAAGAATCACCAGAAAGAAACGGGATCAAAATGGTATTATCCAGAGACAAACTATTGTGATTAAGGATCCTAGAGTTATTAAGGGTTATTTGAGAGGTAAAGAAATTCGTAAACAAGCCAATTTGGACGTTAATAGGCTATTAGAGGAAGATAACCCAAACATTGATAATGTAGAGGATATTGAAATGCAAAAGAAATTGTTACAAAATGAATTAGCGTCTTTAGAAAAATCACAACAAAGAAGAGTGGCAAGACAAACTTCCAAGAAACCCGTTATTGGAGAAGATGGTAAAGTCGTTAAAACAAGAATTAGAAGATGCGCTACTTGTGGACAACCTGGACATATCAAAACAAATAAATCGTGTCCTATGTACCATTTGAGAAATAGCACTGGGAGGGATACGCCTGCAAGTACAGCTGCAAGCACAGAAGCAGGAACGCCTGTTCCAACTGCAACTGCAACTACACCTGGTAGTACCGCTAATGATTAGTGTATGAATCAGTAAATGCGTATACAATATAAAAAAAGCATAGTAAGTATATATATATTCAATTTCGATGTATGTGTAGTTTTTTTTTCTTTCAGTTTTGACTTATATTAATTCTTAGTTAACTGATGTTATTGAAATTATTCAATTAATGGTATTGAGCAGACATATATACAAGTACGTTCGATATATAATTGTATAAAAACATTAATCAATATTATAATTCTTATTTATTACATGTTAAAGATGGTAGAATCCTTACACATTGTTTGAATCAATTCATCGTCCTCGTTATAACCAACGTAGGCAATGTAACCTGGTTCTCCCTTTGGCTCCCCTAATGGATAATGGATTGGACCCACATTCATGTTTTCAATCATACAAAATTTTAAATGTTGATCATTTGGTTCATAATCCCTTGTAATTCTCTTCATAATAGTCTTGTATTCGCCTCTCTTATCACAACTTGGACCCCCACGAGCCCATATTTTCAAGACGGAGGAATTTGTACCGACTGGTTCCATTATTGGTGTACAATGGAACCATTCATAATTAATTTTCGTACTATACTTGAAGTATTCCACGGCAGCAACCAAAGTTAAAGCGATTGTAACACATTGTAATAGGATAGGAATTCTGCTACGAGGAGAAGGCTCAGGTGAGGCATTAGTTGTACGAGTTGTTTTTTCTTCTGACATAATTAAAATGGATTGGTTTATATTAAATTGTAGAAACTGGCGAAATTAATAGGATTATGGTTCGATTGTATCTTTATATTAACTTATTAAGATCTCTTTTTTGAACAATATTTTATAGTTGCCTAATTCTATTTTCTGTTAAAAAGTATAAACAGTGAGAAATGTTTGCTAAACAAACAACGATGAACGGAGCGAGTAAGTGCGCGAAGCTTATAGGGGCTTTTATAGAAGTTTTCTGGTTTCGTTTCTGAGTTTTTTCAAAAGGTCGATTGTTATTATTATTAAGAGGAAGAAAAATATGAAAAGAAGACCAAAAAATTATAAAGGGACTTATACAATTGTATTTATATTTATATTTAAAATAAAGGTAATATCAACAAGTCTAAGTAGCGGGGAATCTCCACACTGGAAAACATGTCTTGATACCGATAATTAGCCAGTTGAGAGATGAACAAAAAAGAGTTAAAGAAAAAAAAATTAGAATGAAATAAAAGAAATGTAGAACAGGTAAAATTATACTAAGTCCTAATTACTCTCGTCTCCTATTTCTTGTGTTTGTATTGTTATTTCTTGGACAGTATCATAAAATCAATGGAGAAATAATCGAATTTACAGATCATTTCGTTTCTGTATTTTCTCTTATAATTTTAGTTCAGCAATCCATTCATTAACCATAGACAACGAGTTAGCAGGTTGATCGTATGGCACCATATGACCACCACCGTAAATTCTTAAATAGGTTAAATTATCGAAGCTTTTTACTTGACCTGCGTTTTCACCAGTAATTGAGGCAGTCCAATCACGGATCTTTTGAGAAGTAAATTCTTCATGGTGTGTCCATGGTAATTCATCAGTCCATGCTCTGTTACCTAACCAGTTACAAATGAAATCCTTGTCACCAGCATAGATCAAAACTGGTAAACCCTTTTCTAGCAGGTCAGTAACGGCTCTATGATATGGTTTCATCCAGTCACCATTGAATAAAAAGTTTCTGTTAATATCGAAATTACAAGATTCAAAATGACTAACTTCAGCACCAATAGCTTCTTGGACATATTTTTCATTCAAATAAGAATCAATGTATTCCATGTCAGAGTAACATAATTGACCTTCACATTCTTTTCTAACATCATAAACATTCTTACCAGTACGTTGGAATGGTGCCAGTTGTGCATTATTACAGTAAATCGAAGCTGGAACACATGTCCAAACAGATTCGGAAGCATAACAAGATTCAATTAAATTCAAACAACGATCTAAAGTATCATTCATAGCGGCACATTGTTCTTCAGGAAGAACAGCAGGAGCATCACCTCTGCCACAAGCCATTGGTTCATAGTAACTATATTGAGTTAATGGATCTGTTAAACCATTACCGATCATAACAGAAGTCAAATTAAAGCTTCTCTCTTCGTGTGAAAGAATTTCAGATGCAAAAACAGGGATATAATGTCCAGCATATGATTCACCAGCAATATGGAAATCTTGAGTTGAATATTCTGGGAATTGCTTAAAGAATAATTCCAGGAATGCATATACATCTTTACCGGCAGCAACAGTATTAGATACACCTTTAGAATCACCGGAGTAAGAGAACCCAACATTAACAGGTTGATCTAAAAAGATAACAGATGCATTTGAATTCCAAGAGGATGGATTATAAATAGGTTTAATCTTTGGACCAATGGAAGAAGGACCTAATTCAAAGAACAACCCAGTCATTGAGGAACAACCCGGACCTCCGTTTAACCACAGAATAATGGGGTCATTCACAGGATCATTTCTAGATTCGAAGAACCAATAGAAGAAATGTTTATCTTCATCTTCAACATCTAGATAACCCGTATATTGTTTCACATCTGGGTCGATACCTAATTTCTTAGCGTCTTTAATCTTATTCACACGTAATTGATAGTTTGAAAATTTTACATCGGTCTGAACAAAGTCCCAGTTAAATTTAGGAACAATATCAAATTTAGGTTTAGTGGTAAATTGAATATCAGCAATTAAATTAGGGAATCTCTTTGGAATATCTTTCCATGCATCTAGGACATCTTTTGATAAGTCCGCTGGTGCACCTGATAATCCTAATGAGTTAACAACATTATTTAAAATGCTATTCTCATTATCGAAGGCAAAAGGTTGTTGAAAGGAGAATCCGGAGACGGCAGTAGCAGCTGTCGCAAGGGATAAAAGTAGTTTATTGGTTAACATTGTTTTGAAGACACTAGATAAAATAAGCTAAAAGAAAAGAGTCTTGAACTATATTATCCACAGATGTCGGTACTTAGTCTTTAAATGTTAAAGTGGAATAATGAGAATAGACAAAAATAGTTAACAATTTAATAACCTAGAAATAAATAAAAGAAAAGGAATGACTAATTTATAGATAGATAGATATAAGTATAACCTGGTGTAAAAAATTCAAAAAAAAAAAGATTATTGTGCGATGAAAAAAGGGGTGGACAGGCAGAACAGGGTCAGATAGATAACGAAGTGTGGGGTGCAAGAGACTCAATCTGAACAAGAATAGATGTGCTGTTAAACCAGTCAAATGTAAAAAGACCTATTATCCAGTGTGGATATATGTGTGCATGTATCTTGCTTCTCAAAAGTTTGAGTTAACAGCTCGTGTATTGAACGCATCGAGGGAAGAGGGTTAAATATAACGTATATAGCTTAGATCAAGAATGAATTGTGGTAAGCACGCTTATCTTGTTGTTTGATGCTTCATGAGCATACTTTAAGTTTGCATGCACGGTAAGTAGTCCTTTGTTTTATAATTATTTTACAACAAAATAGATGGTTAGCAAGCAAAACAGGAACGGGTGAGAATGTATAAAGGACACCATTTATTAGCATCAAAATTTGCAAGTATTATTTTCAATAAGTGCAGTGACACTGTTTCCCTATATATAGAACTAGCAAAGGCCCAAATGGTTATTGTCTGATCAGTGCACTTACTTGAAATTGGAGCGCAATATATATATATATACTTCACTCATTGCGCAGACAGAGTACATTCGAATAGGGCCAGGGCTCATCTGGATGGGCTGCTGCTATGTTTACTGATTCCCTTCCCGCGCGAAAGTCAAATTCAGTTATTTTCTCTGTACGTAACGGGTATTGTAATTGAGCGATAAGGAGATGGATGGACCAGACCGTTGACCGTGAGGTTAAAAATTGGGAGGAGCAAAAAGCGGCAGTTCGTTTTAAATGATATTGTTTCTTATTTGTTTCTAATTTGTTTCGTGCCCCATTCTTGTTATTATCAGACGGACAGACGAAAGTTGGTAGTATATGTATGGGCACAAAAGTCAAAAAATGGTTGCGTCGTGAAACCGAGTTATGGTGCACGGTAAATTAATCGTTTCGCCATGTTGGACCTCGAAGTGCTAGACTTCGTTCTAGTTTGTTTCTGTAATGTTTCTTATCACCTTCCTTGATTCATCGCGCCATAAAAGTCGAATTTGGCAACTTAACTGCATTCCCAACAGAGGATCTGGGAAGACCGGTATCCTTGCCTATTGTTTTAATTTTTTCGTTTCAATTGGGTTAAGATTTTAAACTAGGTCGGCGCCGGGCAGATGGAGCGAACCGGTTCTGCGTGCACGAGTTACGTTAAAATAAAAAGCTTAACCTCGAGCCAAAAAGTAAAAAAGAAAGTTCGGTTCCACCTCTCTCTCTGTGCAACCCATCGCATTCAGGCCACAGACACGATATAGGGTCTAAAAACTTTGTATGGTTTCCAGACTGTTTCTGAAATGTTGTTTGCCCCATTTTCGTATTTACTTAGTGCAGGTGCGCTGGGTACTGCCTACTGAGGAGGAATATTTCAGCTTATCAATCAACTATTTCTAAGCTGTTTCCGTTACGATTCCACCTACCTAACTATTATACTTCCAGTTTCTTTCAAGTTTGGGAAGCGTAGGATGTGCTTTTTTATTATTGCTAGGCTGATGAATTGACGGAGCGAGAGGACCACTTTCCTCGGCAAAGGAAAAAGCTCGCTTAAACTCGGCATCTCTTTTAAATAAGTAAACTCAATTTGCTACACATAGCAAAATGGCGTATTTTGTTTTAGGAGTGATATTTTAAACAGGATACTATCTATATATTCTTGAAAATATTACACCTGTAACAGTAATTTGTTAATAAACATTTGCATTACTAGCAGTATTATCTTGTACAGCATAATCCATTTTGTCTATCTTATTTTTATCAAAAGTTATTTGATATTATTATACAAAAGATTTAGGACATAGATATTTTTTACTTCTATAATCTATGCTCTTTATATATGTTTGGTATTCGTTTATTTCCTTGTTCATACTAGAATCACTTCATCTCAGGCCGAGTCGGATAAGCCTATTCTGTTATGTTTAATTACTGAATTTTCGTCGTATCGTTTATTATTTCTTTACTTTTAATAAGCTTATGCTATTGCTATATATAAAGAATTAGGATTTAGTACTTTTATCCCAATTCTCTCTACAGATTTATAAAGAAAAATAAAGGTGTCACAACTTTTTATCATTTGTTTACAATAGAGCACTTAGTAAAGAATAACTTCAGTTGGTTGTAAAACTATATATTTTAGTAGAAGTCAATTTTATGTAACCCTCTTATTGGCCAAAAGAATGTCCAATGTTTTCTGCTTAAACCATGACTTCCTTTAATGTGGTAATCCCATTTTCCATATTTGAAAGTTAGACAATAGTCCAATTAATTTATATATACTGCCTTACACTTCCGAACCCCTAGAAATGTTTACATTCCCCACCTCTATAAATATAGGAGCACCATGACTTGTTAGAAATAGTACTATCTATGTGATCGATTTTGAAAATAGTTTAATAGTGCTAATCGCAATCGGGCACCAGATTAATTCTGATTTATTACATAAAGAAGAAACTCCGTTCTCTGGGAGACTATCGTGTTACACGAACATCACTCCACACGTCATTTTTGTTTATTTTTGTTTATTTTTCAAGTGACGTTGTTTGGATGAGAAATTTGTTTGTTTGTTTGTTTATTACTTTCTTTCTTTTTTTTTTTTTCAAGCTTAATATTTTCCAAAGGAAAGCCATCAGAACTCGAATCAAACTTGTCGCACTTTTTCATTTATACTAGCATTGTGAATATTTTCTAAAATTCTTTGGTATCCGGGGGAGACATGCGTGTGTAAGCAAATACATAGCTACTGCATTTACTTACGTTATTTGTAATAATCTTAATCTTTTGTTCTCCTTATGGTCTAATTGTAATTTTGAATTTCTAATTCAACATTGTATACCAATCCATTATTTGCAATATCTACTTATTTTTTTTAATTTTATTACAAATTGTTGATCGTCATTAGTATATATATATATTTACAAATATACTTATAACATATTAGCTGATTCTGACTGTCACCAACTCAGTAACTAGCATCTCTATTTCATTACACACCTATTTTTCAAGATGATGCATTTTAGGAAGAAATCTGGGCTATCTACCCACTCAGATGAAAAACGTCACTCAAAGGTAGAAGTCTCTAAAGAAGATGCTGAAAGATTAAAAGTTAGAACAGCTTCTGTTAATGATCCCATTCTAGATGCTGTTCAAGAAGCTCAACCATTCGAACAAGCTGCTGATACTTTTCATGATAATATGAATAGACAATCATATTTCTCTAATGATGGTACCAATGTCCTGACTGATGTCTTTGGTCAAACTATTAATCAACCTGACATTTCTAATCCAACTAGAGCTAGAGATGAAAGACCACTAGATACAATTAGAAGTTTTGAATATGCTGTATCGGGTGATCCATATTGGTCTCAACAATTAGAAACTCCACAATATGGGTTTAATGTTAGACCTGATTTCCCATTGGCTCAACCATTTGAAACAAATCCATATGGCCAACAGCAACAACAACAAGCAGTATACCAACCACCTCAACCACCTGCTGATGATGGTAAGAAAAAGAAGAAGAGAAACTGGTTCGGTAAAAAGAAGAAGAATTGATAATTATAATACACAACTAATTTATCCCAATAATGAAATACAAAAATTTCCCCTACATTTAAAGAAACAAACCCAATATTTTTCATATAATTGTTATTCAAACATTTTTCTCTCTCCATCTCTCTATCCCTCCCATTTCAAGATAAAATTCGCTTTAGTACTGCTTGTTCTCGAATATCGGACATGAACACATCCATATATATACCCTTTGAAGAAAACTGAAAGTTCAAATAAAACTCTTTTTTAATATGCAGATATACATGTGTTAAATTATACATACTCACAAGACAAGCCTTTTTTATTCCACATTCCCAATTTATATAAATTACGTCGATAATATATATATATATATATCTTAATTTTATTGTTATTATAATTCACTTCAAATATTTTGAAAAATTACCTCTAAACCTACAGCAACCTACGATCTGACCCTTGCATTTGAAAATTTAAAGTCATCGACTGTTTTCAATCACTTTATACTAATGCCATTTTAAATGCTGACCGTTCGCTAATCTATTAGCATCTCAAAAAATAAAAAAATATTTACATAATACATATAGAATTATCGAGATAAAAAAAAGGGAAATTAAAAACGATCAATATAATTTAAAAGGCAAAACACTGTAATAAAGACAAGAAATTCAATTCAAAGGGTCAAATTTGATGCTATTGACGTCATGTCCCTGAAATCAATTATTACTAAAATCCCTACTGTTCAAAAGGAATTTAATATTTTCACTTCTTACATTGAGAATTCAACTGAATGTCCAGCCGACAGTAGTCCTGCTTCCGGTAAGATTGGTGCAATAAAGGATAACATCGCAACAAAAGATTTCCCTACGACATGTGCATCTGATATATTAAAAACTTATTCTTCACCATTTGACGCTACTGTTGTATCATTATTGAAAGGAAGTGGTGCTGTCATAATAGGGAAAACAAATCTAGATGAATTCGGAATGGGATCATTAGGATTGCATACAACATTTGGTCCAGTAAGAAATCCGTTGAATAAAGATTGGTGCGTTGGTGGATCATCTTCTGGTTCAGCTGCTGCTGTTTCTTGTGGTATAGCAGATTTTGCTTTGGGAACTGACACAGGCGGTTCTGTGCGATTACCTAGTGCTTATTCAGCAATCTATGGGTTTAAACCATCATATGGAAGAATATCCAGATGGGGGGTTATTGCTTTTGCCCAATCATTAGACACTGTCGGTATATTTGCAAACAACATTGATACTATATCTGGAATCTTCCGTATATTAGATCAGCACGATCCAAGAGATCCGACCTCTCTTAGTGTAGAAACAAGGGAATCAATTAAGGATCAGAGTGTAAAATTTAAAGATAGATCCAAACTTAAAATTGGTATCCCGAAAGAATTTGTTCAATCTGACTTAGCTCCAGAGATTAAAGAATCCTTTATGTTATACATCGAAACTTTATTAGAGAAAGATTACGAAATATATCCTATATCGCTACCATCAATTAAGGATTCTTTATCAGTATATTATACATTAGCACCTGCTGAAGCCGCATCGAATCTTTCTAGATATGACGGAATAAGGTATGGTAAGAGGAACAGTACAAAACCGGATATAGTCAATGCTAATTTTTTCACTGAATCTAGGTCATATTTTGGCCAGGAGGTTAAAAATAGAATTATATTAGGTAATTACAATCTGTGTTCTGATGGATATAAAAACAACTTTATTAAAGCGCAACAACTACGGGTTCAAATGATCAACCAATTTGACAAAATCTTTAGGTTTAAAAACATATTAACAAATAACAAGCCTGACCATGATATTGACATATTATTATGCCCGACAAACTTAAGTCCACCACCACCAATAAACTCCATAACACATGCTCCTAAGAGCAATCCTTTGCATGAATATATGAATGATATTTTTACCATACCCATGTCACTAGCAGGATTGCCAGCGATATCTGTCCCCTTTTCAAAAGGGAAACCATACGGTATCCAAATCACTACACAATATGGTAATGACGAAGCTTTGTTGAAATTTGTCAAGGAAACTGTGCTCTAGCTGTATCAGTAGCAATTTAAATTTTTAAGAATGAGAGACTGAGTATTTTATTTTTAATTAGTTATTATATATTCTTTATACAACGTCGAGCATGTAAATATTATGTACACTGAAATGTCGTTATTTTTTCGTGCATATGCAAATTGAATAGTCCCTTATAGTTGTAATGATTAATTAAATATGAACATATAGTGAAGCCCACAATTACACTGGTAAAACTCTTACACCTGCTAGTCTATCAATAATAGGGGCAACAACAGGGTGTGATAACAATGGGCCAATGATAGGCATAGATCTTAAGAATTGGACAATGACACCAAAGAAATCACCAAATAGACCCACTATACCTAGTGATTCGATTATAAAACCGGAAAACGTCCATTTAATTAAAATTAAAAATATACCAAACAGGAAGAAGATCGACCCACGTCTCTTATTTGGTTTAGTAAAAAATATAACAGTCTTTTGGGAACCAATAATTAAAATGACACCAATCAAAAACAAAAGGTTACCTAGAGCTAGTAGTGCACGGTCAAAGAATGTTATTATACCTAATACAAAAAAAAGGAATCCACCGAATGTGAATGCAACACCAAACTCTTTAGGAAAATTAAGATGCTAAGATTTGCTAATTTCCTGCAAATCATAATATGTAGAGACGTTAGTAAAATGTTTGTTTAAATGACGGAACAATACGAATGACGGCTGTCAAAAATGGTTGCCTCAACGTATATGTCGAATTCAAATAATCGAGTACTTACTTTGAGATTCAGATAGCCACATAATTAAAAATATAGTTCGGAGAAAGTTATCGAGAGGTTCATGTTAAATTATAACTTCAAATTGACAATAGCAACTATTCTTATATTGTTGTTCATGACTTTTTTGTTCGAAGAACTTCAAAAATATTTCACTTTCGTGGATATCGAGAAATGGCGTTCGAGCCGTGCATAACGACGTGATTTGGTATGTATAGATTTATATCAATAAATTATGAATAGTGCTAGCCACACCATGTAGTCAGCTTCTACAATTTACATATGTTAATTTTCATTATGTTTCTCAAATCTTTGAGCGACTAGATATTATATGTACAGAAAACATATATTTAGATACTGAAGACCAAACACCTGATATTGCTTCACAGGAACACCCGAGAATAGTATAAATCCGCACTCTCGAGGTAATGACAGACGCCCGTTCTGTGTCTGAACTCATGGGATAATATATACGTAAACATTATAGCATTATGCATTCAGCCATATCTTTTCATTTTTGCTTTGTATTTGTTTCTACTTAGATTTAAAACCTGGTGGAGGTTGAAATTTTTTCGCTTGAGCAGGTACACCACTATTGCTCTTCCCTTTATATTTAGAATCGTTTGGTTTAGTGATTTTACCAACATTCGTTCCTTTCTTATTTTTATTTTGTTGTTTCTTCAAAGACTTTTGTTGCTGTTTTTCTTTCACCAACCGTTCTTTTTTTGATATGAGTGGTTTATCTTGTACCACGGTCGTCAAAATATGTTCTCCTCTTAGTATTACCAAACCTAATGTCCGCTTCTCTATTTTGATATTACCATCTGTTTTATTTTGTCTCAACTTCAATTGTTCTTGTTTAGATATTCTTTCTTCCACACAATCACTCAAAATAACATTCATGTGTTTATCAAATGCCATCAACTGACCGATATACACTCTTCCATCCTCCGTTAGGACCCTTAGTTTATACCCAATTAGGTCGGATAACCTACTATTATGTTTGACTGATACGTGTGACATGCTATTGATAGGCTATCCCAATATATATATAAGTTTTATGCTGCTAATCACGCTGTATTTTTTTTCTTATTGTCCCGAGCTTCTGGTTCCAATTTTCAACAAACTTTCAGTAAAATAATGATTTCCTATTCAATAAGTTATATATTCTTTGATACAGTCAATAGGTCATCGATTATATACTTGTTATTGCGTTAAAGTAGCTTATTCGCACTTTCCTTTTCATCTTATAAAATTTTCCAAATAGTCCTTATTCCTCCCGGTCGGTTCAAATATTCGCAGTGTTCTTTATTTTTCTCTTTTTCACGCTTTGTAGTTTTACCAATTTTGAAAATAATAATATCTTTTTTTTAAGGTCAAAGCTCTAACTACTTAAACGTATAGAAATGTATTTAATAATTAGAAGATTTATTGCACGAAAAGTTGCACTACTGTTACAAAGAGATCATAAAACAATCACACTAAATATTAGATAATGTCAGAAGCTGATAAAATGGTAGATCCAAGTAAGAAGAAACGTAGAAGAAGAAATTACGACGACTACGATAATGAAGTTGCCCAAGAGGAAAAAGACCTTAAACAACAAAAGAAGAACCAAACTTCAATCGAAAGTAAAGTAGGTGACGTATCATCAAAGACTGGTTCTATTGCTCAGAAGAAAAACGCAGATGACGACTCTGATTCTGATGTCGATGACGAAAAATTAGATAGGCTAATGGGCAACGAACTTGAGGAAGAAGAAGACGATTTGACTGAAATAGACACCACAAATATTATAACTAGCGGTAGAAGAACAAGAGGTAAAATAATAGATTATAAAAAAGCTGCAAGAGAACTAGATAATGCAGAACAAAAACAAGAACCATCCACCGTGACGAAAGATCAAGAAGACAAGGACGATGACGAGGAAGATGATGAAGAGTTCAAAGTTTAATAAAGAGAGCCATAACTATATTCCAACTGTATAGCTACCAATCAATACATATCAATGTATATTTTTATAAGTCTTTAAACATATCTGTTTAAACTGTTTCTATGTTTATCAATATTTTAGAAACTTTTCAGAAGAAAATATGAAGTTCTCATTACCCGGACGAGTATTTCCTTTTTCGGCAAAATGTCAATATATCCAAAAATCACTTCCCATCTCAAAATGTAAATAAAACAAATACATGATAAACTTAAACATCCAAAAAAATGATTCAGTCATTGGACAAAGGGACGATTAGTCGATTAATAACCCTAAAGAAATTGTCTAACATATATATCTATACTATTTTAATAGGAGTTGTTATAGTGTAATTTCATACTACCAACAAGGAAGGGCAACTAATAAAAATAGTGTGTCCCATGATGCTGAGCACAGAAATCTTTTCAAAGCAGAGCATTACTCAACCAGGCCCATATGATAAAAATATAACTCTTAACTCTAAACAGGACATTTCAATGAATTCACAGATAAGAATGAGACCTAAACTTGGGAAAATTGACCATACTAAGCCTTCTCGTCTTTCATTACCCCCTATGGATAATCATGTTCCTTACAAAATTACTTCAAAGATTAATAACAGTAGATCTCAAGTCAGATTTTCTATACCAGATCTAAACATGGTAGATGACGATTGTTCTTATATATCAATATCGAACTCCCCACAGAAAATTGTGTTTCCTAGAGAACCTATTGAAAATAGAGAACTTGATGATGAGGAATTGACAAGCATATATTCTGATTCCCAAATATCGTCACTAGGTTATTTAAGAGATTTTAAGTCACCAACAAAGAGAGAACCAAAAAATCTATTGAAGGATAAATTGAATTTAGTAGACTTACAAACAAAAGTGATGATAGACGTGCCTGAAAGCATATGGAAATATCATGAAAGTCAGAGAAAAAATAATAATAGTAAAAACACCCCCGGTCACAGGAAAACAAAATCAATGCATAATATTTTTAATCCATATAGAGATATGAAGAAATTCAAGGAACCTAATTCATCATTCGTATCTCAGGAATGGGTCCCTTCTCATCAAAGATCGAAATCGTTACAGTCAATAATTGCCGAAACTGTAAAAATATATCATGAAGAAGATCAAACTAAGTTTAATGATGACACATCATTGTCTACTTTTAATGAAACTGTCAGCACGGTTTCACCACTAAACATACGGCAACCAGGGGTGTATTCAAAAAGTACTAAGAAATCTCACTTGTTTTTAACCTCTGAATCTCCATTAAACAAATACAAAGTCTCAGTACCATTAGAAATTAATCTACCTCCATACTTATCACCCCAAAATAAAGAGAAAAATTATCATAGGAAAAATTTAATTTATAATGGTCAAGGATATAGTACGTTTAATGAGGATTCAGAAGATACAACACCAGAATCTGAAAGAACAAAATCTCTGCCAGAAGAGGATGAGGGATCAAGTTTTATTTTGGATTCACTTATTGGTGACGATTCTCTACCATTTGCAACAAACGATATATCAATTGATGTGGGAAACAAAACTGTAGAAGATACAGATGTATTCCTCGGTATTGATGAACAAGCCAATGTTAATTTAAAATTACAAAACAGAAACATTAGATCGAACTCAAAAACTCCCAAGAGGCCACCTCTTCCGACAAAAGATTCTCAATTCAAATTTCCAAGTTCCACCACCAAGGATATCGTGAGCCCAAATAAAGTGTCATTACCACAAGATAATACTAAACCTAACAGTGAGGCCCTAGAGATTCTTGCAACTCCATCGAAGAGTATTGTCATACCATGTTTAGACGACGCTGATTACCAAACCCCTAAGAATCCAAGTACGAACGGTTCCCTGAAATTTTTTGAAAACTTCGAACCTCTTTCCAATGAGGATCAAAATACTTTGAACATAGCAAAAGACCCAAGTAGGGTCAATGGTAAACTGAATCTCGCTTTCAAATTTCCATTCAACAAGGCAAATAATAGAACATTAGAATGTACCAATAACAATTCGGTGGAAGAAACAACAGATTTTCTAAAAGTTGCACCCACATCAGTAGATCGTGGATTTGAAGAAAGACGTCAAAGATTGATTCACAATCAGTCAGTTCATAAATCACCTGTTAATAAACTTGGGCATGCACATAGAAGGACACAAAGTATCCACAACATTGAATTCACTGTATTTGATGACATGATAGCACCTCAATCGTCCTTCGATGCTGCCTCGACTCCCCAAAAGGATGACAACGCAGCTCCAGAAGTTCCAGATAGATCGCCATTTAGAAATCTAACTTCAGTAGTAGCAGAGTCACCAGTTATTAAAATCTCTCCTCCTCCTGAGAAAACACAGGACAGTATAATATTAATCTCCGAAAGGATTATATCCTCTTCACCAAAATTAGGAATCATGAATGCCAGTAGACCCCTTTCTTCGATCCAGTCATTTAGTAAACCGGTGTCTTATAAAGATATTAGAAATATGCATGCGAATGAAAACATAGTGATACCAGATGATATTCTTACAAATAAGACTGCACCTATCAAAAACTTCAATAGTCTATCTCCTAGAAGAAGTTTATCAAATAACGGTAGTCATCAGTCATCATCTGCAACATCTTATACTAATTCTCAATTTTCGAAAGCCTCATTTACTACGGTCGACACAGATATGGAAGCTATTCAAGAGATTACGGAGACAGAGTTGATTAAAAAGAATAATATCCCAGCTAATCATCCGTCTACATCGAAAGAGAGGAAAAAAGAGAACGACTCAAGTTTCGAAATTGTTAAAGAAATCAGGGATGGTAAAGAAATTGATGTTATTATACTAGATGATGTGGAAGAACCTCTGAAAGCTACCTCTAAGAGGAAGAAAAAATCGAGTCGTACAAGACTACCAAAGAATAAGGATTACAATACTATTCTAGATATGTGTGAAAATACGGCATCTGAGGCGAAGGATATTATTTACAAATTAGTATCAGAAACAGAACCATTAAATGTTAACGAAAATGGTGAAAAGAGTATGCAAAACATCTCTTCGAAAAACGATCAACGTGAGCGTTATTTAAAAAGATTCAACCGAACGATGAGGGTGACCTCAAACGTAAAATAGACATTTGGTAAATTTTAAATAGTATAAATATACAGAATTTACTTCCTAAATAAAATATTTTAGATATTATTCAATTTTAAAATAGCAATGATTAATGTATGTATCAACCACTTGCAATTAGTTTAGCTATTTGTTCAAATTTTTATAGTGGGTGGTAAAATCGTTTAATGGAAATTGAGATGTTAAGATTACAGTGTATAATTATTTAATGCAAAACAAGTATATGCTAGTAGTAGAAAACTTGTATTTATATATTATGTTGTTTCATTTTTGGTGAACCTGGTGCAGAATTATTTGAAGCAGATTCCTGAATTGGGCTAAGCGAATACGTACTACTCCTAACGTATGAGGGAGAAGGTTCGAAAAATGTAGATGTGTTCTCTTCGCCATTTTCTGGAATAACTGGGCTAGGTGAAATGTTATCACTTTTTCTTTTAAAAGAAGATACCCTACAAGGTTCTTTGTTATCATTTACATCTTCCCACGAAGAACTAAAAAATGTTACCGTCTTATTATCTAATTCAAGTTTATTCTTCATTGGGCTATTTTCTCTTGATATGCTAAGTGGTTTACTATGGTAACTATGTGTTCTTCTAAAAGACTCCCTGCCCCCTAGTGGGGATTTTCTTAAGGAAAGATGTGATACTTTTCCAAGGTGCTTTCCTGAAAAGGTTTCCAATTGATATTCGTCGCTATCAGAAAATTCGAAATCCTCAGGAACTGTATTAATCTCATCTAGATAATCACTATAACTTTCTTCTCCTTCATGTTGGCTTGTATTTTCAGTGCCAATATCATGTATCTTTAAATTGGTATTGTACTCATCTTCCTCAGCCTCATCGATAAAAAATAAATTGCTCGTCAGGCCTGGAATTTCTGAATCCATGTTACTATTTAGGTCGTGAAATTTTAAAGCTTGTGATCTAGCTGGTGGCGGCAGATGAGGTTGTATGGGACTGCTCTCATTTAATGTGAAGGTTAACGGAGAAAATTTTAGCAAACGTTCCTTTGGAGTCTTAAGATCTACTGTTAGATCTGTTCTAGTGTCATTATCTATGGGGGACAATAATATTTTTGGAATTTTGCTGTTATTTGGAGAGGACGTATATAAAGAATCATGATGTGGTGGGGACGTAAAGTCAACAGATCGAGTATTTTCATTCAAAACTGGTAATTTATGATTTTTTGCATTAGGTATATCTATCCCAAGGAAAGGTAATTTAGAATTATCCAATTTCAAGCGGTTACTAGTCGATGTGCTTATTTCTGTGTTTAACGCATCATCTCTTTTATAATACTGTCTAGTATCATTGATGCTTTCGGGGTAGATTTCGTCAGCGCTATCATTATCACTATCACTGATATCAAAAAGATCATTATATTTCATTATTGGTTTTGATTTCCCTTTCTTATTGGAAGTTGTAAGTTTTAGCTCATGTGTATGCAAATTCTCAGGGGAGTATGTTGAATTAGAACTGTCATCGGAGATATCAAAGAGATCGTTATATTTTGTAACTGACAACTTAGTTTTATTTGAGGTAGCATTACTATTGTTCTGGGTATTTATTGATTTATGAGGATTAAAATCTTCCACTTCATTTAAAATGGTAGATTCTGTAATTTTATCTTTTTGAGAGTGTAAACTTGAATTCCCTTCAACGTTGTTATCAATCGAATCATCTTGCTCATCAGATAAATCAAATAAATCATCATATTTTTGTACGGTTTTTGATTGCTTAATCTGGGTCTTTTCGTTACTTATGTCAAAATGCTCATGGTTATTATTATCACTACTATGATCATAACTATCATCTATGTAGTTCATGTCGTCATCGAGTCCCTCATCATCATACATGTCATCCATATAAACGCTTAGTTTCGATTCAAGATGTTCTACTTCCTCTTCTTCAGTCTCTCCTGGAGTTTTATAATATTTGACAGACGATGTCCTACCATTAATAGTTGAATACTCAAAAGAGAATTTTGATTCATCAGAATCTGAGTCAGTATCAAAAGTAAGGTGATTAGTATCTTTACTAGCTTTAGAGTGATTGCCATCAGAACCATTATCGTAATTTTCAGGGACTATCTTTGATATTGGTTCCTGTATTACAAATTTAGGAATTGAAGGGATAGCTAAGGGTGAATTTTCGAAACTTTTACTATTTTTTTGTAAGGTCAATAAATCTCCACTAGAGTGAATCGTAATCTTCCTGTTTTTGTTCTTAACTTTGTTTCGAGAAATGTTACCATGGCGTTCACTTTCAGTTGATTGGAGGGTATCTACACTTTGGTTTTTGTCAGGCCTTATAATGACCCTATCAGCATCCATGATTTCATTGGTGGGAGATTTTTCTATTGGTTGAGGTGAATCATTATGGATATTAGAAAATTGAGATGACCTAGAGATCTTAAAGGCAGGATCTAATTCTGTATCGCATGTTTCGGTTTTCTCAAGCACAATAGCACCTTTATCTATATTTTGATTTTTCTTACCTTGTGTTTGTCCTTGTTCTTTCTCAAAAAGGTAATTTGTTGTTGGCGATGTCATAAAAGTTGGATCCCAGGATTCTGAAGAAAACCTTCTATCACTATTGGAACCTTGATCTTCATAATTATTATTTAGATTAATAATTGGAGAAGAGCCATGATGATATCCCCAAGAATGGGTAATCGTTCCCTTGATAGTTGGTAAAATTTCGAATGTTGATCTCGGTTTTTTAGTGGGAGATGATGAAGCAGATGTACTATTACTAGTTGTAAAAGGTTGTTCTTGGGCTTGTAAACCTTGCGGTATATTTGATGGTGCATTTTTGTTAAACAATTTCGAAGTTAATTTAGTCTTGGATGCAAATTTATGGAAAGATTCAAAACTTGGAGATGCAATGGAAGGAGACCCACGTTCTTGACTACTATTTGATTTATGTGGTGTTGTAGGAGTAAAGTCTATGCTATCACTATTACTACCTTCTCTAGCATTTAAAGAGACTCTTGGTATTATATCAGAAGCTCGTCTATCGTTTAATATTTTGGTTGTATTAACAGTATCATTATTAGTGAGAGAAGATTTTGTTGAAATATAGGAAGTATTGTTGCCCGATATAGGTTCATTCGTTTTACTTCTATCTAACGAATTTGATTTTCGATGTGCTTTGATAAATGATCGCATCTGTCAGTATTATTCATCGATCGTTCAGAATAATAATATTTAAACCAAAAATTTGGAATAATGCAATGTATTTATGGTATGCCTAGTGAAAGAATAAATAATTATTTTATATCAAAAAATGACTAAAAAGAGAGAAATGATATGCTTGTGTGTGTGTGTGTGTATTGGTCCCTTTGAATCGACTTAAGTTATTGAAGTCTCTAGGCTCCTTAATACATAACTTTTTTTACTTTAGATTAATGTTTTTCTCTTTTCTTTTCAACTATTTGACAAATTAAATAATCTGACTTTCATTAATATTATCTTGTTAAAACAGAAAACTATTATAATTTTTGTAAAATTGAATTAGTATTATAGCACTTAGTATCGCAAAAAGTAATTAAGAGTTTATGTTTCGAATGATCGCCAATATATCGAAATACAAAAAAAAAACAAAAAAAAACAAGATGAAATGGACTATACGTAATTTATATAAAATTACAAGAAACATACCTGCATGAGGCACAGCAAATGTTTTTCCATTGATATATTGATACTAATTAATCCTTTTGAAATATTAAAACTGTACGACCTTTCTAAAAAAATAATTAAAAATACGATAACAAAATATCAAATTATAAATTTTTTTTATTTTAAATTAATTATAAAATCTTAGCTACAGAATTAGTCCATTCACCTTCATCTTCTTTGTATATATAAGATAGTAAATCTCCATCACAAGGAATATCATATAGATCAGTATAAGTCTTCTCAGAAGAAACTTGTAATCTAACTAAAGCTGACCATTCTTCATCAAATTTTAAATTTAGACAAAATGAGCTAACATTATCGAATTGATCATTTTCATTAAATGCTACAGTTAAACCTTTTTCAATTTCATCCCATTGATTATCACCAACACATTCGTATTCATTAGTTTGGCCAACAAAGACAACATCCCAAAATTTACCCGAATTACTAAAGGCAAATTGTTCACTTTTACAATTTAATCTAGTGAAAAGACGTCTAAACATAGTTCTGAATGAATTAGTACAACTTGGAATTGCATCCATTCTATCAACTACATCATTTAATACTCTTAGATATAGACGTAAAACGGCAACAAAAGCCATTGTAATCTTATAACATATTTGAAAAATTAAATTACCCGATAATTCTGGATGTAAATCAACATCTAATGTATTAGTATCTCTTGGGAAATCTGTAATATTACCAACTGGAGTATCCAGACCTTCTGAAACATTAACATTTTCACCGTTTTCGATAGCAGAGACACCAAGTATAGCTGTAACACTAAGTAATAACAAAGTCTTGGTTAAGAAAGAAGATTTCATATTGATTTTTTTTTTTCAAGGGTTAATAATTGGTATGATTCAATTGAAGCTTGATATCGCAATACTTTACCTGAGTAATAAGAAAAGAATATTTAATAATTGAAATTAATCAAATAATTTAATAACAATTATAATGTAATATTAAACCCTAGAAATTCAATGTATTCCATTCTATTATTACTAATTTAATTGTCGTGATAACTACTAACTAATTCCCTGTTAGAAAGAAAGAAAAAATGGCTATATGAAACTTCATAGAATTATAAGAAACGCTTACGTATTACGTTTCAATTTATATTTTCATTTTTGTTTTTTTTCATTTTTACCAGAGAAAACACTGCAGTTAACGTTACATTACATAGTAAAATGAAACGCGTTATGAAGAATATAAAAAATATTTTCTTCCCCTGTAAAGTATTTAGTACTCATAACAATGACAATAGTACGTGTGAACAAGTCATATATACAGTTAACAATCACAATTGAACCTAATCGATATTAGTTGGTTAATTATCAAAGGAAAAATATATCACAGGGTTATGTAATAGATTGATGTTTTATTTACCTTCATTTTAAATGGCATAAAGAACAGATTATTACTCAATTGCAATAGTAGAATACAAATACTTTCTTTCTTTTTAAAAGCCTATCTTATTCTTAATGTTCACAAATGTAATGTAAACTTAACAATTGCAGTCACATCACAATCGTTATGTTTAATGACGATTGTGATATATACAAAACAGGGGAGCCATCACTATTCATAGAGGAAACGGAACAAAACGCATTCCAAGCTCCGTGTATCCGTCTATATCTTAGAAAAACAATTGTGCGGGAATTTCATGAAGGATGTAGACATACTGTCTTTTCTTCTGTTTTTTGTTAATGATTACCTAATAATATGAAAAAGAAGAAGAAATAGGAGTAAAATAAAGATTATAATACACAGATCTTTACATATTTTTTTAGTAATTGACTGTTTTTGCTGGAAACTGTAATTTGTTCAGTACATGAGAGGGAGGGAGAAGGAGTAAAGGTGGGAAATAAGAAATGTATAACTGTGGAGAAAGTAGTTAGTTCCACTGATTGCAATTGATATAATTAACAATGTATTCGCCCTTTTTTTTTTTAGTTCATATATAAGTAATACGAATTCTTAGTTTCCAAAATAATTTTATAGATTATGTAATCTGAAGTCTGGTGCTACTTCTTAGTCTCTGTATTAAATATCTTATTACTGCATAAAGTAAAGACGAGAAAAGGAAGAAGAAGAAATACTACTTTAAAAGAAAAAATGTCAGTTTTCATCTCTGGTGCTACAGGTTTCATTGCTCAGCATATTGTTGGTCAATTGTTAGAACAAGATTATAAAGTTATTGCCTCTGCAAGAAATGAAACTAAAGCCAATGAATTATCAAAAAATTTTAACAATTCAAATTTAACTGTGGTTGTAACAGGTGATATATCTAAATTAGATGCATTTGATTCTGCTTTTAAACAATATGGATCTGAAATTAAATATGTAATTCATGCTGCTTCTCCTGTGTTATTTGAAGTTGAAAGTACTGAAAAGGATATCTTAATTCCTGCTGTTAATGGTACAAAGGGTATCCTTGAATCTATTAAGAAATATGCTGCTAATACTGTGGAACGTATTGTAATGACTTCAAGTGTTGCAGCCTTATCAACATATCCTGAATCACTTGATCCAAAGGCTGTCGCTAATGAGGATTCGTGGAACACTTATACTTGGGAATCAGCTCAAATTAGTGGAGGTAACGCATATTTTGGTTCCAAGAAATTCGCTGAAAGATATTTATGGGATTTCTTGGAAGAAAATAAAGATAACTTAAAAATTAAGGCAACAACTGTTATGCCTGTATTTGTCTTTGGACCACAAATGTTTGATTCTTCAGTGAAGCCAAAATTAAATTTATCATGTGAAGTAATCAATTCTTTAATTCATACTCCAATTGATGGAGAAATTTCTCCTATGTTGGGTAAATTCATTCACGTTAAAGATGTTGCAAAAGCTCATGTTTTAGCCATGCAAAGAGATGATTTAATTGGTAAAAGATTAATTGTCTCCGAAGATAATTTCAATTCTCAAGATATTTTAAATTATTTGAACGAAGATTTCCCTGTTTTAAAGGGTAAGATACCTGTTGGTAACCCTGACCAAAGTGCTGAAGGTAAACCATCAAAGGATATTACTTACGATAATTCAAGATCAAGAGAATTATTAGGTTTCAAGTTTAGAAGTTTGAAAGAAGCCATCGATGATACTGCTGCTCAAGTTCTGAAGCATGAAGGTCGTATATAGATAATCTTATAAGTATATATATATTTGTCTTCTTGTTGATTATTTCTTTAACTCCTATGAAGAACTTTTTTAGTTATGAAACAGTTTTGTTACTTTTAGCAGTTTAATATCCATATCATCACTAAGTTAAATATGCTTTTTTTTCCGTTTGGGTCCTCCCCTATCAATTATAGTTGCTTAGTTAACAATTCTCAGGGACACATACATACCGCGCGGAGATAACTGGGCGAAACACATTAAAACGCAACTGATGTAAAACAGATTTTTTGAAAAATTACTTAAGATGTGAGTAACATGGGGCATGAAGGACGAAATTTTCAAAATAATAGATGAAAAGATAGAGTAAGAAGCTTATATATACACATATATATAGAGATAAGACACATTCTAAGGTGATAAATCCCCTGTAAAATATCATTATATTCGAAATTTTAGAACGAACATCGGTATTGTTGTATAGATAGAAACATATACTATATTACAAAGTGCTTTTTTGTTATAAGGATACTTGTAAGAAGTTTAGCTAGTGTATTATTTTTATTTTTTGCTGATTTTCCAATTGTTCTAAATAATATTATAACTAGTCATGAGTTGGGAAGGGTTCAAGAAAGCTATTAACCGTGCAGGTAATAGTGTTATTGTCAAAAACATTGATAAGACAATCGATAAGGAGTATGATATAGAAGAACGTCGTTATAAAGTTTTACAAAGAGCTGGTGATGAATTACAAAAGGAAGCCAAAGGTTATTTGGATTCATTAAGAGCAGTAACAGCATCTCAAGTTACTATTGCTGAAGTTATCTCCAGTTTGTATGATGACTCTAAATACATCAGTGGTGGTGGTTATAACGTTGGTAATTATTATTTACAATGTGTTCAAGATTTTGATTCTGAGACTGTTAAACAACTTGATGGTCCATTTAGGGAGACGGTCTTAGATCCAATCTCTAAATTTTCTTCATATTTTAAAGAAATTGATGAGGCTATCAAGAAGAGAGCTCATAAGAAACAAGATTTTGATGCAGCAAAGGCTAAAGTGCGTCGTTTAATTGATAAACCAGCTAAGGATGCTTCAAAAGTTCCAAGAGCAGAAAAAGAATTACAATTAGCAAAGGATGTCTTTGAACATTTGAATAATCAATTAAAGACAGAATTACCTCAATTAGTGGCCTTAAGAGTTCCATATTACGATCCAAGTTTTGAAGCTCTTGTTAAGATTCAATTACGTTTCTGTACTGAAGGTTATACAAGACTAGCACAGATTCAACAATATTTGGATCAACAGTCAAGAGATGAATATGCAAATGGTCAATTGGATAATAAAATAGAGGACTTGTTACAACAGATGTCCACGTTAGATATTTGTGCCCTTGGCCTTAAATGATAACATATATACACCAATGAATTTCAAAATATCTTCATTTAGTGTTTTGTTATTTCTACATCTCCATAATAGTATTAGACGGTGTGCATATTTTCGTATTTTACTTTAAATGCCATCTTTCTTGTACTAACGTTTTTTTATAATTGAAAAACATGTAACGTCTTATGTACTTTTAATCCAATCCTTTTTATTTCACATTTCAATTCGCTTCAATCTGTACCCTTCGTCACTATTAACAACTTGAATCTTTCTCATGTAATAAACATATGAAAGGTTCAAAATGAACCGCCTATATATCAAAAAATGTAAAAGATTACAAATTCTTGCTATCTATAAATAAGGCTGTATTACTGCTCAGGGGAAGACACCTGTGTCATCTCCTAATATATATTCAGTTTCAATATTATATAACCCCTTTCGAGATATGAAAAGAAAGGTAGTCATATTTAATATAGATATAATTGTAAAAGTCACAATATACAACGAATATGATAAAATACGTACGTATGCAACAATTTGTGAATACTACTAAAAAAAAAAGAGGAAAAAAACACTAGTAAACCTCTACGAAGCTGTAATCAACTTTAGAAAAAGGTGCTTCGATATCAGGCAACATTGTGATAAATGGCAAAAAGTTATGCAAATGCTAAAGTATGAATGAGATGGAATATGAAGATGTGGAAATGCAGAATGGTCTGTAAAATTAGAACAATGTGGGACAAATTTTATGGTAAAATAATATTACAAGCCTGAGAGACGGAAAGATGTCTTCTATAAGTGGATGACTAAGTGTGGATAGTTTATTAAACCTTAATAGCATGACTATCATGGCAACATTTAATTTCTCTACCCCACTCACTATTTAGAATTTGTTTACCTGTAATTCTTCTAGATGGACTTGGATCTAACATAGAGTAGATAACGTTTCTACATCTAGCCCTCTTTAATTGTTCCACTGGTTTGTAACCACCTTTTTCCTTACGACCCTTTAAGTACTTAGAATAGAATGGATCTTCCTTCATAGCAATACTCCATAATTGACGACCAGTTCTCATTGCCATATATATGACACCACATGACCAGATATCGATGGCTCTTGGATCAAATTCTTCTTGAACATATTCTTCTGGGGCAATATATGGACTAGAACCACAGACACCACCGCTTAAGTGGATATCTCTTTCCCATGCCATCTTGAAACATTCACTATTACCAAAATCTGTAATCTTTATAACACCATCAGAGGTTAGCAATAAATTTTCTGGTTTCAAATCTCTGTGGCACACACCCATATCATGCATGTATACAACACCTTTGATCAATTGTTTGAAAAAACAATCTGCTTCAAGATATTCCAATTTACCTGCGGCAATGATTAAACTGAATAAATCGCCACCTGGACAATATTCCATAACTTGTAAGAAATCACCTTTAGCATCCTTCAATAAATCAATTGTACCGACAATATTTGTATGATGTAAAGAAGAAGATATACAATATTCAGCAGTTAATCTCTTCTTGTATCTTTCTGCAGATTCATTATTCTTCTTAAGAAATTCTTTTACAGCAAATAATGTTTCACCTTCTTGTTTATTAGTTGACTTTTTGTGGCAAATTCTAACAGTACCAAAAGCACCTCTCCCAGCAACTTCGATACATTTACCATATTTATCTGCAAATCTTTCACAAAGTTTTGATTTTGAAGGATTGGTATTATTGGATTGAGCTATAGAGATTTCGTTTGAAGTTGATCTTATAGAACCTTTTTCACAATTTGTATTATTGATAGTTGCTAATGAATTATTGTCTAATGGCATGGTAGAGTTACTACCAGTTCTTCCAGAGTTACCTTTACTTTCTAATCTCTTAATAAACCCAGACATTAGTGTTGGAGGATCCATATTCCTTACACCGTTAGTCATTGTAGAGGTACCGGTTGGAACACTACTTAATGGTGTTGGTGGTACACTACTTATTGACATTAAGTCAGGTACTGCAGATACGGCATCACCTCTGGTCTTTTGTGAACCAATAATATTTTTCAACATAGATGTCAATTTTTCTTGTCTCTTAGCAGCTTTTAACTGATGTTCATGCATACCATTTTCTAAAATAATAAATCTTTTACAATTACTACTTGGAGTAATTGGAACATTTGTAGAATTTGAAGTTGTAACTGGTGTTATAGGTAAAACAATGTTATTATTAGATTCCTTTTTATTTTGTTCAGTAGATGATATAGGATTAATAGTAGTAGTAATAATATTTGGTAAATATTTTTCACCGTGTGAATGGGTAGTTGATGCAGCAGTTGAAGTTTGCAGAGATCTCATTGGTGACAAGGGATTATTATTATTATTATTTGTAATTATATGTTGGTTTTGATTTGAAATCTCTGATCCAATAGAATCTCTATCTAATGAAGATCTTGAAGATGAACCTTTTGAAGATCTATCAATTTTTTTAGATAAAGAAAAATCAGATGAATGTGAATAAGTTGGAGAATTTGAATTTACACTTTTAATATTATTATAATCATCAGCAGATCTATTTGAATTTTTCGAATTATAAATATTATGAATTTTAGTATTAGTTCCAACAGGAGTCAAAGTTTTAGTTGTAGTAGTAGTATTGCTTGAAGTAGAAACAGATTTTGAACCAAATAATTTCTTCATCTTAGATGAAAATGTATTCTTTCTAGAAACATCAGATTTAGTAGTAGATGACATTTCTATTCTTTTCTATTCTTTTCTATTCTTTTCTTTTCTTTAAGGGTTAAATAATTTTTTTTAAAAAAAAAATATTACCACTAATAATGAGATGAGGTTAAAGGAAATAATAATTATTATTATTATTATTATTAATATTAAAACCTAACTAAAAAAATATGTTAATGGAGGAAAATAAATTGCACACCTACACGTGCGTGCAAACCAAATTAATCTTATTTAAGATAATAAAGATGACAATCAATCTATCAAACAGATGAGGTTGGTTTTTTGGATTAAAAAAAATTAAAAAAGATAGAGGAGTGATTTGTAACAAATATGTTAACTTATGCTATTAGTATGAATTAAAAATAATTTTTGCTTTTGGTGTTTTAAACAAAGGAAATTAATAAAATGGAATAAAATATTATTATGTTTACAAATGGGAGTGTTTTTAGCTTTTATATATATATTGATGTGCCAAAAAAAGTACTCTCTATTTTTTTTATTACTAATTTAATCTAATTTTACTCTCTTTTCCTTTCACTTAGCGAATACCTCTTTTTTTTTCGTTCTTCTTCTTCTTCTTCTATTTTGAAATTATCAGAAAGAAAAATAAACAAAAAATAAAAAACGTTTTTACCCTTTGTTCTCTATTCTTTCTTGTCGTCTCGCGCGCACTGAAAACGAAAAAAAAAATATTATGGAAATTGTTAATTTCTCTCTCTCTCTCTCTCTCTCTCTCTCTCTCTCTCTCTCTTTGTTTTGTTGTTTTTTTTACCCCAAAGCGAGAAACTTAGAATCTTTCTTTAAAGTGTTAACTTTTTATTTTTCAAATTTGGTCGGTAATAGTAAATAAATGGAAAAATATTTAATTTATGAAGAAAACCACGTAGAAATATTTTAAAATATTATTTTTTGAAGTATTGTTTTCTCTCTCGTTTTAGTCTACAAGTCTCTAGTCGTTAATAGTGAGCACCTGGCGGAGGTATAATTTGTAGTATATTTTTGGTGAAAAGAGGCGTCTTAGTTAGTGATAGTAGTAAATTATTTTAAAGCTTGCGATATCTTTTTTCGTTTTAGCTGTTTATCTATCTATCCATAAAGGGAATAAAGAAGCGAAACGAAGTTAAAGCGATTTTTCACGTATATTTTCCTTTCTTCTCGATATTGTTATCGTAATTATAATTTATTTTTACAGTCAATGAATTTATCTTAAGAAGTATCCGTAAATAATTAAATAATAAGAATAGATTATACGTATTTTAAAGTTTAAGAGGATAATCACATCCTTACCTTCGTTCTTTATATATCGATACGAATTAAATTAATAACTTGTTACTATCTTGTTTTAAATTACCGATTTTTAATCAATTACTTCTTGTTTGAATTAGCTAACAAAAGATATATGTTATTTTTTTTACCTCTTAACAACAATTATTAGTATTGGTCGAGAGAGACTGTCAAAAAATAACGAGATAAATTAGTAGAAGAAGAGCGATGCTTGCAAGAAAAATAGCAGGAACCTATATTTTTGGTTTTTTGACAACGAGTCTCTCTCATTTGTTAATTTACTTTTTGATATAATTTGTTTCTCCACACTTTTCTCTTGTTTCATTTTTAGTATTCAAGCTCATTAAATACTAGATTTATTTGATACGTATTTTAAGAAAGAAATAAAACGAATAAATAATAGTGAAATTATTTGGCATAAAGAATGAATGAAAATTTAACAAAAATATTTTTTGTTTGTATGTTTCGTTTCCCTCCTTCATTCTTTTAACAGTTGGAATAATAGTGGGAAAAAATATCTATCTACTGCAAGGGTTTCTAATGTATTACATATCGTCATAATCAAATTCCATCATTTTTATTTATTTTTTGCTATGAAATGGGAGTTAATGCTCGAGCAAGAATAAAGAAAGTCCTACAGGGGAAAATAGATTTTTTCCAGGTATTTTTCTTTTTTTCTTTTTGCTTCTCAGTTTTTCTAAGATTATCTTTCGTAGCAAGATTAACTATTTCATTCTCTGTGTGGGCGACTACTAAAGAATATTAAGAAAGAAAAAGCTATTCATCTTTATTGGAGCAGGTCAAAAAAAAAAATTTAGACAGAAAATCATCCTTTACTCGTGTGTGATTTTTTTAACGCAACGTAATTTACTTATTCTCTTCGATTTGGTTGTAGGAGAATAATTAACAAAACAAGAATTTTACATCAAAATATTTTGTTTAGTTTCTTTTATTATGTGAAGAGACGATTTACAGCTCATCCCACGCGCATCGCTCTATTTCTTAAACCCCCACGACTTTATGTAATAAACATTTGATAGTAAGTTTTATAACTCATAGGAAAAGAATATTAAAAAATTTTGAAACTTAAGTCATAGTAATAGTATGTTAATCTCTGGGGAAACTAACTGTCTGAATGGTTTATTCAGTATATAGTTATGATAAATTCAATTAATCTAACCATTTCCAAGTCTTATTGGCGGTATAACGGCTATGTGGGGGTCGATAAAATAAAGCTAAGTTTTGAATATTCTCGACCTTTTTTTCATAACTGACTTAATTACAAAACATTATTTACGTCTTACGATACGGTTGTATCGGATATTAATCTTTTAAATTCTTACTATTATTATACATCTCGTAACCAATATGACAGTAGGGTGTACCTCTACATATGTCATTTAATAAGTCTCCTGGAATGAAAAATTTTATTTATTTCTTATTTAATTATATCCTATTTAAAAGATTCGCGTCTCCACCAAATTAAAAATTTAGAAACAATTACATTGCGAAGTTTCTACAATTTTAATTTTCAAAAGAGTTTAATTACTTTGGGAAAACCATATATTATTTTAAAATTATATATAAAAGTTAATATTTAATTACTGACTAACTGATAAATATTTTCTTTGTGAATTATAACCTCATTGAATAATGAACCTAGTGTTTAAACTTCTCGAAGAGATGTCGCTAGTACATTCTGAAGAGAATATTGTGAATTATTTCTTGAATAAACTAGACTAATTGAATTTCAAACACTTATAATTAGTGTCTGACTTTATGATGATATGATCACGTGATGAGGTACGAAAATTTTCAAAAAAATCAACGACCTCGGTGAGGATTGAACTCACGATCTTGCGATTAACAGTCGCACGCCTTAACCAGCTTGGCCACGAAGTCAAATTTTTTCGAAAAAATAACCAAAATACGATTTATTTAATGCAACTAAATTACGTTACCCGGACAAAGTCTAAAATCAATCATAATTTGTTTAAACGACTTATTGAGGTTTCCATTGTCCAATCAAGCATAATACCTAAATTCAAAACTTCATATAGAACCATATGACCACTAAAATATTTTCATAAAAAGTACAGATCAATGTAAGGATAGCTAAACAACGTGTTATTAAATGATGTTTAGTTTAGTATATAAACTATATCTCATGGAGGTGTATTTAATTTTCGGTCTGTATTTATGTAACCCTGGATATCTTTTGTGTTCCATATAGCAAGAAACAAGTCTGACATAGTGAAGAGAATCTGAGGTAGAGATTCACATATTCTTTGATTAGGGGAAATTCTAGCTTGTTTTGTTTTTTTTTACCCGGAAATTCACTCTTGTAAAAAATGTGAGAAAATAGGTGGCGCGCTATAAGTAATAGTTACATAACGTACAATACGATATCTGGGGAATATAAATGCCACTTTTTAAATTATTCTCCAGATAATTACTATGTACGTACTTTGTCCATTACGTTAAGATAAAAATGACAGTGGGAAATTAAAGTATTGAGAGCGCCACAGGATAATTTTTGTTTTCTTCTTAATTCTTCGCTCATTTTCTATTTATTTTCATTATTTGTGATTTATTACAAATATAATATTACTGCCCATATTGCAGCATAGTGGGGCGATGAGACAAACAAATAAATAAGGGCTTTGGAAAGTCATTAAGGGAAAAGGCTAGAGTAAAAGTGCAGCAGCACAATTTTAAATACAAACTGTTGTTTTTCAAATAAGATTAAAGTTGTACAAAATTTCTAGATTTATAAATAATGAAGATAGCTGTAATTTTTATCTGTGTGTTTTTTTAATATTTTGAAAATATTGTCATTTTAGTAAATATCTTAGTTCAGGTTGCAACCATATCAAACTGTATCAATTTGATTCTTCGAAGTTAGTTACAAACAAAACAAAACAAAAATATATACAATTTTAAATATGGCACCAAATAGTAACATTCATTGGGATCCTGAAAATGTTAAAAATTTTGATTTTAATTCAATTAAAGTATTAATTGTTGGTGGTACAGGTGGTCTAGGAAACGCGATTGCAACAGAATTAGTCAATAAAGGTTCTGATGTGACAGTTATTGGACGTACTTTTCGTGATAATGAAAAATCAAATTTACATTTTATTAAAGCAGATTTATCATTAGTTAAAAATTGTGAAGATGTTGTGAAAAATTTAAGAAAAGATAATACAGTTAATGATTTTACTCATGTTATTTTCACTTCTGGTATCTTTTCATCAAGAACTAGACAAGCTACTGAAGAAGGTATTGAAAGAGATATGGCAATTTCTTATTTAAGTAGATATATTATTTTAAAAGGTATTCAATCTCAATTAACAAAAACTTTTAAAACTAATGATATTCAAGCAAAACCAAGAGTATTTGTAATGGGATTCCCAGGTAATAATAATGCAGGTAATCCGGATGATATGAATGGTAAACCTGAAAATTATAATTTCTTAAAGGTTCATATGAATACAGTAGCAGCTAACGAAGCTTTAGTATTACATTACGCAAAAGAAACTACTTCATTTAATATTTTTGGATTAAATCCAGGTATTATTAAGACAAATATTCGTACTAATTTAACAGGTACTGGTTTTTTGGCAAGAATGATGGAAAACGTAATGAGTTTTTTCCAACAAACTCCAGAATCTTATGCTTCAAAAATTGTACCACTTTTAGTAACTTCGGAGATTGAGAATAATAATGGTTCTATGTTTGACAATAACGCAAATGGATTATTAAGATCTGAAAATGTCGTTCCAAATGTAGAAAAATTCTGGGAAAATTCTTCAAAACTTGTGGACTTAGCTAATTCAAAATAATAACTTTTTTTTTTTTGAGTCTTTTAACTGGAAAACTCTTTATTTTTTTTGTTTTCTTCTGTATAATTTTTAGTATTCGTTTATTTGGTTTTATAAATATTTATATTTTATATATACATATTTTATTTTACGTTAAAAAACGTTTTTCGTAGTAGACCTATCCAGGGTCACAGCGGTAAATGGGGATTGTAATAAAAAAAAATGAGTATAGTTATTGATTAATTATATTCAAAATCAAGAAAAATTGTAATGATTTTCATCACTTCTTAATAGGTTCAACATTCCAGATAGTTTCAGAATATTCTTGAATACAACGGTCAGAACTGAAGAAACCACAGTTGGCAACACTTAAGATAGACTTCTTAGTCCATTCATCTCTTTGTTTGTGGAACACTTGATCAACTAATTCTTGTGTAGCAATGTATGATTCAAAATCATCACTACATAAGTAATAATCACCATGAGACTTGATAGTATCAACAATTGGTTGAAATTCATTTGGATTCTCCGGAGAAAAGTTACCTTCTTCAATATGAGCCAAAACCTTTTCCAAATCTTCTGGAATTGGAGTATCTTGGTATTGATGATTATATCTTAAATCTTCAACATTTTCACTTAAGTTACCAAATAAGAAAATGTTATCTTCACCAATTTCTCTAGTGATTTCAACATTAGCACCATCGACAGTACCAATAATTAAACCACCATTCATAACAAACTTCATATTGGATGTACCAGAAGCTTCGGTACCAGCAGTAGATATATGTTCACTCAAATCAGAGGCTGGAATAATAATTTCAGCTTTTGAGACATTATATTCTGGTATGAAAACAACTTTTAGTAAACTACCAATTTCAACATCATTATTAACAACATCAGCAACAGAATTAATTAATTTGATAATTAATTTAGCCATGTAGTAACCTGGAGCAGATTTACCACCAAAAATAGAAACCTTTCTTGGGAACTTATCTTCAACTTCGTCTAAAGAGGCACCATTAGCAATCATTGTCTTCATTGCCAAATAACGGTAGATAACACCAAAGACATTCAGTTGTTGACGTTTATATTCATGAATACGCTTGACTTGGACGTCAAATAATGTATCGTCAATATGTTCTCTATCGATGATATCAACACCACCATTCAATTTCTTAATTAAATCTGCCAATCTAATCTTGTTATCCTTCTTAACCTTATACCATTTCTTTTGGAAAGTTTTATCATCTGCCAAGGCGTTCAATTTGGTCAATTCTGGCATATCTAACAAATAATTACATTGAGGATCCTTCAAAGTTTCACTGATTAATTTATCTAATTCTGGGTTAGCACCCTTTAACCATCTTCTTGGAGTAATACCATTAGTAACGTTGGTGAACTTAGATGGACCAAAGAATTTAACAAAATCACTGAAAATGGTAGTCTTAATTAATTCTGAATGTAATTCGGCAACACCATTAACTTTGTGAGAACCAACAATAGCCAAAAAGGCCATTCTGATTTGTCTTTCTTGACCACCTTCTTCAATAATAGAGATTCTAGATAATAAATCGACATCCTTAGGGAATTTCTTAGCGACATCTTGTAAGAAGAACCAGTTAATATCGTAAATGATTTCTAAATGTCTTGGTAATAAATGACCAAATAATCCAACAGGCCATTTTTCCAAAGCTTCTTGCATAACTGTGTGGTTGGTATAAGCAAAAGTAGCGGTAACAATCTTCCAAGCCTCATGCCAGTCAAGTTTTTCTAAATCAACTAATATTCTTTGTAATTCAACAACCGCTAAAGTTGGATGGGTATCATTCAATTGAATAGCAACTTGATCTGGGAATTCACTCCATGGTCTCTTAGTCTTTTTGTAACGTCTAATAATATCATGTAGAGAGGCAGAACACCAGAAATATTGTTGCTTTAATCTTAATTCTTTACCTTGTTCAAAATTATCGTTTGGATATAAACAAGCTGTAATAGATTCAGCACGTTGTTGTTGTTCGACAGAATTTTGATAATCACCACTATTAAATTTAGCAAAATCAAATTCAGTAGTTGGTTTAGCTTTCCATAATCTTAAATTATTAACATTTGAAGTTTTATAACCAGGAACTGGGAAATCATAAGCACAAGCAAGAACTCTTTCACCACCAATCCATTGAGATGGTGCTAAAGTAGATGTACTCTTTTCAGATCTATCAACATAACCATAGAAAGTAACTGGGAATTGAACTTCATTTCTTTCAATTTCCCAAGCATTACCGAAATTTAACCAATAATCTGGAGTTTCAACTTGATAACCATCAATAATTTTTTGAGAAAAGATACCATACTCATAACGTAAACCATAACCCCAAGCTGGAATATTTTCAGTAGCCATAGAATCAATAAAACATGCAGCTAGACGACCTAAACCACCATTACCTAAACCTGCATCACGTTCTTGTTCTATAACATCTTCTAATTTAAAACCTAATTCATTTAAGGATCTACTAACCATATCTCTAGTATTACCTGATTCTGTTTTTTTTGAACCATTAACATCAGTAGTATTATCTTCAACTTCCATATTAATTAAAGCATTATCAAGAGCTCTACCCATTAAAAATTCTAAAGATAAATAATAAATTCTCTTTGGATCCCTAGTGGTAAATTTTTGTTGAGTCTTATTCCAATCGATTGTTAAATTATCACGAATTGCCATTGAAGTAGCTTCGTAAGCTGCTAAATCATCACAATTATATAAAGATCTAGCTAAAGTAGTTTCGACATGATCAATAAATCTACCTTCAAATTGATCAGCATTTTCAAATTTTTTAACTTGATGTTTATTCCATAAAGCTCTTGATTTCAAAGGAATTGTAGCATCAATTGCTTTGATTTCTTGAGGTAAAAACCCGGTAAGTCTTCTAGTTAATCTTGGAATTTGATGAGGAGAGGCAGGTTCCTCAGTAATCATATCATTGGTTGTGCTAGAATTAGTTGGTGGTACCATCTTGTATTCTGTAACTAATTAAGCGAGAGTTGTGTATTTGTAAACAATTACGTATGTAATCTTTTTTAAAAGAAAATAATATATGATAAACAAACAGTGAGGTAGCAAATGTATACATATATGGAAGACAAAATGGAATTGAATATAAGAATTGGCAATGAGTTTTGTTGTATATATATATATGTATATATATATATATATGTATTGGTAAGAAGTTAAGTAATACAGAGCAAAAAGGGGGGCTAGAAAAGGGAGTGAAATATTATACTATAATGAGGGGCAAACTTCTTCTTGCATGGACACTTCAAAAAAAAAAAGTGCAAGAAAACAACGTAGACAGGCAGATAACGTCGCGGGGTTTTATTTGTCTCTCTTTCTCTGCGTAGTAAACAATAGAAGAAGAAGCTCCGTCAAGGCTAAACAATTTCGCTGGAATTCTGACTTACGAACGATAATAAGGGGGGGAGTGGGGATAGGTAATAAAAGAAAGGAGCCGTGTTGTTGAGATTTAAAGAGAAAGGAAACATGAATAGCTAGGTAAATATCGTTTATTTACTTAAAAAAATGAAAGCACGTTAGTAAAACAGTAAACAATGACTTTAATAATAGCTTTCTTAGATTAAAGTTTGTTTATATATATGTGAATAGCGTTGTCTTCAATTAGAGGAAACCATATCCTCTCTTTGTAACTGAGGACAGAATACAATATCTAATATCCTTTAGTTGAGTTCAATGGTTTTGTTTATATATATTATGTAAATCCATTGAAATATTCTTGCTGTTGCTACTATTAAATAAAATTAATTGTTTATTTTCTTTTATCCTTCCACCATATTTTGTTTCAATTTTACTGGAGCTAGTCCCACTCTCGAGGTTCTAGTTTTAATAACCTTGCCCACATATATACAACACCTCCACCCCCCGCCACTATATCTATCAACTTTATTCTGCTCTTCTTAATCAGTACGCTTAATTTATCTCTTATTTAATATATATGTTTGTTTGTAATGTTGTACAGCATTTTACTTAGCCTACTCTACCCTTTTGTGAAATTTGTTGTTTGGAAAATAAGAAGAAAAAAGGGTTTTTTTGCAGCAACATGTGCACTGTTTTCAAATAAAAATAACATGCAATATAAGTGTTTTTGTACTGTGAGTTTATTTTGGATTTTATGTTTTTTCAGGGGAACTATCCATGAGCGAGAAAATGGGGAATGTAAAGCCCGAAATTTGTACAATTTTTATTTTTCCCTTCTTCTGTTTTTTCTCTGTCGCTTTCACTCTCTATTTGTCTGTAACTATACTAACGCAGTGTTGAGAAAAAACCTATAAAGAATGTCAAAGAGAGAGAGAGAGAAGAAGAAAAAAAAAAGGGTAGTATCACCAAATTGTACGTATAATGTACTGCATGGTCTGGTGGAAAAAACGTAAATAAAATTAAAAAATATTAATTTACAAGATACGTTTCATTGAATGCACGTTTAATTAAGCTCAAGTAACACTATAAAGAACGCAATGAGAAATAGAACAACTACAACAAATTCCAAATTATTGAACTCTCAATGCTTTGAGAAAAGCATAAAAATGAAAAGATGAATTGATCTGTTTACTTTAAAATTAAACTATTCTTTGGTAGATATTTTCATTTCTTTGTAGTCGGTTTATAATGGTTTGCTTGTTTTGTTTCCTTTTAAACATCTTTGTTTGCTTTTAAAGTGAAAAATTGATTTCGGAGTTTTCAGTCGTATTATGAAAATAATATTTATAAAAAAAATTCGCAGGTGGCCGAACAATAATAATAATAATAGCTATTTGTTGTTATATTTTTAGTTTTGCCTATGTGTAAGAAAACTTTTGGACTTCATCTCTTTTTCAAATGACTTTTTCAATCTCCGAATTTATATTACCTTTAAAACTAATTTATTAGCTTGTTAATTTCAATATATCTTCGAATTACCTATGATAATGCCATATTAATATAGAATAAAATAATTCAATACATACTCAATCATTATTAAAAAATTGTTAACTATTTGATCTGGAAGATTTAGAGCTATTGTTCTGGAGAAAATGGTAATGGGTTATTGGATAAAGTGAATCTATTTTTGAACAGACCTTGAACAATACTGTATAGATTTCAGTTTCTTTTTTCTTATGAAATAAAGTGATAGGATATTATGGATATCGACATCCAATATGGTAAAAGAAATTATTCTGTCAATTATAGCATTTATTTTCTTTAGATATTACTGGACTTTTTTACAATGATTATGAATTTCCTATTCTAAGTGAGTGAAGCTTATATTATGTATTGGAATATGTCAGAAACTAAGGGTAACTTACTGTGACACTTAGCCCAAAAATATTGTAAAGAAATAATTAGCAATATTGGAAAGAGACCAGCACAAAACATAAAAAATAAAAACAAACCAGCAATATATGCAGGTGAGTTGTTTAAGAAAAACTAATGGTATATATAAAGCCATTGTTGTAAAATAAGAAATATTTATGATTAAATAATTTAAAATAACCGATCAATTATCATATCAAAAAATGTCCGAATTACATTTAACTAACAAACAAGAAATTAAAGAATCAACTGAGAGTAAAAACTCTAACTCAGATTCTCTACAGAATATGTTATGTGGATACCGTAGTGAAATCTAACTAGAAGCGGTTACTTTTGACATTCTCTATTAGTTACTTTGTAATAGTTTATATTTATAGGATGTCCTCTATTTTCCTCGTTTTCTTATATATTGTACATAACCTTATATATTGACATCTACAATGTCTGCTATCTAATATAGCATTACTCTATATATATATATATATGGCTACTTACTTATCATAGTAGCACCTCGATACATTGTGTTTCGTAATATTGCACACTGTGTTTCATAATATAACATATACGATATGATATATTTTGCTGTCGTAAAATGTTGATCGTAGAGTATACTAAAATATGTTGGATTTAAGCATTTTATTTTGTTCAACAGTTGATCCTATTGTGTTTTATAATATGTTAAATTTAAGTATTATACTATGTTCGATATGTCATTTAATTTACTATGTCCCATGTTGCTTAATATTATTAACCTCAATCATTATCTAAATTGTCATTTCAACTTTCTAATATTTCTTAATTTCATGATACATATAGCGTTGTCTTAATTCTTTCAAAACAACCAATTCAAAGTGACTTATTTAAATAGTAGTACATCATACCCCCTTTGATTGTAAGTGATCACACTTTCCTCCGTGTATTACGGGAATAGTTTTAATATTTATTTGGCGTACAAAATAAAAAGGTTACAATTCAATGCTCTCACTGTTATGATATAGTTTAAAGCCCCCAATTGCGTATCACCATTTCTTAATTTCTTGTATATACATATATTATTACTCAAACACACCCATATACCTTCGCAAACTATTTTTACAAATAATTAATGAAGTACTATTCTGGGGTTATTGCTGACCTACAAGTTTGTTTATTTTTTTTTCTATATTAAGCTTCATTGTGATATTATGAATTTAATCTTAAGGAATTTAGGTTACGTATATACATATCATATCACCTTTAAATTGTTTTTAAAATGAAAAATAGAGATAATAAAGTACTATGTATTAATTGGGACTTTAAGGTTCAGCCGCACGATTATTGTCGGAAATAATAAGGTGACAGAATTATATGACTATACTATGAAATATAGTAGTCGTTGATAATAACAAAGTTTAAAAGCCCTCATTGCAAACCCTAACTAGATTTTTGAGGCACTATAATAGATCAAACTCTTTCCTAAAAAGGAAACCTTTAAAGACAGAAAATTTTTCAACATGTCATTAATGGGTAAGTGTCATAATCATGACAACAACAAATCCAGTCGAATATATATGGAATGATAATTCAGAGTTGAATTAAATAACTTCCATTATTTAAATGTATAATATTATGTAAATTAGAATTAAAAGAAAGGGACGACAGATTTCAGTCTAAACCTATCAGAATAAAAATACTTTATACTAATTAATTAACAACGAGTAGTCAAAATACTAATAATATCCAATAATTATAATAATTATCATTGCGTACGGACATCAACAAAGGTCAACGCGAGAACAACAAATATAAGATGAAATTAAGTCAAAGATAACACATGTAACACACAACTATATAATATACCTTGTAACATAAACAGAAGAACACACAGAAATAAAGATAATTAACATAGTACTTACTATTAATACATTTACTTATTAACGAACAGAACGGCCACCATATTGTTGTAGTTAATATACATAATAATAATCACTATCAAGCATTCTATATAGGCCAAACAATACACAAAAAATATTTTTCATTTTTGACATATTGGCATTTTGTATACTTTTTTTTATCCATTTATTGCCATCTTAGTATAATGGTTAGTACACATCGTTGTGGCCGATGAAATCCTAGTTCGATTCCAGGAGGTGGCACATTTTTTTGGTTCTCGTGGTATACAAAATTATATTTGAAATCGATAGGGTCTTGAGACCTTATCGATATTATTTTTTGATCCTGTAATCTAACAACAGTTTACTTAACTTATTAAGTTAACTCCTTCATGACTTATATTTATATCTTCTCATAACACCTCAGAATTAATGTATACTTATATAGTGTTGTTGTTGTTGTTGTCTCTTTGGCGACCAACGCAAAAAGGGTTTCTAAGTTAACTTATTGGGTTACTTTTATAATTAATTCTATTAATGATAACAAATATACAGGTACATAATGTATATTCAATATATTATATATATATATATATGGAGAAATAGTGTACAGCAATATTCTCCGGGTTTAATTACCGAATAACGAACTTTTCTATCATTGTAAAGGAGCATAAAGAATTTGTGTCACATATTTCTGTTTGTATCTAACAATCGAGGCTACACATAGAGTGTTATGTTTAATACTACTAGTTGCCAAATGGTTCAGAATGACGTGATTTGGAATAGGAAGCGCACCAGAAGTATTTTCACTGTTTTGACCCTGAGAGTTAGAATAACTATTCAAGATAACATTTTCTAAGTGAGGTGGTAGTTGTGGAGGAGTTAGCCAAGCCATGTTTTGGTGGTTATTCTGTTGTTGGTCAAGTGTCAGGTAATATTGTTCCATTACCGTCGGATCTGTGAAAACAGCAGGGATATCCTGGGTATACTCAACCTTTGGAGCTAAAAGCTCTTGACTATGAAAACGTGAGAATCCGTTACCCATATCGTCAGGTTCACTTTCGATTTCCAAAGCAATTCTAGAACGAGCACTCATAGGTTCCTTTCTCTCTGTTTTAGATGCTGTTTGTCTATTTGTTTGATTTTGCTCTTCTTTATATAAAGGTGGCTTCTCTCCTTGTGTTTGCTTTTGTTCTTGACCTAATGGCCAATTAGTATTATCATCCATAGTATTATTGTTCTGGGAGGCTACATGGTTATTTGGAGCAACGACCTCCAGATAATTGACAAAATTACCCATTTGATCAGTTGCAGTAGGTAAATAATCACTAAATCTTAATTCGTTATCAACAATAAATCTAAATCTATGCGTTCCAGGTGGTAATTGCAATTTGACATGTAGAATACCTGGTTGACCAGGAACTGGAACAAGACCAATCATTTTTCTCCAACCAGTGAAAGAACCCGTAACGTAGGCCTTTTGTCCACCTTGTTGCCATGTGATATCAACCGGTACCATTACATTGTTTTGTTGGTTTTGAGGAGGCACATATTGTTGTTGTTGTTGTTGCTGTTGCTGTTGTTCATCCGGTTGCATTTGCATCTGCATTTGTATTTGTTGGTCTTGATGTTTTAACTCGCGATCTTGTTCATTTGATGGTTGTAGTCGAAGTGATTCATCATCATTCATGTAAGCATCAGAATCATTCCCACTCGAATTCTCATCGATATCTGAATCAGATATATTAGAGCTTCCATGTTCTTGATGATCAGTGTAAGGTGGAATCTCGTCATCATCATCAAATATTAATGTTGACCTAGACCTCTGCCTTCCGGATATCTGAGGACGAGGTTCAAGGCCATTTGCTGTATCTACGCTCATTTGTGAAAAACTATGAACTAATGACGTGTCACCCTTTTTATCCTCGGCATTATTTGCATCGTTAATATCTATCATGGAGGTGTCTTTGTTTTGCATTTTGGGAATCTTGACAAGCTCAATAAACTTTGCAAAATGTTGTTAGGCTATTATATTTCTTCAGTGTATATATATTACTTCTTAGGTATGTATACAATTCTTTTTATTATGTGCGCATTTATGAGTACCTGAGTCAACTATTGGTTTCTGCTTGTTGTTTTAAACTTTCCTTTGTTGCTAGAGGCGGCACCACTGGAAAAGCAGTAACAAAAATAGAGAAATTATAAGAATGAAAGAAAAAAAACAATTTTACGGTTATTACCCGGATTTTATTATTATTATCATTTCGGACGTAACACATAATTTTCTCCGAATTCTTAATTTCTTTTTCATCCTTTTTTTCATTTCTCGGTGTTGTTTATTCTATAAACGAGTTACAATTCCAATTACCTAAGCAAGAAAAGTGCCTAGTGGAGTTAAATAAGTGTATGAAGAAAATAGAAACAAATTTTTAGTAATTAAAAATTTTAATCTCAAAGAGAATATATTATTATGTTATGTATGTGAGTGTATGAATGTATGTTGATTAAGTCAAAAACTGTTGACTGAATTATGCTTGTTGATATGTAGGAGAACGGTTAAGTTGTTGCGGAACTCCATTGTTGAAGGTGTCTATATTAGCCAATATAGACTTAATAGGAGGAAGTTGCACTCCATTTGAAGGGTTACTATGATGTCTTGTGTTAGTGCTATCATCGTCGTTCTCATCAGTGATCATATGGAACTCGGCCCTTCTTCTATTTCCTAATTTCAATGAGGTATCTAAGTAACTGAAACTTGCGTCAGAAAATGAAGATACTGAGGAGGCAGATGACATTTGACTACTATTATTACTGTTCATTAGAGAATTTAATGACAACGAACTACTGGATGCAGATATCGAATTATTTTGGGATAATGGGGAATTCGGTATTGATGTCTCTACTGGTTTATTCTCGGGTGTAGCAGCGGTCATCGGTATAAATTGAGTAACTTTCTGTAAACTTGGTGGGAACATTGTCCTTGAAATAGGTTTTTCCAGTAATGTAGAGTTCCCAAGAACAGTACGTGAAGAGATGGGTACATCATGATGGTGCAATAAAGCAGATAATGAAAGAGCTGCAGATGCCCTAGGCGGAGTACTAATCTCCTGTTTTAAAATTTTTTTTGTATTGTTCAACTGAGGAATCTGACTATCACTGTTTGATTTTGAAAGTGGCTTTGGAATAGCCTTTCTTGTTTTGCGTTGAGAAGTTCCAATATGAGTTCTTGCGTGTCTTTTTAATTCATCTGTTCTGCTAAAGAATTTGTTGCATCCGGGGAACTGACATCCGTGCGGTTTTTCTCCGGTATGCGTTCTCACATGTCTCTTTTTATGTTCCAATCTATGGAACCCACGCTGACAAAGTTCACATCTGAAAGGTCTGTTATCATTATCAGCTGGAAATTTGGATTGAATATTGGCCAACATTATAATATGGGTTTAAAATATAATTGAATATATTTACGATATATATATTTTTTTTTCTACTGAAAAAAAATAATAAAAATAATATTACAATAAATGTTGTCGTATTATTTAAATAAATAATTTTAACAAAAATTGAATTAAAAAAATATAAAAACTGGAGAAGAAGATAGTATGGGCATGAAGAAAAGTTACATCAAAAATAAATCTGTTTTCTGAGATGTATATATATATATATATATATATATATGCCTAAAAAATGTTTGAGATAGCTATATTTTGCCAAAAGTAACTACGAGTGACGAAGTGTTTATTTATGAGCGTTTACGGAACGAAACAATAGTGCAGATATTACAAATCATTCGGAAAAATGAAGATATTTTTCCGGGCTGGGGAAGAGAAAAATAAATGCAAAAGCAAGTTCGTGGAGTGGGGGTTATGCTGGGATTTGGGCAAAGAAACTCCTTGACAGAACGGGTCTGATTTCTAAACACGCGGGGCACACGGTTACCCACGCAGGGTCATTCTTCCCCGACCATATCTGTAAAGTCCCAGGTTGGAGCATTATATAATTTTTACAAGTTTTTCCGAACACCTCGGTATTTGAAGGCTCTTAAATAAATTCGTACAAGCGGAGATAAAAAAGATCGGAGAATAAAAGCGGGGCGGGAAAATTAAATGCTAGGGGATTTTACTGAAGACTTTTATAAATACCTATTTGTTAGCTTGAAACTAACCTGGAAGGCAAGCCACAACTCGAAAAGGAGCGAAAATTAATGTAACGGCACTTTTAAAGGTGGTAGAAATAATGAAAAAAATGTGAAAGAGTGGGTGGATTAACTATGAAAGTTTGTTACATGCTACGACTTTCTTTAACTTAAGTATAAAAATTTTTAAAGATATGTGTATTATTGAGGTGGAATAAGGAGAAAAGTTAGTTATTTTGGCGAATTTCAAGTTAGTTTATTCACTATTACAGCACGTTCGGGAAAACTGTCACTTAATATTGTTAGTATATTCTTATTATAATATTTGAACAATCCGTTAATGTTTTACTATCTCAAAAACGTGCAGTGACATTCTTGAATTGAGCCTAGAGAACTATGCCATGACATTTTGATTTGGAGAAGAAGGGGGGAGTCTCAGGCTAGGTGACTGATGTCAAACAGAAGAATAACTGGATAACATTTTCTCCGATTTGGCATTTTGATTAATCTCTATGATATTTTTATCAGCAAAAAGAAGTTTCGTTAAAATGTCCAAATGTAGCATATGGAGTATTTACCTCGAAATAATAAACTGTCTCCCTTTTTCTGAGTTCGATATTTCTAATATGGTACGTAGACTTTTAATGGGCCAGGTGGGGGTGTAGTGAATATTATATAATGTAAAACCCATTAATTGTTGTTTTCTTATACAGGAAATTATTAAATGAATCTGTTTACTGTAATTTTATTTGTGGAAGATTTCGTAACACTGACAAAAACTTTATTACTATGATGATAAATAGTAAGCGTTCTATATTATAATGTTTGTTAAACGGAATGTATGGTTATTTCTTTTGCTTCTCAGAATGGGTATATACTAATATACGAGGATCTTGTTAAATCATTAGGGATAGAGTTAACAATATTTAGAAAACTTTTTTAATTTTACTCTTGCAAATACCAAAGAGTTCATACGTCTACAATGTGGTGCATTTTTCAATAACTAAGGGACAAGCAACCATACAGTATACCGATTAGTTATATATTATGTTAGTTGACAAACAATTAAAGGGAATATTCCACAGAGAAGTAACTAAGGTTACACAAGTAAACTGATGTAAGAGTGAGCGAACTTTGAAGATAGGAGTAAGGATTATGAACAAACTTCATGACGTACATTCAAATCTGTCAAATGGAAACAAAAGTATACATGGTTCCTTGGCATACATAACATGCTGTGAATTGAGCTCTTGTATCCGTAACTGATATGGTATTGTGATAAATCAAGCTCTTTGTTGTTAGTGCGTTAATAATTTCGAAAATATATGAATTAAAATAAGATAAAAAAACTCGAATGAATAACAAATTGGTTCCATTGAGTAAAAGATTGTTTAATGTTTTTATATTCTCAACAAGCACACGCACCCTAGATATAGTAATGTAACGATTCATTAATTCAATCCATGTGAACAGAATATAAACCTTTATTTAAAGAATTACCATTCGTTTAGAGCCATGTAAAAGATATACATAAGAGAGTAAATCAGATAGGTTTAGTATTATGTTTTTCATAATACATTAGTACAGCAACCTTATGGTATTTTTGAAGTGATCCTATTTAATATAAATTTCATCTTATCACTTTTTCGCCCTATTTTGCGACAGTTTAAGACCTCAAATTTTGAGCTAATAGATTTCAAGAGAGAGCTAAATAATTCGATAAAAAAGGTTTAACTAAAGATTGTCGAACTAAGTAAAACTCTTTGAAGGAGTATGTATCAAAAAGATTCAAAGTAATTGGTGTAAAGTGCAAGGTATAATATTCAAACGTCAATATCTAAGCAAGAATGTACATGTATAAATTGGACAATGTCTTAACTACCTAACTGTATATGAAAGTAAGACAATGATGGGTAATAGGTATAGTGTTGGAAATTATATCACAGTGTGACACACAGTGATCTTCGTACAATGCGATATTGCTGTGAAAATTTCTGTATATAAAGGAACCCGTTTTCCAAATTATATAGAATTATATATTACACTTTCTCACATCTCTCTCTGAGAGGAGGGGGAGGAGCTCTGCTGCTGGCAACGGACACCTAGTCCTGACCTACAGTAAATATATATACTATTATTATTCTCTAATTCCCAGTTTTCCGACATATAGATTAGAGAGAATTTTAATTTTCGTAGACAGCCAATTTGAAAACAGATCTTAGATAACCGTAGATTTTATTTTCCATAGAATCGTATATTGCTTGAAGTATATGTATTGGAATTTTGAATACAGAAATATTCTCTTACAAACTTAAAAAGTTATCAACGTATAAATATTACAATTTAATTAATCACATAAAATCGTTAAATTTTATATCTAACTTGTCTGCATCGATATGTAAACATTCTACTTAATTTTTTTTTTTAACCTGGCCTCCAAGATAATCAATATGTTGCAGTATACTATTATTTTATCATAAATATTTGATTAAATGTCCATTAGACAAGGATTTGTGGCAATTTAAGAATAAATATCATATTAGCGGCTGAAATTTTTTCTAAAAGACGAATGATAAAATTTTGAGGGCATGTGGTCTAGAGGTATGATTTCCGCTCGGGGTGCGGGAGGTCCCGGGTTCGATTCCCGGCTTGCCCCACAGATATATTTTTTAAATTTTCTTTTTTTTCACCAATAGTATTCAATCAAAGTTTTATTACTTCAAGTGACTATAATTCCTCTGGGTATTTTCACCGTTCATCAATGAGTAGTAAAATTCTAAAGGTGACAGCAACCTGTATTCCTAAATCTAAGCGGCATTCATTTTTCGATATAAAACCAAAGGCACAGAACTATAAGAAAGTTAAATTAATTGAGTCATCTTACCATAACAATGGAAAAATACTGAACCCAGTTCCCTTTATATTATGAAGGGAGAGAGACTATTGAAGTAAAGGCATATTTTTTTTAGCACACTTTAGTTTAACAGCCTCAAAGTAGGCGACAAGCAATATTATCTTATTTGTGAGTACAGTAGGAATAATGAGTGATACTGTAGTCATATAAATGTTAACAAAACCTCATAATGAATATATAGTATATTTTGACCAATTATCTTATTAAGATTAGTAATTATGTGAGGGGAAGTATCTTTCCCTTTCTATAAGCCAAAGGGGCGTAGTTTTGGGTTCACTAGGTAAGAAATATCAAATTAGCCGCCATTGACTATATAGAATGCTGATGAACTGATAACCGACACAGAGTAACAAATTTAAGGTAAGGAAACAAAGTATCAGTTAAGGATAGTAATAAACATTGGAAGAAGTTTGACGACAATAATGTAATTTATATATCGATATGAACGTGATGAAGTATCTTGTTTATTACAGCAGAGGTACTTAGATCAAGAATTGAAAAGTTTTAATAGAATTGATTACAGTACATGAAGCAAAAGAATTCTTACTTATTATCAATTATTCTATATATTCTGGTATTTTTATTTCTCTTAATAAAATAATGTCAAAGTGTCTGTTGTAGATTTGATTCATTTTTACTGTAGCTGTTGTTATTTAAAATGAATAAAATCATATTTACAAATACACCTATCCACAAGACAAAGAGAGATTGAATTAAGGACCCGCATCAAGACCATTGATGGCATTAAAATTTAAAATCATCAAGAGGTAGTTGAAGAGATTAAAGCTCATAATCACTTCACATCAAGAAATTATTGGTACAACACGTATATATATATACATGTATATATATATTGGCATGCGCATGTACGGAGATAAATTAAATGTGTACGTATGGCAAAATTCAAAAATCAGATATTTTAGACGGAAGGGCGGCCCACTAACCAAGTTTGGAAGCTTCTGACTGTTTTTCATTTTTTTGTTCCTTGATGAAAGAAATTGAAAAAAAAAGGGGAGAGACCAAATTGAAAAATTAAATAAATTTTCTAGGAACTTAGCGAGGGTCACGCATGAGATTTCAATGCCCAAGTGGGGAACTGACCAATCATAAAGCAGCCAGCTGTCGGAGAGGCAGCGAGTCACGCAAAACTAACTTGGACTAAATATTGAACATAATAAATAAATTGGTTTAAAAATTTAATTGAGGACGAATCTCTCCAATAGCTTTCCTTCTAAACTTTCTCCCTCACTCCTTTGTCCCTGTTTATTATAATGTATTTTAAATTTTAGACTAAATGATTGGTTGATTAATTGTCCTGAAACTAAAATACATTTTCCCACTCATTTATTATCAATTTTGTGTTTGTGTACTTCTTTCTCCTTCTATTGCTCTTGCTATATGTGTGTGTCTGGCACTCGTTATTAAGGAAGCAGGCAATAAAACTAATAAATCATCTCTCTCTCTCTCTCTCTCTCTCTGTTAGTCTTTGTTCACTGTGTAAAATACCTCTCAGATTGACTGAACATTTTTTAGTTTGAAATTGATTGAAAATATTAAATATTTTCAATTCTCTCAGTTCATTAAAATAACAAAAGGACTCAATTTACTTACGGAAATAAAATAATTATTATTCTTTTTTGAATTTTCTGCTTATTCTCTCTGCTCATTTATTTAGCCTTTTTTATTAAGTTGTGATTAAATTTATGTGTGATTGAGTGTGCGTGTGTGACTTCAATTTGTTTTTGTTTTTCCTTTTAATATTGTTAATTACGTACGTAGAGAGAGATAACTATTAAGAAATATTACTATGCTTCTCCCCATTGGAGGATAAATATATCATTTCTAAATGACAAAAGTCTAAAGAGGCCAGTTCTTGTAAATCATTTAAATGTCGATACATATATATATAAAAGACATTGAAACTTTCTTAAAGATAAAAACTTGATTTTATTAATTTTTGTTTTTTTTTCATTGTGTTCCCCCCGTTATAATATTAATTAAAGATTTCCTTTTTATTTATTTTTTCCTTATTACTATTATTTTAATATTAATATTAGAAACAATTTAAATTTACATATACACATAATAACAATAACAATCACTACTACTAATATAATATTTAAAAAGTAACAATGTCTCAATTATTAGCTAAATCTACTACAAAAACGTATAGTTTACTCTCAAAGAGGGTATTAACTCAAGCAAGATTTTATGCTCAACCAACTTTAAAAGAAAGATTTGCAGAAATTTATCCACAAAAAGCTGCAGAAATTAAGCAATTTAAAAAAGATCATGGTTCAACAGTTATCGATACAGTTAAATTAGAGCAAGCTTATGGTGGTATGCGTGGTATTAAATCAATGGTTTGGGAAGGTTCAGTTTTAGATCCTGAAGAAGGTATTAGATTTAGAGGTTTAACAATTCCAGAAATTAGAGATAAATTACCAAAAGCAACAAAGGATTCAAAAGAGCCATTGCCAGAAGGTTTATTTTGGTTATTATTAACAGGTGAAATTCCATCAGCTGAACAAGTTAAAGCTTTATCTGTTGATTTAGCTTCAAGATCTGAATTACCAGAACATGTTAATATTTTATTAGATAATTTACCAAAACATTTACATCCAATGGCTCAATTCTCAATTGCTTTAAATGCACTAGAATCTGAATCAAAATTTGCTAAAGCTTATGCACAAGGTGTTAATAAAAAAGAATATTGGACTTATACATTTGAAGATTCTTTAGATTTATTAGGTAAATTACCTGTCATTGCTTCAAAAATTTACCGTAACGTTTTTAAAGATGGTAAATTAGGTAAAGTTGATTTAAATGCTGATTATGGTAAAAATTTAGCAAATTTAATGGGTTTTGAAAACGGTGATTTTGTTGAATTAATGAGATTATATTTAACAATTCATTCTGATCATGAAGGTGGTAATGTTTCTGCTCATACTACCCATTTAGTTGGTTCTGCACTATCTTCTCCATATTTATCTTTAGCTGCAGGTATGAATGGTCTTGCAGGTCCATTACATGGTCGTGCTAATCAAGAAGTTTTAGAATGGTTATTTAAATTAAGAGAATCAGTTCACGGTGATTATTCAAAGGAAACTATTGAAAAATATTTATGGGATACTTTAAATTCAGGTAGAGTTATCCCAGGTTATGGACATGCTGTCTTAAGAAAGACTGATCCACGTTACACAGCTCAACGTGAATTTGCATTATCTCATTTCCCAGATTATGAATTATTTAAATTAGTTTCTGCTGTTTATGAAACTGCACCAAAAGTTCTAACTAAACAAGGTAAGACAAAGAATCCATGGCCAAATGTGGATTCTCATTCTGGTGTTCTATTACAATATTATGGTTTAACTGAAGCCTCCTTCTATACTGTCTTATTTGGTGTTGCAAGAGCCTTTGGTGTTTTACCACAATTAATTATTGACAGAGCTGTTGGTGCATCAATTGAAAGACCAAAATCTTTCTCAACTGAAAAGTTTATGGAATTAGTTAAATCTATTGAATCTAAGAAATAGATAAATAATTGAAACAAACAAAACAAAAAAAAAGATTCCTATTTCTCTCTAATATAATTAAGATTTCCACTTTCGTCCCTCCCCCAAACAATTTTTTTTTTTTACTTTATTATTATGACAATTCTTAATAATAATAACTGTAATAATGATCGTTAATGAACTCCTTTTTCCCTTTAATAACTCTATCCCCACTCCTTTTCTTCCAAGTTGTCAAAATTAAGATTCTACCCAATACATATATAAGAATGGTAATACTTTAGTCACTACACCAATAATGATTATGATACTATATGAATGCATTACAATGAAATGAAAAAAAAAATACTAAGAGGCAAAGTTGGAAAATTTTTGAAAATATGTGGATGAGTATGTTCTATTAAACTCTTCCTCACATAATAATAATTATTATTATTATTATTATTATTATCACAATTCTTTGTCAAAGTCTACTTATATATATATATATTCCATATCAATAAATAATATAACAAATTTTAATATTATTACAATTATTACTATAGCATTTGTTATTTGTTTTTTTTTCATTTGGTAGAAATCATTTAAATTTTTTAAGTTTAGTAGCTTATAGTAGAACCATAGAAGGGGAAGTTCCTGTAAATAAAAAAACAAAAATGACAAAATTATTTTGTACAACAGGAAGTAATATAGTACGATATTATTCAAATTCTAACTCATAGAGATCTAATAATTATATACTGCATTTATTAGTAATATATATTCAATTGAAAAGCAGTTTGGTTGAAAATATTTAAGATTCTACGTACTACTCATCATATTAAGTTATTCTTCATCACATCACTTACTTAATTAAATATATAAAGTAATAAGATTGTTCATCTTCCACTTGATTTCAATTTGTGACCACTATCAAAAACGAACGAACGAATAAACAGACCCTGTCAAATAAACTGAAATGACGTACTACCCAACCGAGAATTCCCTAGAGCAATACTAAACTCAATTCTACGTAGAAAAATCTTTTTCTTCTTCTCTCTACCAAGTAACGAAAAGATTAAAACTTAAGCAAGGGTCTCTAAAAGTACCGCCATCAACTGTTAGTACAATTGACAGATGAACAAACCAAAAACAGTGCTAATTAAATCTGTAACATCTCTCTTCATTAGAGTACGTATATCCAGATATATTATTTTTCGAATTATTCTATTACCAATTTTTTAGTAATCTGCTACTGAAAGTGCATCAACAAACGATGCACGAGTGGATAATGCGCCCGCGCGCGCAACCAAAATTTTTTTCTTTCTTTTTAAGGGGTGAAAGAATTAAGTAGAAAATTGTCTTTTTTTGGTGATCGCTTCATCGCCGAATACCAGCCCCCCCGTTATATCAGCGGGACTATACACTAAATTGCATATATTCTTATTTAGGGCGTTTTATCAGTATATATATAAAACCTTTAAAATTGATAAATTTAATACTTAATGCATTTTTTAACTAATTCTTCCGCTCCTCCTTCTTTTATTTAAAACATTTTAATTATATAGAAATTTATGATATTTTCTTTTCTTCACGATTAAGTTTTTTATCTTAAACATATTTTAAATCAATTGATTGAAAAAAGGGAAGAAATTAGCTTATAAATACATATATATATATAACAATAACAAAATGGTAAAGATTGCTATCATTACATATTCAACATATGGTCATATTGACAATTTGGCTAAGACCGTTTTAAAAGGTATAGAAGATGCAGGTGGTAAAGCTGATTTATTCCGTGTTCCTGAAACTTTATCAGATGATATTTTAACCAAAATGAATGCACCTGTAGCTAAAGCTTCAATTCCTGTAGCAACTGCTGAAACTTTGAAAGAATATGATGCTTTCTTATTTGGTGTTCCAACAAGATTTGGTAGTTTACCTGCCCAATGGTCCGCATTTTGGGATTCTACTGGTGCTTTATGGGCTGAAGGTGCTCTTTGTGGTAAAATTGCAGGATTTTTCGTTTCTACCTCTTCATATGGTGGTGGTCAAGAAGATACTGTTAGAAATTGTTTATCTTATATTATTCATCATGGTATGATATATATCCCACTTGGTTATAAGAACGCTTTTGCAGAATTAGCTAATGTTGAAGAAGTTCATGGTGGTAGTGCTTGGGGTGCTGGTACTCTTGTTGGTTCTGATGGTTCAAGAGCATCATCTGCTGTTGAATTAAAAATTGCAGAAATTCAAGGTAAAACTTTTTATGAAACTGCTAAAAAATTCTTCCCAGGTGATGATTCTAATACTACTGAAGCTACTAAAACCACTGGTGACAAGAAGACTACTACAAAACCAGCTGCAAAGAGACAAACCACTAAACCAGCTGAAACAAAGAAAGAAGATGATAAGAAGAAAGAAAGTTCATCTATGATGGACTGTTGTACTCTAATGTGAAAAGAGATAAGAAAAAAAATAACTTAACGTATTTCTAATTATTTTTTTCACATACATTTTCTCATGTTTATCCGTATTATTATTATTATTATTATTATTATTATTATTATTATTATTATTATTAT